CCCATAATTGGTACATTAATGTCGTGAATAAGTACTCGATAAACATTACACTCAGGACAAAGAGAAATCATTTAACCAGAGAAATATTTCGAATAAATTGTCCGCAACGCTTCTTCAGAATTATGGTAAATCATTTGTGTCGGATAATCATTCTTCGAATTAACGATATACTTCTTTGGTTCAATGAATTTGTTTTTTTCTGCTCAAGGTGCGTAATAAATTAAAACAGGTGAACCCGAAACCCCTCTATCTCATCGTAACTTCACGTTGAATCCCATCGAGAACCTCGAGCCGCGTATTCATTCCCTTCCGGAATTATCTTACCTGTAGATAACGATAAGAGAAAAAAATAATAATCCCCCCTTCGCGGCTTCAAATTACGACGCAAACCTTTCACCTAGGTGTCGTAAGTCGAGGGCAAAATAAGAGGAAGCTTGCAGATCGATCGTTTTTCTCTCTCTCTTTCTCTTTCCCTCTCGCCTGCCAATCGCCTGTGATAACCGGAGAGCGAGAGAGATAAAGAGAAATAGAGAGAGAAAGCGAGGCGATAAATCGAGGTTATGCACGAAGTTGATATTAAGGGGCCCGGAAGTGCCTCGCGTTTCCGAAAACACTCTTCTCTTCTCTCCCATAGAAAAAGAAAGGAATAAAAAGGAGAGGGGAAAAAAACAGAAAAAAAAACTCACAGGGCTCGGCTCTCGAGACCCCTCGTGTGCATACATATTTCATGGCGTGCTAATTAATATCGGTTACGTTTTGCATATTACGTGCAATAAATTGCGCGGGGACGTTGCGTCGAAAACGCGCCGCGGCGGCGCGGGCCAAACTGAATTATAAGCTGAATATTTCAAGCTCTATTGTTCAAACACCGGGTATATAGTTTTCCGCGTTTCTATAAGCGAGACCGGCCAGTTTTGACATTATTAAAATACTCGGGCCGATAGGCGGGATCCCGTGAAATCCCGGGGTGTCTCGTGTTCGCAAAAGGGGGAGATATGAAAATAAAAATTCGAGAAGCTGCAGAAAGTAAAGAGTTCCCTCCCGAGGGTGGAGGATTTCTCTTGGTGGGGGGGGAGCGAAAAATTCATCCCGAAAATTCGGAAAACGTCCGGGGACGCCGAAACTCTCCCCGGGATAAATCAATCCTCTCGACACGGGACAGTGCTCCGACCTATTACGGGCAAACAACATTTATTCCCACCAAGAGGGAATTTCCTTGCTCCGAATAAATTTTATTCGGCTGTAATGTATCGCCGCATTGACCTGTATCGGGGCGGATTGATTTATTTAGACAGAGAGGATTATTTATTACACGAGCGCGCGGGATGGGAATCGGGGATTTTTGATTCGCGCTACGTATCGACCGCTAACAAGCTGTTTTACAAGCTCGTCGGATACCCGGGGAAAAAACTCCCCGGCGGACAAAAAAACAAAAAGAACGAAAGGAGAAAATCCAAAAAAAAAGGAGAGAGAGAGGTGCCGAGGTCGTGGCACACTCCAAAATGCAAAAATCTCCTCCTTTTTCCCGAGTGACTTACCGTCGCGGAGGCCCGCCTCTCGCCATCGAGGCTAACTATGTACTGAATTTACGAGAAACTTCCGGTCGGGATTAAAAGAGCTAATTCCGAGCTTTCAGCTCGCCTTTTCCGTGGTTTTTTCAGGTAATCCCCCTTTTTAATTTCCTTTTTGTTCTTTCATCGGTTTTGGTCTTGTTTCCCCGCGCGACACACCCCCGGGTGCGTCTGCTAAAAAATTATCGGGCTCCCGCCTGGAGACCAAAAAAGACGGATTATCACGACCTTATCGCGCCGGAAAGAATCATCCGTCGAAAAATCTCATCGCAAGAATAAAAACGATTACCGCGAAGTCGTTCTCCCCCACTCGGCGATTCGAATATCTAAACACCGGGACTGGGACAAAAAGAGGGGGGCAGGGGTAAAAGAAACAAAAGGAAAGTCTCTTTTCCATCCGACGTAAGAGCCGACAGGATCAGAACTCTCCCTTCCCGTGAACACGTAACGCTACTACCGGGAGAAAATATCTCGTGAGAAAGAGCCATACGGAGCACGCGGAGGAGCCGTATTGGCACCGCGCTGTCATCGCGATGCAGGCTGCACCCTCGGCAAGGATCGAATAACATTAAACGCGTGGAAAGTAACATTTGGCGAATCGAAACGACCCATTACGGCGACCTTAACCAATAGGAAGGAAATCAAAGTGCCGAAACAAGCCACCTTTCATTTTAAATTGCTTTCCGACAACTCGCGCGACGCCCCGCGGTCGCCTGTCACCGCACACGACAATGCAGCCTTTGTGCGCATCGATGTCACTCGAGATAATTTAAATGAACGCTTGAAAAATATAACTTCATCAATGTACGACCTCCCTCCCGTGGCCGTCTTAATTAAAAAAAAACAAAAAAAACTGAAAGTTCCGAAATAAACGGCGTCTTTTCTTTTTCTCTCTGCGTATCCGCGCACAACAATGCACGCATTGATGTCTCTCCAGTAAAATTAAAATAAACGCATACAACAAATTTACGTCACGTTGCCTCGAACAAGTCGAAGCGAAACCCCTCTTGCGGCGATCATAACTAAAAAAAAAAAAAATTAAGTGTCGGAGCAAACTGCATTTCTTTTTTTTTTTTTTTAATTGCGTTCCCCAGCTCGCGCGTCGCTCTGCGATCGCGCACGACAATGCAGCCTGCGACCTCGTACGCGCCGATGCCACTCGAGTAAAGTTAAACGCGCGGAAAATGACGCTCGTTTGATGCACGTTTATTATACCTGTCCTAGTTTTATGCTCCCCTTTAATATACGTTTTCTGCGCGAGTAACGTCGGCGTCGCGCCGAGTGCCGAACGCCAGTTTTCTCGAGGGGTCCGGCCTCCGTATAAGTGCGCGGCCGTAATTGCGCTACTTCTGCTATCCGCAGTGAACACACGTTAATCCATGCTCTATCTATCCAGATACCGTTTCTATCGAGGGACACTGGAAGATAGATAACAAAGCCTGGTACCGGGGCTCGAAATTTCCCTCTGCGGTTATATTACAATTTAATCGCCCTCCGGCCTGGCGCGCCGAAACCGCCCTCGGATAATTACATAATAAAGATATTTGCGACACAGGGCCTCGGTAATCATAAGAGGATACGCCGGATTATATTCCTATCAGGGATGAAAACGGGTGGACGGTCTAGGACCACTTAACGAATTCGACGTACATCCCTGAACGATGACCGAAGTCGACGCCTCGGATTCGTTTCCTTTCTTTTCCTCGCTCGAAGAGTGTTATTAAATTCCCGGTAAAGAGATGCCGGGACTTCCCGGGGTGCCGATAACGTTTAAACACCCGTCACAGGGCAGGTCACGATGGCTTTGAAGAATAATGGTCTTGCTTCTCTTCCAGGTGACAAAACGCGGCGAAACTTTCTCGCGGAGAGCTTCCGTCTTTGCCTCTCGTCTCCCCGACTTCCCTCGATAAAGCGACGAAGTTAATTCCTCGCCGAGTGGAAGGAGGGGAAAGAAAGAAAAAAGGGAAAAGAGAGAAAAAAAAACGGTCCCCTTTAACGAAACGATAACTCTCCCGGTGTAGAAGCGTCGTAATTTATTACGGTGCCAATAACCGTTACGCTAACGCCGTAAACCGCAGGCTCGAATCCTCCGAAATAGAGGCGCCTACTTCGCTTCTTCTTTTTCGACGTGCACGCGGGATTCGTCCGGCGTCGCCAGTCATTTCTAGGACAAAAACCTCGTCCCGGAGTCTCGACGCTAGAGGCGTCACCGAGAGGCCGCGGAGGTCAATTCTCTCGGACGAGACCATCCCCCGTTCCGGGTCCTGCCGACCCCTGGAACATCTCCTAATAATTGGTTCTCGAGCGGTCGCTGAAAAAGGGAACGGGCCGTGAGCTTCCGGGTCGAAACTCGGCGGAGAGGAGGAGGGAGAGAGAGAGAGGGGCGCAGCGGGAAGAAAGGGAGAGAGAGAAAGAGAGCGCGCACAAGGGGTAACGAACCCCGGAGCCTACGTAATACGACTCCTCGCATACCTGCGGAACGGCCTGCGGGACGACACGGCCGAAAGAGACGGGCCCGAATAATAAACCTCGAGATGCGCAAGCATTTCCAAATATTGGAGCAAGTTTACGAGGAAGATTTACCGGGCACGGTGCAAGTCGCTGCGAGTCAGAGGCACGCAGCTTCGTTCGAGGGTTGGGACGCTCCGGCGGGGCCTCCGAACGGGACGTACATAACCTCTACCGGGACCCTCTACGCAGGGGCGACGCGCTCGGTTCGCGACGTCCTACGGTGCCCGCGACGCTACTCTTTGGTACTCGATCCTTCGGCCCACTCACGTACTTCGGGCGATTCCGCACATCCTCGCGATCGCGGCATACGAGTCCTTCTCGGAAAGCCGCGACGTATCGGCGCGCGACGAGTCACCGCGCGATCGCCACCCTTAAAGCTCCGCGCGACCGAGGACGGGCCTCGGGTCTGCCAAGGGGCTAACCGACACTCGCGGACGCGGCGCGTTCCTTCGCACTCGGCACTCCGGGCGAGACACACGCCCCGGCACCGGCGTCCACCCGCAATTATCCACGCCAAACGGATGCGGACTCCGGGAACACCAACGGACACGAACCACCGCCACGCAGGGCTACCGAATCGATGTGTGATGTTGCATTTCCCAGCTGTCTTTTTTGATTCTGCGGATGCGCCGCGACCGCCGCGCCATCTCGCGCCGGCGCCCCGAACCTCGTCGCCGCGCGGCCCAGGCGGCCCGGCGCGAAAATTCAAACCGACGCGAAGCTTCTGGAATGATCCCGCTAGAAACGTTCTCGATTATTTGGGGGAAAAAAAGGGATCATGGTAACTCGTGAACGACTTCAATGGGAAATTCTTATTTGAGTTGACTGGGATGCGATTGATGTTCCCAAATGTCGAATATGATATTATTATTTCCTTTGGAGTGATTTATGGTACACGGCGCGGGTTAACCAGACGACTCGTTTCTGATGTAATTTATTTGCGGTTATTTCATTTTTATACAATAATACAAGTACGAATGAACTTCGCTTCGGAATCTTATTTTAATAAATTACTATATCGATGTCTTACAATCCTGCCTTGAGACGTCATTGCGTTTCATTCCGACTCGTTAAGCCTAGGATTATTTATCACTGTAGAAACTAATGCTTGTATTCGAAAAACGCACGGGCCTTTATCTCGCTCGGATCCGCGAGAGCTTTCCGATTAATGAAAACTTCCAAAGTCCAAAGTCTACGTGTTTCTTTGAATACGGCACAGTATAGCTTTTTCCTGATTACAATTGAAATGGTCGTCGGACCGATTTCTATTTTAATATTGTACAGAATATAATTAATATGTTTCTTATATTTACACGCGAATAAAAGGTATATATAATTTCGAATTGCACGTGTACTTTGCAGTAAGGTGTCCCTTGGTGTGATTTCGCGCTTTGTGGTTATATCGTATACGCGAAGAATAATCGACGATATATACCTAATTAAAAGTGTAAATAAATGTTGTGGATAAACGTTGAAATGGCAAACGTGGAAAGGAGTGTACAAATTGCAGTATTATATTAACAAGTTCTCGTTACAATGGATATCGCGTTGTATTCCGTAATACTAATTATCATTGCACGCATATAATTTTATAAAAGAGGAACTTGGATACAACAAAACAACAATACGATGTACCGTACGTACTCGAGCAATTATTTGAAAATCCAATTACGTGATGTCCATTCAGTTTCGCATGAAAAACATGACACGGTTCGTCTATTAACGCAAACCCGTTATCATCATAACTTACATTATTCAGTTATTATTGTAACTTTATAATTGCTCGAGTGACGTGTTGAATTAAAACAATACAAATTTAATCGAAAAAGTTCCGTATTTTCAAACCAGTCCGACCATGCTAAGCGAAAAATCTTCAACTGTCATTTCTATTCCATAGGATAAAAACATTGTTTAATATTAACAGTACCCGATGTCAAAAGACATACCGAACAAAAATCACTCGCTACATTGTTTGGAACATTTTCAGTATAAACTTTTTTTCTAATACACCTCGTTTGCACACAGTATTGCCTTTATCTTGAATAGGTAGAAAATGCAGTAATGAAATTTTCGCCGAATACAGCAGGATTAAGAGCTAATATTAATCGTGTTCGAAATCCATTACAACTAAGACTCTTATCGACATTCATGGGGTAGTCCATCTTCTACGTCTCTCGATTTAAGGCTTTTAACACGTTCGCTGCCAACACCATCCACGGCAGTTACATTGACAGCCAACGCATTAATATCAAAACTAAAGACGGATTGTACCGACCACTGTTCGCCAATATAATTCGCAAAAATCTGTATCTCTGGGTATAACCAATATTTATATTGGCCAGTAATAATATCGATCGAAACGTCAACAAAGCTGACAGGAAAGTACCTCCTCAATCACCGTGTTAAAAGCGGAGTCGTTCAGATTTGATACAATTAACTTATGGCATATTTATTCCATGTTAAAAGCTCCTCCTTTAAGTATAGTGTCATACCCAGTACAACGTATGCTTCCTTAATCGAGCGGTATGATTACGTGTATATGCTGTAAATATATGACTCGAATGTCTCAGTCGCAGACGTATAGACATCTTAGAGCCTCGTGTTAATAACTATTAGCCGGATCTTCCGGATTCAAGGATCGCAAACATGTTTAGTGTTTTGATGTACGTTCCAAAGTGCAAATACACTCGAAGATCGGGCTAATTAATCACGTGGAATTACGGGAAAAAAAAAAGAAAATAAATGGGCGCTGTGAATGTACAATTCGGCGAACTACTATTCTTAATGTAAAAGGAAATAGCTATGCGAAGAACGGATTAATTGTTACAGACGTTGCAACCGCTTCGTTGTCGCTTACAACGGTAATACGAATAATGTTTAATATGTAACGGGGCGTGTTAAAAAGTCTACATAACGTAACAATTCTGTACAAGCAGGATGGAATGTATCAAATTCACACGTATCTTGTGTATTGTCGCCGACAAGATTTTCATTTCGTTGCTAACTACCAATTTAATTCATTCTTGAAAACTGCGTGAACGTCTTGTACTCCAATTGATAATCTTTTCAACTACGAATTACCGCTACTTGTCATGAAAGACGGTGGACGATCTTTATACGTACGGCATTCTGTTTTAATCTCTCCTTTTTACATATTTCAGTAAGATTACGTCATTTGATTTTTCTCCTAATACGCTGGAAATATTGTTTTGTACCAGCTGCTTCTCGAGATAATTGCGCGTTTATAATGGGTTTCCGATAGCACTCACATCGCATCGAAGCTGCTTGGCATTAATCTCTTTAATACACACTATGAGCGCCATTGTGGCACCATTATAATTGTAGCATCATGATTACAACAACAAAAAATAAAACGTCGCATTGCATATAGTTAGAGCAATATATGACAAGAGTACGTAGTTTCTTTTATATTTTATCCATGAAAGTACAAAGAAGCGGGCATCTCTGAACTGAGAGCATTTTAATGAACAGACACTATCAGTAAAGTTATTCCATTATATCTTCTTTAGTACTCACAACAGATAAGTATACAAGAAAATATATTTTAATGACTTTAACATAATAGACAAGTATTTGTTAATCCGGGAACTGATGCACACGAGGGTACATCATTTGGTGTTACTTATAAATTAAAATATCGTGGGAAGAAAAGAAAGGAACCGGCTCAATGTATAGGAATTGATTTTAAGAGTGTCAAATTAAAGATATAGAGAAACGCGAGTCCACATACTCGGATTAAATTGACCGTCCGTTCTACTTAATCATGTCTATATTTAAAGCCACACAGACCAAATTAAGAATACTCAGGCGAGTTTAACATCTTATTTAGAAGTCAATTTGGGCCGCATGATTTTGATGAAATGTTCAGAATTTTGATAACAGTTCCTGCGGACAAAACGGTTTTGGAAATTTGTAGGAATCTTTCCTTTACACAAGACCGATTCTGCCGGAGAACAATTATGGGAGGTTTTTTAAATATAATTATGAATTTTGCGAACGATGCTTGCGACGGTAATCAATGGATGTTCTTGTGCAATTATTATGCCCGAATGAAGGGTTTACAAAAATACTGTACTGCTGAGAAACCGCATTTAATTTATGGATTACCACCATCATGTCACCAGCATCGTGTACTAGCGAACTGGAAAGATGATTAGGTTGTTCGCTTAAAGCTAATCGCAAGTTAGTTGTAAATTTCCATGCGCTTAGTAATTTCATTTCAAGAGCAGGACATAGAAACGATGTAAATGCCAGGGTTATGATTTAAAAAAATAGTTAATATGATAGCATGAAAAAATCAATTGATGGTGATCAAGGTAATTGCCGTAAAATGCCTATTCCTAGAATTATATTCCAAAAAGAAATGTTACTCTGAACCACCTTTAAATACAACCATTTGTAATCCCTATAAAATTGTAATTTTTTTACACTTATTTACTCCTTTGCATGAACTCTTCAATCCGTATAGAATAATGCTTTGCTATCGGTGAGTACTCTAATAATTATGTTGGACAAACTTAATAAGGTGCATGAAGCATCGTATGATTACCAAACGATCTTCGTTTAAACATCGGGAAAAATTTAGAATGTAACATTATACACAAGCAATCGGTTCTATTAAGTGAAGTATAAATGTTCAACAATATTTCAAATTCATTGCTGGTACATTTTTAATTGATCACTTTGCAATCATCATTGATTTCTAAGATACAACACTAAAGCGTCACGTTGAAGCGTGACGGGTCAAACCGACAATCGATTGCACAGAATTACAGCTTGAAAAATACTTTGTCCATGATTTTGCACCCTAACAAGTTGCGTAATTTTCCAACGGTGCCGCTTCAATCAAGGCACGCTTGAATAAAATATTACATTCGAGAAAATCTCCCATGACCATTACAGAATTAACGATCATACCTTCTCGGGCAACTCGTATCGAACTATAATCGATTATTATTGTTAAATATTAATGACTTTAACATTATAGTAAGGTTATAACAGGTGAAAGTGAGAAGCTAATACATCTAAAGCTGAGCTGTGTACTGAGTTCAATGTAGAAGAGATATGACGGTGAACTTTTAAAATAATTAAGTTGATTTAAAGTGCAGTTTATATAGTAAGTAATCGTTATAAGATGGCTTATACGGGTGTTCCTACGCGTGTATGTAAATATATACCTATATAATTCTATATATATATATATACATTATATTACAGGTATCATAATAAAAAATGGTATCTCGCGCTAATCCACCCCAGCAAATCCTTGCGAGCCTTCAATCGCCTTAATTAGTTTATCCCTGAGTTGCTGATAACTTTCATATGGCGGCAGGTCTATTCGATTAAAACTGGAAAAATATTATCTTTCTTTATGTTTGGCGTTCATTTGAATTGTAAATATGATATCGACCTTAATAGCGATGAAACCGTCAGACTACTCACTACATTCCCGCCGTAGTTTAATTAAAAATAAAATTAAGAGCTATTGGAATATTGGAAAAGATCGTGCAAGTCGATTTAAACTTCTGAGGATTTTAACATCCGTGTCAACTGAATTAGTAATTACAATCTGATAAATATTTCCAAACCACTTACCACGTGTGAGCCCTGGGATAATTATCTGGAATGCCCCATTTCTCGATCGTGAATAACTGCGGCCCGTTGCTGCCATACAACTCCTTAAAGCCGTTCATGGGCACACGAGAAGTTCCAGTTACGAACTGTAGAAGTCTCGCCCTCATTTCGTTATTGAAGGACAGGACTACTCTCCAAAACCATTGCACCGTAATATGGTTCGCGTGATACTCTCCTTTGTATAGAGTATTCTGCTTCCAATCCTTTACATCGATATGCTGTATTCCGCACATTAGCAATTCCAATTCATTTTCGTCAAATATTTTCACCAAGGTCAGCGGTACCAGCGCGTTAAAACCTTCGAGAAAGGCATTCATCTGTTCCTGTACACGGGAGACGAACCTCCACTGAATAACTAAACTTATGTACTCGTCCTTGTTCTCGTCCGTCAGCGGCACGTTTGAACCATTCGGCTTCAGCTCCCTTTGTGATGTATGTCCAAAGCTTTCTTCGTCAACGCAAAACGTTAATTCCAATTCACTGGGATCGTTCTCCTTGATCCATAATAAAGAATTGTAGTACTCTGAGTCCACACTTTCCATGTCCTTAAGGTCAATTGTCTTGCCCAACATCATTTTGTAGAACGGTCGGATAAAGAAAGCTTAAAGAAGAAAATAATTCCTTATTTATTTAAAAATTAAACCCCCGATCGAATCATTTTAACTTTACTCACAAATAGAATGTTTGATGCTTCTACTTCTTAGTTGTACTTACCATCCAACAGTTTTCCGTGATAAACAGCCATGCCTGCGATACGTCCAATGAACTTAAAGTAATTCAAATGTTCCTCGTTGCATACTCCAGAGAAAGGGTTAATTTGAAGGGTATAATTGTCCCTAAAGGGTCGAAAATAAAACGTTCATTATTTCGGCACTGCCATCAGTCTTCGTAAATAGTTATTTAGTGAAAAAACTACTTACATGGCAGAATACTCGAAAAGTCCATAATACGGATTAAACATCTCTTTCGAAAGCAAGAAGAACCATTCGCGTGCAAGTCCACCATAATCCAAACCAACTTCACCTTCGAATTCAACCCATAATTTCGTCTTTAGAATTTCAACTCTATTAACTGAACTAATTATACGGTATGAATCTTCCAAGATGTTCGTTCGCCCCACCTTGATCTCAAATTTATTAGGTACGTTATTCTGGAAACAAAATACAACTTGTATTAAACATTTTTTTTTTACGTTTTTAAAGTTTCAGTAGTTCAACTTTTGATATAAATACATTAAATAACCATTGTTAAATGGTCATGATTGCAATTATTTAAACGATCCACTAAATGGATATCGTATGACGTATACTTACCGGTTTTCTAAGTTGAGACTTTAAGTATTCGTACTTGCGCTTGTAATCTCTGGAGTAAGGAACAGCCTATAAACACATAAATTCGCAGTGAATATTGAAAAGGCGTAGCATTAAATATTACTTGTTAATTAACATTTTTAAAAGCCTACCGGTCCAGCGATCTGTGGATTAGACATGCGAGGGTCTTCCCATTGCGTTGTCCTCGTATCTGGTTGATAATCATAAACAAGTTAATACACTTAATATAGATACGAATGTAAACTCAGCTGCTCGAAATTGTGCAAAAGTGGTTAGGAAAAGAATGTCTACCAATCTTGACGCAATCTGCATCACTCACTGTGATCAATGAAGAATATTCTTCCATCAGTGTGTACTCTTTCTTCCCAGCCTTCAGGTAGAGGTCCAAGTTGGTCTAAATCACTTCTGGGGGTGGTAGAAGGTGCATTATGACTAGGTATAGCACTAGGTCTGCCAGTTCTGGGATCAACCCACGTCGTGGCCCTCTTATTATGGTCTATAAAGAACATTCTGCCATTTGGAGCCAATTGCATACTCCATCCTGGGGGAAGTCCTTCTCCTTTTAAGGCAGGGATCGTCGGAGCCTTCGGACTCTCGATCTAAATATTAAACGAAATTGATTTTCAAGTTGTTCATTCTACGATCATGAATATACGATTTTGATAATTATTTTATTAAAGCAGGCCTATAGGACAAACTGCAAAGTACAGTTCAGAACATTATAGAATTAACCATACTTTGTTTCCCTGGGCTGTTTACTTAGTTTTCCCACTTAGACGAGATTTATTTTTATAATCTTTTCATACTGTTGCATTTAAATAAGTGGTGCGACATTCTCATTCCTTTAAAAATGCAGTGCTGACATTCAGTGTACTATGCACTGGTTTTACATTTCTTGTACGCATTAGCCCGTTAGTGTTAAAACGCATGGACATACAGTAGGGTATAAGCGTGCATTACTACGTTTGGTCGATATTTATAGCATTATAATTGAATAATTTAATAGCTGACAATTTACCTGCTCCGATGACCGTCTAGAACCAGCTGGGCTATCCACATTGTCATCGCTCTGAAGAAACATGTTCAGGTTGTTTGTTACTTCAAGGTAGAAATAATACTAAACTAAATTTTAAGATTTAAAAATCGAGTACTTTTAACGAATATAGAAAAAGATACGGCAGTAATTAAATGCCAATTTCGAAAAAGTCTTACAATGTACATTAGCATCAAAATAATATTTCAATAAATTCAGTGCCTTCTCCGGTTCTAACCAAAATTCGTCCTTTTAAAGTGTAGAACATGCAACTAATATTTACTAACTGACGTTGACTACAATGAGTGTCATGACATATTACAAGCTATCGTAATTAAAAAATAAAAAAAGCGCGCGAGCTTCCTCAAATGATGTTGAAGCATGCGTGTCTGCCGACATTAATTGTCTCGATTCGAATTGTTAATAATGAGGAAAAATGTGAAATTAGCGTATACCTGTTCATCGCATTCACCCAAGTAGCCGTGTTGATCGACAGAGCGGCCGGAGTCCGAAGAAGCATCCCCAAGAACCCTTTCCCCGTTTTCCCCACCCTGACATTCCCTTCCAGCCACATCCTCATCCTCCATCCGAGCAACTTCACCGTCCTTACACACACATATGCACACATTGCTTCATACCGCATGCGAGCTCGCTTTAAGTCAGTTATCTCTTAGCACTCCTAAGAAGCGATCTCAAGGTAACGTGAAACCTGATGAGTGATTTACGGGAATATGTATCTCAACAAAATTTAATATCTAGAATGTTTGATTCATGTTTAGACGTTACTTCTCAGATCAACTATGATATAAGATTCTTACAAACGACACACCTATACTTAATTGTAAATAAAAGATCCAGATACTAAATTTAGTAGAAGATTGAATGTCTGACTACAAATTGCAAAACGGACAGAACTTGAGGAAGAGTGTGGGGATCCTTACTCGAGAGGTAACTTAAGTGTCCTAAGTGTTTAAATGAATATTAATATCAATACCGAATAGTGTGTAATGCGAAAGGTTGCAAAGAGATGCTTAAAAACTACGGAATTATATAATGCGATTATTTTGATGTACCAAAATGAATTAATATTTACTTAATGACAGTGGATATGCACGGATATGTTAGTCAACCAAATTACCTCAATGTTAAATGTTCATGCGATAAGAGCTAAACTTTTCAAGATGTCATGCCACGTACTCATGAATTTTACTATTTAAGCCATGAGGACAAGTGTGCTCTTTTTCAAAGAATCTTGTACTCTAACTTCTTGTATACCCTGAATAAGTGATTGTACGGTGCAACGTACATTTACTAGCACAGTTATTTATGACCTTTCTCGCACAAGCAAACGAATGCTACGATTTAAACAATCTGAGAAGACAGCGGTACCGATTCTAAAAGTTATATCTACACTTTTCATGCTAATGTCCTAAGTTTGTCATGATTTTCTAAACAAATAAATTTCAATGTTACCTGATTGATGACGGAACTTCTGGGCCGACTTTCTGCGTCATCCACACTAATGTGAAATCGTCGCTGGAATTCCGTTGCTGCCGTATCCAAGTTTCGTTGCTCTGTGGTTATTCCGCCAGTAGGAACTTGATTTCTAAATGCATTAGACGATAATTACACCGTTTAAATTTGACGCTGTAAATACTACTGACGCCATAACGTCCTCCATAATTCCAACGAAAAATAGTAGAGGTATAAAAGGAAAGGTTTTATTCAACTCACGTCGTTGGTCGTTCCCATTGAGTAAATCTAGCTATATGATTGACATAATATGTTCTGCCATTCGCATCTTGCCTTTCTTCCCAACCTGGAGGCAGTGGACCATTTATTATTACCACCTAGTAACAGATATTAAGTTGTAAATAATTATTGTCATTCGCACATCATTTTGCCTATTTATCAGTAATCGAGGTTGTTATTATAATAAATGAGTACTGGACAATTAGAAATGCTATATATTATACCTCTGAAGCTTGCTCCACAGGGCTGTTATTTGATACAGGTGCAGGTTGATCCAACAATTCCCATCCTCCTGAATCAGGTGCATTTTCACCTTCTCCGGTATCTACGCCCGGCGAGTCCGAAATATAAGCATGATATATTTCCAACGTCCCCTTAACTCTTGACCGCTGACTGGAATGATTACTATACCATATCCTCGTCCATTATTTGATTTGCATTAGCAAAAGAAACAGAAAGTGACGAAAAAGTTTAAAAAAGCATAATAACAGAGTGCAAGATATAACAAAGCTTTATAAATTAAGGCTGGTATCTTACATACTGAAAAATTACCAAATTTATTGGAGATATGTGCAGGAAGAAAAGTTCCATTTCTTGAAAATGTTGAACAAAAAGTTAATTCAAATTAAGGGAAAGAACCATCAATTACCCATGATGCTCATGCACAAGAGTCAATACCCTTGGTGATCTTATTAGGTAAAATAAGATTATACGTAATCCAGAAACATTAGTAAAATTATAAAGTGGGAAAATTATAATTCATTCTTTAAAAGGCAATTATGGAGAGGAGACTCACCTGCGAGGTCTAAGTATATACTGTTTAACAGGAATGGTTCGGCCTTCTTGTTCTTTTGGTAAGTTAATCAACGTCAGTTCTACCATTCCAAGGAAATCATCTCTCGTCAATCTGTTTTCATCGAATACTTGCAGCACCAGCTTGTGTTCCACTGGTTTAACCTTTTCAAATAAATTCCATGTGTTATAAAGCATACAGACGAAAATTATATTTTTTTTCTAGATATTTATATTACTAGTAGTAATTAAATGTGATTACACTCACAATGTCTAGTATGTCCACAGAACCATATTCTAATACATATATAGTTGAAACTCAGTCATTTGTTACCTAAGATAATGTTATTTAATGTAAATAATATGAGCAAATCTTACTCTAAATATGAACTCTTCTTCCCAAATAGGATTCAATGTCTTCTTCTTAGTTTTTGTAAGTATCGAGTCCACAGTCTCATTTCCTCTTATGGTGTTCAGATCAATGCGAACATATGGATCACTTGCACCAAAAATGTCTTTTTTCGCAAGATGGTGCCCAGCAATCACCCTCAACCTCAGCCTGCTGGTCCCATCTTCTCTCTATATTAAAAAAAGGATTATAATTATCCTTAAAAAAGTTTAATCAATTTAGGAGCAAATATCAATTTAGGAGCAAATAACAATTAAGCTAAATAATCTTCTAAAGTACACAAGAAATAAAATCATGTCTGCATATTTAATTTAACTATTAATCAAGATTGTTAATACGTTTGCAACACGTGAGCATGACAATTGAATTACATATCTATTTTATGGAAATGTGCAAGAAACCAAATGTATTATCTTCAACTTATGCGGATAACGTCAAAACCACCCGAAGGCTTTCACTTTAACATATCGAACGAAGGAACAACACACTTCAGAATTCTAAAAAATATTAATTTGTCAGAAGCTATGAGTAACTGTATGATTCTGTATTTGACAAGAAAGCAATGTTTTGACAAAATTCCCAAATAACTTAACATTGAAGCGTCCGCCTCATTCACCTTAACAGCTATATTGGGATTCAAGAAATAGATGTAATGTGGTAATTGAAATAACAACGTGCGAGTAGCCGAAATAGCATGTCTAGTCAATTTTGACACACTGTTCCGTGGTAGCACAAAAAAGAATTATACAACTCATCCATCTTTAGTACTGCACCCACGGTCAATGAACACGTTGAACATTGTAATTAAGACGATAGACGCTAGTAAATCGAATAACCACAGAAGCCCGACGTTTCATCGTCCTAGCCTAATTTCGGAAGGTAACATTAGAACATTTAGCTCGGTAAACACCACTCCGAAATAAATCGTTGAAAAGCCAACTTATACTTGTCAAACTGTCAAAAAATTTACACACGCATTGCCCGTCGCCGCCGGCGTTCGGATTATATCCGTATTCATGTTCCTCTGCCATTAACCTTCACGAAGCGTAGAATGTTTCCCAATTATCGATGACTCTTATGAAAATGATCACGAATCACGATTTATTGTGTTCCATCAAGAAACCTATTTTGTCTTAACCCCACTCCACCTGACTCCGTCACTGAAAATTCGCAGCCGAGTCAGACGGATGTAGCGTACGTTTAAAGATGGCTGCCAATATGGCCGCCAACATTCCCAATTCCTTGTCTTCCTTTTAAATAACAAATACTATTGTCTAATACCATTGGGACCGTCAAACTTTCTCTAATTATATACCAAAACTTGAATGATTATCACCTACTTCTAATTGAACACGTTATCTACCATGAAAACGTTTCGATTCTAATTCGAAATTTCAATGCTTCCAATGATTCATAGCGGTTGTCACGAGTACCCTGAGATTGGAATGGCGCGGAATTTAAATTATAGTTTCGGATTTTTTTTAGAAAGTTTGATAATTTTGTATAAAATTCTCAAATATAAAAGTAATTAATAGAATTCTGTAATGCCTTTTGCATATGCATCATTTCTCTCCAATATACCATTTATATTGACAATATACATATGGAATTAAATTAATTAAACTGGTGCTACTCAATAACTTAACTTTCGTTATACATAATGTAATGAAATATTCTTACCGCAGGTTCAACTAAAGAAAATCTGCTCATTCGTGCTGTAAGAGCAGCTGCCTGCGAGACAGAAGATCTTCGCCTTGCACAAAAGGAATTAGCACGCCGTCTCGGTACAGGTGGTTCGACACCCACATAACCATGGCAGGACACGGTAGCGGACATCTTGTATACTTTTCTTCTTAATTACAGTATGCTTTAATTAATTTCCTATCTTTGTTCTCACAAACTGGAATTTTGAGTCCTCGCTTCATGTGGCCACAGTATTGTCATATACATCTGGGAAATACATAATCCGATAGCTGTAGTGTGAAGTATTTTAATAAGTAGCGATATCTAAAATTTGAAATTTTTTCAGAATTTAAGCTACCAACATTTTCTTAGAAAAAGCAAAAAGCACTTGATTAATATATATAATGATCACTATTTAAATCACTGTATGAACATTCATAAGAATTCTCACCAATTTACAAATTTGGAGTACTAATTGGCATAATGTCACAGGTTGCGGTATAAAATACAGAAAACACAATGAATATGCACAATCCAATATTCAATGCCATCTGCCGTACCAGGCTTGATATTGACTAGAAAATCATTGAAACACTGGATAACGATTTTTATATAACACAGGTTTAGTTCATGTTATACTGAGAAGTACTAATTTCATACGATATCACTTTTATCAACAGGTCACAGATTGATAAATAATATGTCAGTTTACTCTGTAATTAAACGAATTTTCCTAAAACGTCCCTACGTTTCTTTTTTTCTTCTAAAATACTGATTATAAGTACCACATCGACTTCACCCACATGATAGAGTGGTATTACTGAATCTCATTACGTACATCTAAAAAGTACAGATTCACAGCGAATCAAGAAGATAAGACTTGTGCTTGAATAGGTATGTGATAACACATATTAATGCAATGGCTTAGTGTGTGACAGGATCAAGATAAACATAATTCAATGTATGTTAACACGCATTTACGAATACGTGATATTCTTAAAACAAATGGAAGTTAATAGAACGAAAGGAATTAAATAGTAGCTAACCAATTTTTGGAAAATACTGATGTAATTCTTGATAAATCCAAAGGTACTCATTGTTCCAACACTTTCTAGAGCAGTTAAATTATTCACAAGACACAGTCATATTTCACTGCTCCAACTTTCGATTTTCTATAAAGGTTAGGAAAACAAGTGTGCCTAGTAGCACGATTTACGGTATATTCAGATATAAAGTCCCCTTCCTTGCTCGTGTTATATAAATCTTAGTATTTCCAGAGGTCTATCTACAAGAGGATTTTATACATAGTGGTACAGATTTACTTCCAAGAAATGCTCTAAATTACTTCAAGGTAATGATTTAATGTGCAGTTCTCATAAAACCACTCTCTGAAAGTAACTTTTAAGAGCTACAGCTATGAGTTAGTTTTCAAATGCTCTTGCATACCTGTTCTATTTGTCCATCTTTATAAAAATGCACTATGAATAAATATAAATGATGTGACAAATGGTGTTAAATCTTACTTAAGTCCTACATAAATTTTTAATATCCCTTCACTTTGATTGACTCGTAAATTTCCGTATTATAAAGCACAATGGTCCTGAGTCCTGTGCCATTCGACTAAACTGAATGTGACGTGACTGGTTGCCGGCGTATGATGCAAAATAACAATTTTTAAATTCATATCACATACTTGGTTGACCATGAAGAGTAAATAACTTCCTCCATGAGTAGCAAGTTGGTACGCCATTTCTTAAGCAATCCGAAGCAGCGGAATTTCACTTTGATAATGTTATAAAAATAATAAACACTACTATTTTCATTCGTTCAAAATAATAGAATATAATTAATTATGATTAATACAATTTGATTGCTAACTTGAAGTGTACTAATGTCCCATAGATATACAATTATAGTAAAATATGAATAAATTACAATTATTAAAATTAAGGAGCTATACTGTATAAAATAGAATTCAGCCAAAATTAGTTATCTAATAAAATCTTACCATTATTTACAAAATGTTTAACATATTCATCTTATTTGACAGTAAAATCCTACCTATCAGGAAAGACTGGAACTTTCATATTCATTTTTGAAGGATAAATCATTGTTTAAATCATCAGCCATATTTTGCGCAACTTTCACCTATGTGTAGAATACAAAGTTAATTTTAGCAAAACTGTCAGTTATACAGCACGTCTGGAATTCAGATGAATACCTTCCATTAAAGAAAAATTTGTTAGCCTGTTTCCTTCACAATATCCTATCGTATTCTATTCGGCAGATCATTACTTAATATCATTGTAGAACAATAATACTGACTGATAGTGGTTTCTACGATCCAAGAACAATAATGTGATCTATTAATTATACATACACAAGAAAAAGAAACACAACTTACAAACAATTTCAGAATCTTAATATATAATGTCCATGTGAATAGTATTAAAACACGAAAAGGAAAAGTAACGGCAAAAGCCAAAATCACTGTTTTTTTCCAAACTTTAATGTTGGCTCTTACCGTCATAATAATTGTTCCATAGGCGTGCATTTTTTGCATTGATTGAACTCTTCAAAATTTTGATGAAAAAGGAATTCTAACAATACATTAAATTAATTACTCTTAACTCGTAACATGATTCTGTAAACATTATACACACAAGATAATTACACATAGCAGCTGTTCAACATAACAGTATCAGTTACATGATTAAAAAAAGTAGACTTCGTATAAATCTGACTGCTCGCAAGAAGTACATAAATCGGACAAGTTTTATTAAATATAATGTTAGGCTATTGTCATTACCCCCTCCCTCTCCCTCAGAGGAATAATTCAGTTTTTGGAACAGATTCGTCATTAGTGTCTAAGAACATTCTTTAAAGTTTCAAGATAAATAGTTACGCAATTGCAAATGGGACATTAAGCATTTACCATATTTGATTTGCATTCACTATCATTTCAATCACGCTCATACAAGTAATTATATTTCCTAGAATAAATCAAGGTAAGTTAGAAAACTGAATAAGAACTTTAGCATTTTGAAATGAAATCCTCCGAAAAGATAAAACATTCACAACAAGATTGAATTACCAGTCTTATATATTGCTTACAATTTACTAAATTTAAGTGCTCGATATTCTCAGTCAGTTAAATAACCATAATTTTGAGTAGTGAAACAAAAGCATAGCAGTTGTAATTGGTTAAACTTTTTTATAAATCGCCACAACCATGCCGGGTTATTGCAGATCATTGATTTTATAGAAACCTGCTATGACAATAATTAAACTTCGTATTTAATACCAAACTACTGTATGCATAGGTAGCAGATTTTTCTAAATTTCTCAAGTTTTATGTATGTATGTACTTATGGATCTGATATTTACACTGTTTTATTCATAAAACCAGCACGTATTTCAATTAATATAATTTACCTGTTACAAAAGACGGCAGATGTTCAGAAAAATTTGCAACTATAATCGCGACTTTTGCTTTATCGACCTGAAGTCTGAATGTTTAAGGACTTAGCAGACCCCTCGTTAATTTCATTACCGCGATTTATAAATACGATACATGGAATGTCGTACAATGCGCTCTCATTTAATCTGCATTAACTCCTGCTGAAAATATTACACCATTTGCATGCATCCATTATAAATAACACATTGTACGTGTGCAATATTAAAGAATCCCAATAGAAGTGACATACCCTATTGGAATTTGCTAGGAGTTGTTTGAATGCAAAGGAATTACAAACTTTGGTCCAAAAGGGGATTTGTACGTAATTCCAACATCTGAAAAGACTTTGTTAGGTAGAGCAAGGTTGCAGAGATATAACCTACCATTCTCTGCACTGTGAGACAACGGCAAACCGCCCAATAAACTAAATTTACTTAAAATACCAGGTGTACCCAGAGCTGGCGGTTCGATTGCTAGAATTGGAGCTCTATTGTTGTTAGCCCATTTAGCTATAGGACTCACCATCTTTGGTGAGCTTTCTTCACAAAGAGCAACAAGAATTAGGTCCACGACAACGGGTAAATTTTTAACTTTTGTCTCTACTTTGTTACCGGTCAGCTTATACAGGGTCAGTTCTTGAAGTAAGGAAACGTCTTCTGAATTTTCAATGTAAACTATTGTTTTCACACCATGACTAGAGAGTTGACGGGAACAGTTAACACCAGCTGCTCCAGATCGATGAGGCCCACAAAGCGCCACTACTGTTGGCCATTGGTGTGCATTGTTTGGATTGAATCGATGAGCACCACCCAACAACTGAAGGATGATTTCAGACCCGGCACGACCAAGCAGCTCCACCTAATTTTTAATAAATCGGCATATAGTGATTTTAATTCTTTACGCAAAACAATATGCATTCCACTTCTTAAATATGTATCATTTATTGTATTATAAATGTACTACTGATGTTACCCTGCGTTCCCAACTGATTCCGAGCCTATCAGCGGCACCAATTAAACGACGATGAAGGTCAAATGTAATACTGGGGATAACTAAACCGTCGTCTGTAACATATTCTTTCGCATCGGGACATGGCACCATTATCTGTCTGAATTCTGTTGGCTCCCCTTCGATTATGTTTTCATCATGACGATATTTTCCAGTTGTTCCTCGATTGTTTTCTGACTGTCGAATAATGTCTGGCTTAAGAGAATTAATTTCTTGCCAAATAGCCTGTTATAAACAAGGGATATACTCTTGTCTTACAAAGGAATATAAATGTTTTTCTTACCGAACGTTATAGGAAAATATTTATTACTGGCTAAATATAACATAATCATAAAAACAAACCTCTTTATCAAATAGCGCCAAGTTTTTTTCAAAGTCAAAATCTTGACTTAACGATTGATCAATTGGAGTACCAAATGTATGTTCATCTCTTTCAAGCCGTTTCTGTCTATTTGTTAATCGCCTTTGAGTTGAAGTATTCTTAGCAGCACTTTCGCCTGAAAATATGTTTTTTGTTACTTAACAATTGGTACCAAAGCTCGTTTTACATTAGATTCTCAACCTGTGCGTCTATGTCAATGAGTACAATGGATGAAATTGTATGAAGTATTACCTAAATTAATTTTACCATTAAAGCAGGGCTCCAAATTGACTGGCGGTGCATCTGCTTGTTTCTTAGCACTTGGTTGGGCTTGACTACTTGTAGGTTGTACTATTGGAGCAATACTATCGGATACGGATCTTTCAGCTCTCTTTGCTATCGGTCTTTTCACGGTTACTTTACTTTGCAATTGCCCATCTGTAGTGCTAGCTCCAACTTCCTCAGTTGAAATGATCTTTACATATAATATATCTTTTGCGCTGTAATATTTGTGTGCCGTGATAAAATTAATGAAATGTTTAAACCTACGATATACAGTGCAATATTACATAGAATTTAAAGAACTCACAATAAAACAACTAGAGGAGATGGATATGGTATTCCATTACGAAATGCTTTTGTAAGGATCACTGTGTCTCTATTAAGATCCACAATCTGGCCTTGATACGTTCCTAATGGATTAATACATTTTATTGATACGGTACATCCAATAAACTGTTCTGACATTTTGAAGGCCTGAAACTGAATCAAACTTGTTTAAGCCAATGTATTTCTTACTATCGTATCATTAATTAATCTCATAAGAAATATTTCTAAAGATTTAAATTTGCCGACCTTAGCATTAAACGACATCGCGACTTTTGCATGAATGAATACAAGGAAATAATAAATGATTTTCATACCTGTTTTAATCAGCCGTATAAGCGACTTTGTCAAGTAACAATTAATAAATAAAACAATTTCATCTGCTTCGATTCTCTATAAATACTTTTGGAAGGGGTTGATAATTATTCGATCTAAATTAGAAACACCACTTTAACGTAATGGTTCCGTCCACGTTGGGAGAAGAAGACAGTACTCCAAAAGCAATGTTAAAGAGATCACTGTCCCCACTATTTCAGCACTTTCTGTCTTTATCTTTCATAGAAGATTATAATTGCTATTTTCGAAATGCTAGTTCCATAGAATTAAAATCTTTACAGAACACTCCGGATCAACAAGGTTTGTTCTTGTTGGGTGAATACATTTTTCACCCTTGTAAACGGTCAACCAATTACATCGTATATTTTTCTTACTAGTGGATTTATCTCTAGGTGCACATGAAACATACATTTCTGTGGTTTTCTATATTTATAGATGCAATGGTTTTTTATGAAAACTGTGAAAGTATATATCAAATTTAGTAAACGTGAAATGACACTACTCATAGTATATAAGCTACCTTCAACTCCGCATGGGGGCAGCAAAGGACCGATTCACAATATATGGCACGAAAAGATTTACACTAAATGATATACATTCAATGCCTTGATGAATAAATTAACCTCGGTGTAAACGTAGTATTTGATTTGTACTAACTGGTTTAACGATGTAAACTAGCTCCATTGGTGTGCACTTGACAGTTTCGAGTAAGATTGTGGTCAAAACTCAAAGACGTTTGTTTTTGTCTAATTAATATTTATCAAAATTCATGACGGAAACTCGAGATATTTTTTTATTGATAAATATTGTATTTTTGCACAAATCTGTAGCCTCTCTTCGATCGAAATATATCACCACGCATCGTTATGCCGGTGACGCCCATTGAGTTGCAGTAACTTCTTAAAGATTAGTCATTTTAGAGTCGTGACGATAATCTGTAAAAGCTTTTTATAACGAAATTAATAAGACAGTTTATGATTTAGAGGTCACAGTAAGAAACGAAAAAATATGGACAGCAAAGGCAGAAAAGTCATCGTGTGTGATAATGGAACGGGGGTGAGGTTATCAACTTTACTACTAAATGGTCTGAAGCAAAAATTAAAGAGCAACCGTGAAACTATGAAGACGAATTATTTAATACCAATATTTCATATGTAAAAAATTTATTTTGCATTATAATGTTCTACAACTTATTTTTCATCAATTTCATGTGTTATTCGCAGTTCGTCAAATGTGGATATGCAGGAGCAAATTTTCCAGCGCACATATTTCCATCATTAGTAGGACGGCCTATTATCAGAGCTGTCAATAAAATTGGAGGCATAGACATTAAGGTATTTCAGTTCTCATATCCTGCGTAATGTACGTGATATGTATATCATTATGTATAAATGATATACAAGATTTCATCTATGAAAGTACTTATTACAACCAAATTAAAATTAATGCATTTATAATAATTACCCCATATTTTTCTCGTTTCATATTATCAATGCATTAAATTTAATTAATAAAAAATGTATAGCAAAACATTACCTTTGACATTTCTTTTTCTACGCGTTTTTTCAGTATTAACTATTTGTAATCCACAAATTCTTGCCTTAAAGCAACAGTCATTTTGCAGCTATAAATTGAAAGAAATGTTTTTGCACGTAATGGAAATATATTAATTTCAATTTTAGGTTTTATTAATGTTAAGATTAAAATTATTGAAATGTCAAGGTGTCAAGAAAAGTATATACGTATAATAGATCAATGATAATATATTATTCTTTTTTGAATGTCACCCGAATGTTCGTTTTTTTTAATATTTTGTTCAGAAATGTAATTTATTCGCTTATATTTCTTGTTTGATTTTGTAATTTAATGCTATGATTTTATTTTCAGCAAGAACATTGTGTTCGTGTAAGTCAGTTTGTAAACTTATGTAAAGAATATTTCTTTTATGAATGCTGATCAATGGTAATCTGAGTTCAGAATGTATATAAATTATATACATGAAATGCTCAGAATTGACCACTCAGGAAATATGAAAAATTCATTTACTTCATTCCGACTCTTAAAAGTAATATAATTAATGTTTGATAAATACATTAATATTTTTAGATGAAGTTCATTACATATCAACGAGTGTAATTTCAGTAGTTTAGAAAAAGATATTTTTTCTTTTCTACTGAATAGTCATCGCTATTAATAAGAGTATACATCAAACTAAATTTTCTGTAAAACATTAGTACTGAGAATTTTTTTTCAAAATTACCTGGAGAACTTTTGGTGAGACATGTAATGATGTTAGTATTTAACTTTGTTTCATAATTCCATCATCAATGATCACTAATTCATAGATCAAATATTTCTCTGGGCATTTCTATTTCGTGTGCGAATGCAATGATATTCAATATGTTCTGCTCTTAACAATTACTTAATATATTTGTATGCTTACTGTTGCTTACATAGGATGTGCTTAACATGCCTGTAAGTTTATTGCTATATTTGTCATTAATGTCTGTACTAATAATATAAATGAAATAGTCACGTTTGTACCATACTCGAAGTGGTCAGATTTTAAAATTAATTATACTTTTCAAGTTATGATAATATAAAACTGAATAATATCATGTAATCATAGAATAGAGTATTATGATTGCAACTGCAAAAAAAGTATGGTGTAGAGTAAGTTTTTATAATGCAGCTCAAGATTTGTATTTATTTAATCGTACAACTAGGTGTTTCCAATGAATACTCTATCAACGTATAATTTTAATGAGAATGGTTCTGCAAAACTGATAAAAATTAGTATTATTATGCAGACTTCCTATAGGTACTCAGGCATTAATGTGTTATGTATATAGAGTCAGTTGTAGTTCCTTTTGAGAGTGTACATCTGTTTGTTATGCAAATAATTTGTATTAACATATAGAATTGATTGAGTTTTATACTTATAATAGGATTTGATGGTTGGTGATGAGGCAAGCAAACTTCGATCTATGTTGGAGATCAATTATCCAATGCAAAATGGTATTGTTAGGTAAGTGATATTTACTTTAGGGATTTGAACTTCATAATTAATTCTATGGTATCATCTGATTAGGAACTGGCAAGACATGTGTCATGTTTGGGATTACACATTTGGAAAGGAGAAAATGAATATCAATCCCAGAGAATGTAAAATATTATTAACGGAACCTCCTATGAATCCTACTAAAAATAGAGAGAAAATGATACAGGTGAGTAAGTTAATTGTTATTAGAGTAAAAGTAGATTTTGTGTGAAGTAATGAATAATTTAATAAAATAATGAATAATTGAATTTGTTAAATATTTATATTTCTCGATGCTGGTATTAAGATGTAATTAAAGCATCCCAAATTTTAACAATATGATAGGTGATGTTTGAAAAATATGGCTTCGCTGGAACATACATAGCTGTTCAGGCTGCGCTGACTCTTTACGCCCAAGGTCTAATCAGTGGTGTAGTGGTGGATTCAGGTGACGGAGTAACTCACATATGTCCTGTCTTTGAAGAATATACTTTGCATCATTTGACCCGACGATTGGACATTGCTGGTCGAGATATCACCATGTATCTCATAAAATTACTTTTGTTACGTGGTTATGCATTCAATCACTCAGCAGATTTTGAAACGGTTAGAATGATGAAGGAAAAATTATGCTACATAGGATATAATATTGAGACTGAAGAGAAGTTAGCACGTGAAACTACAGTATTAATGGAATCTTATACAGTAAGTGGAAAGTGCGTACGATGGGTGTTGCGTAATACGTAAAATTGCAATTTACTTATATATTAAGTTATCAGCTTCCAGACGGCCGTGTAATAAAAGTCGGCGGAGAAAGATTTGCAGCACCAGAAGCACTTTTCCAGCCCCATTTAATCAATGTCGAAGCTCTAGGAATTGCAGAATTGGTATTCAGTACCATTCAATCGGCAGACATTGATATGAGAAGTGAATTATACAAACATATTGTACTAAGCGGGGGAAGCACAATGTATCCTGGGCTTCCATCAAGATTGGAACGTGAAATCAAGCAACTTTACGTACAGAGAGTACTTAAAAATGATACCGCAAAATTGGGGGTAAATACAGCACATTTTTTTCTTAGAATTTTAATTAACTCTATGATAATATTCTCCTTAAATTTATGCAGAAATTCAAAATAAGAATAGAAGATTCTCCGAGGCGGAAAGACATGGTATTCGTGGGTGGAGCTGTATTAGCTGAAATAACAAAGGATCGAGACTCGTTTTGGATAACGCGTGAAGAATACGAGGAAAATGGTCTTAATGTATTAAAAAAACTGGCGTCGTACGAACAATCATAATTGGCTTGCATAAGTGTACAACTAGGTGATTTCTTATTTGAGAAATGTTAAATGTTTAACCGTTCACCTCGTTAAGTGATACCATGGCATTTGAAATGCACCACAGTGTAAATACAGTAAACTAGTCTTGAAAATTACATCAACTTCAGATTGTATGTACTTTTAAGAGATACTAACCGAATACTGAAGTATCAATTGGGTAGTGGCTGATATGTGATAACCGATCTATCAACATACGAATTATTTTATGAACCGTTTTCGTATGTAAGTGCATGGCTATTTGGGTGACATTAAAAGAAATTCTAAAATATTACCGTGAACGATATAAATACGATATAAATGTTAATGTTCAGATATTCTCAATTCCATGTTACTATTATCAGAGGTGCAGATTGTTCCAGGATTACGTTTAATTTTAGATAATAAGTTCATGACTTTAGCATAACTTATCAGCGTTATTGTTCACTGAGCTATTGTATATCTGTACATAGCCTAAATCACTTTGTACTTTTTTCCAAGACATACCGAGAATAAAATTACTTTTTTCCATACACGATTTTATACAACAAAAAATTAATATCTTTTGATGTATAACATTACCTGTGTACATCCCCCTATAGAATCCTGGCTTGCAACAGATTTATGCGTTTCAACTGAAAGTAATAACAATTGTACTTAAACCTTTAACAGTCTTTATTTACTATCCATATTTCAGATTTTGTCTTACCACGACATACATGTTTAATTATAAATAAAAATAACAAAATAATGTGTACGGATATGATACCTTTTCTCATATATCTGACATAGTATAACAGTAAATAATCATGTTTATGTAATAAAATTTGTACGTGACACCGGTAGAATAATTCTTTGTAACATTATGGCATTTAAATTACAATGAATTAATATTTCATTCTGTATGTTAAAAAGACGAATTTATAAACGAGAACCACAATTAATATATTATAAGTCATAGTATGAAATTCTGTCATTTTATTTGCAGTGTTTCGTGAGTCTTTTGTTTAAAATCAGTTCAGAAGTTACACGTCTAATCTTTCATATATTCACGTATACCAATTCGTGTTTTTTGTATACCTTCAGTCGTTTTACGACTGTCTTACATGCAAAAAGGAAAGAGCCTGGAAAACAGGCTAAAATATGATTCAATAATTCTCTATAGAATGTTTTGCTTTATTGAACGTCTATTTCCCTATCCTCAGGTAACAAAACTTTTATTAGACTCGCGTGCAACCTAGTATACCGCCGGTAACCGTAAAAAAGTTCAGGTGAAACGATAAATCTTAGAATTTGATGGGTTTATCTTTGCATTGATCGATACAGAAGTTCGTGAAGCGTTTAAGAAATTTCGGATATTCCCGCTTATAAAGTGCACGTAACACTGATGCCGGTGCCCAGCCACCAGGGTTCACTGAAATTAATTTACCAGAAAATATTATGATTAAATTGTAATCTTAAAATAAATGCTCTGTAACAGTTATAGAAAAAATAATGCCACTGCTACGTCGCTCAAATATACGAACCTACGGAGCAGTACGTGATTTTACACGTGATGTCGCTCCTTTTAATTTCTTCACCTTCTTTGGGTGGATCAATGAACGTTTGGCAGACAAGACAGACGGTCAAGTAGACCCTCACGCATTTCCCTGTGTTCGGCTGAAACCAATAAATATTTTTTATGAGTTAAACCAGTACTACATCTATATAATCTTCAATATGGGTAATATGTTTATACAAATTCTTAAAAAAATGTATTACATTAACAAAGAAATTAATAATAATCACAATCGATAAACATTTTACTTATACTTACAGGATAATCCGGATGTTCAGTGCTGTGATTGCAAACAATCCATAGATCAAGTGCATCAGGATCTTGATCATCGGCTACTCTGCGTATATGTGACCAGAATAATGCATCCCGTTGACTTGCTGGCCAGATTCTTTTGTGGGTTTGCAGAAAGACCAATGTGTCCTTTGAAATATTCTCTACGACTGTCATATCCTCCAGAGTCGCTTCCCATTCGCTCCTGTATTCGGGACTAAAGAAAATCTTACAAACTTCATATCCGGTAACGCCTTTTACAACGTGACAAGCTTTCAACGGATCCACAACCAGCCCATCAGCCTCTTCTTCACGTCTATACATTCGCATATCACCATCCTCTGCAAACAATTGCCAGCCACCTGTTCCACCTACTCCTAATCGAGCATAATGCAACTGTTCCGTCGAAATTTTTTCTATCTATAACAGATTATTAAAATTTCATACATCAAAGTGCACTGGAAGATTATCTCTAAAAGTACAATAACACTATAACTTACAAATAATTAATTTTAAGTACTCCGAAAAAAAAAAGGAATGACATTTTCATGTTTTGATCGACAATGAAATACAATATTTACTTCAGGCCAAAGTCTGTGATTCACTGCAGGAGTAGCTGGGCTTAATGGAATTGAAACCGACTTCTGTTTTAATCGGTCTCTCAGCTGATTCTCCTCATCAATTCTATCCAACCCAGTTTCCACTGCATCGTAGAACTCTTCGTCACAAAGAGCACTATGTGGACCTTCCTAAAAATCAATTTCGTCTTTAGTACTTAATGTTCTATAGTTGACTGAATTAAACAAGTCATTGCATTGCTATCATTTCAAAGAGCAAAATCCGAATAATCAATTCTTTTGATATTATTTACGTGGTACTGTTAAATATAGTAACTCAATTATACCTGTATTTGAATTTTCATTTGGACTTTTATTGAATTTCCAATCATGTAGAGACAGGGTATTGAAACACAAAAAACAAAAGTAGGCTTAACCTATATTTGTCAAAATAATATAAAAATGAAGGATTTTTCTTCTTCTGACAAAATCGGGAAGCGTTATTTCTGCTATTATTTTTTTAGCATTTGCAGACCGAACCTGAACTTTACAAGTAGTGGACCATAAAAATAATAAATATATAAATACTGTATTATAAAATGTAATCAATACAGAAGCTTAGCAACATATAGTAATTAACAAATGAATTATAAGATATAGGTCTTCACTTTTCTATTGAATAGGGGAAATTTGGTCTCATTCCATGCCCTACGCATTGTACAAATTAATAAGCATAATGATACACCGATTACTTTAGTAAGTTTTAATTCTTAAGCTTCTAATAATGTAACAATAAATAAATATATAACTTACCTCATAATCCGGGCCACCGTGAATAAGGACTCTAGGTCTTGGAGAATCAGTTTGATGAATCGCTTGTTCTTTCAAAACTCTGTACAATTCCTGCAACTTCCGTCTTCGTTCAACTTCTTTCTCCCACCTACGACGCCATGCATCTTCTCGCTGAGACATTAATTCTAAACAATGTTGCAGTGTAGCTATAACACCTTCACTTGTAGCTTTGAAAGTAATCGCTTCACCTTTAAAATCTACAGCTTTATCCGCAGGATCAAAAGTGCTTTGAGTTTTGTGTGCTGAAACAAAACATTATTTTCAAATGTTTCGTTTCATACTACATCAACCAAATTGATATAATTTCCACATAAATAAAATTATACCAATAATTAATTAAGCTAGGAAAATGTACCTTTAACAGGCATGTTTTTAGCATTCTCTGCACAACTGTCAAAATATTTTTGTAACGTGTCAACTTGTTGCACCAAGATATCTTTAAACGTTTCTATTTCAGCCAGTTTTTCTTTCAGTCCACGAAATCCTCTTTTACTGAAACTACCAGCACTTGCAGTCGATTGTGTATTCGATACAAGAGAGATGGCACTACCATGACGTTTCAAACTATTTTCACTCCCATATCCAGATTCAGCCTACAGATAATTATAATTATTTGTCATTTATTTCTGACGATCAATGAGTTAAACAAACAATTATATCCATAAACCATTCCCAATATATTACCTTATATGACTTTAGTACATCAACCCAGCGTTGCTTATCTTCTGGATTACTTGCGCGTAAGTACCAAACTAAACAGTCGTTCACGGACACATCGAATCTACATTCATCAAATTCATGAGCCTATAAAAATATATTTAACATATACTAGACAATACGATAGGTGCAATATTTTCATCCTCTTATTACCAAAATTATAGCATCTACATTAGAATACAATAATTCAATTCCGTAAATAATTAAACCTTCGAGAATAAACAACACAAACATAAAAATGAATATTATGAAATAGTGCAAAAACCAAAACAGCCCTTAGTAAACAGCGGTTCCATATGCTGGTTAAATACCGAGTTTATGTGGCTACAAAAACATTAAAAACATAAAACCTACTTTCGCGTCAATGTCTGCATTGAACGAAACAGGATTAAAATGATTTCTATTACAATAGGTTTGCAAATCCGTAGTACAAGTTTTAAAGTATCGAGCAAACCTTGATATCCGCTTTGTAGAGACTTATGGAGCCTCGGCATCCAAATCCACTGTCTTGTTCAGATTTATAATACGACAAAGTTCCATCCTTCAAAACAATGAAGCGAGATTGCCATCCATGAATATAATTGGTCCACTTGGACAGAACTCCCTGGAGTTCCGGCACTATGACTCCATCGGATTCTTCCTCATCTACGTCGTCACCTTCGACCTCGGCCTCGGCGAGCTCGACTTCTTCGCTATAACGTCGCAGGGTGTCCGACTCCTCGGCCATTCTCGAAACCTCAATCTTGGTAATCTTTTCGACCCGACGAGCAAACTTAACTCAACATACCAATCCGCTCTTTATCCTATACCGCTTATGCACAGGAGGTCGCTACTTTACTCCTGACAGATAAATAATAACAATATAACCTCAATCCATGAGTAGGTGACGTCCAGCCGACCGTTCTGCAAACCGCGCTAAAGTGAGTCACTAATCGAATAAACTGCCCTGAGTAATTCAAGAATTGCATCAACGACGCTCCAGATCTCCCGTGAAACCACGTAAAACTTTACTAAGAATCTAGAGTTTATTTATTCCGTATTTTCAACACGAAGACATAATTCACCCGCGCAATGTATTAATGACTTGCTAAATTCGAAACAGATCTGGGGATAAAAAAAATGATCCGTACTGTATTAAAGTTTAACCAAACTTTGAGTATATAAATATGGACACGGGCGAGGTCGCTTTTATCTCGCTACCATCACGGACCGCTGTTACCTAACGGACGTACATCGAAACTGTTCCACATTTAGCATAGACGTACTCCTAATTAAAGTCAATTTACCCTGTCCGACATACCCATCGATATCGATTTCGACTTATAACTCCGATGAATATTATATATCGTTCTTGAAATTCTTGCGTAATAGTATCATTTTTGCTCAGTTTATCATTAGTAGAAGAAATATTTCACTAAATTTCACCGCTCAGCTAGATATAGAATGTGCAAAATATTCGGTTTAATTTTTTAATAAAACAATTTCCATTGTGTATCAAATAACGGCAGGAATATAATTACTTCATTTAATGTTAACAAATTAATTGTTATACAAAGTACAGGTAGAAATAAATAACATCGAAAAATTGGTAAGGATATATTTTGGAGTGTAAATTACTAGAAAAAAAATCTTATAAAGTGGTATAAGGAGTACATACAATAAATTTTCTGTTCCAGTCTACAAAATGCCTGCACCTGCATCTTTTTGTTGTTTGGCTTTCTGTACATAGAAAGTAATCTACATCGTGTGATAATAATTATATGATATAATGTAATACAGTCTATATATGAATCTCTTCCTGCATAAATTACACCTACACGTAACATACTTTGGAACTTCATCACATTAGGTATATCACTGTATCATTACTTATATGCCTAACAGCTATTTAGAATATAGATTCATCTTAAGGTATACATGTACAGAATATAGTCATTGAATTCTATATAATACTTCGGTGGATTTCTTCAAGAGTATTACATCTGTATAAAATTCAGCTTTGCTACTTGAGTATTTTGTATTTTCTAATGTTTCCGAACACTGAATCTATTCATATAAGTACTCATTTTCATCCTCAAATTCATCTACAATTTGTATTTCATATGTGTTGCACTTGTATTTAAATTGAGCATTCTTATGCTTATTTGATCATACCAAATTGATCGCCTATTCAAAACTTAATAGTATACTTTGTCGTTATAAAAAATGTTAAGCTACAAGTGTAATTTCAGTTTTAAACAATAATTAACAATTACTCACTATATTTCTGTGACATATTTACCACTAATTTATATATTGGAGTTTCTCATACTCCTAATGTTATTTATTGGAACTTTTTGTTCTTATTATGTATTCAATCATGCCCTGTGTTTCATGTAAATTATTGACTCGTATAAAATGTAGTATCGAGTTTATATCATCGAATGTAATTTTTGTGCTTATGTCCATAAGGCCTATATTCGACCTATTAGAACGATTGAAGAGCTCATTCTGTTCTCTAGTAAACAAGTTCCAAATGGGATGTGCACTTCAATTTTCAAATAGATCTTAATGACATTTGGTTACATGTCATGGCAAAGCACAGTGCTCTTATCGATATAACAAATATGTGCACAATGCACATATATCATTTTTGTGATTATTAATATATTCCAATAATGCAGGTTAGATATTTGAGTTAGTATCAAATTTAATATAACTCCTGATGGTTACATAAGGTATACCAAGTTCAAAATCGTCTCGTGGCCAGTATTTGAGAATTGGAGTCTGCTGAGGTTTCTCCTCTTTCACAGAAAAGTATGCAAACAACACAGCAGCTGTATAACTAGCGATAAAGATGAGAAGGTGCCAGAGAGCATGAAAATAAGGAAAGTTAAAATTAAGCCACATGTCACAAAACATTCGATCATTTAACCAACACATAACAGCCAAGATCCAAACAGCACCACATCGTAAACCCAGTCGATATACTCTGATTGATTTTGTCCTTTAAGAAATATTATGTACAAATTAATAACATCACACTAGTGTTTATTCATCGATGTACTTCATATGAAGAAACTACAAACACAATAATAAAGTAATATATTAAGACACTTACCTTTTCAGTTCAATGATCAAAAATCCAAACGCAGGAATGCCAAGACTCATCAATGCAAATGCATTGACTGCAGGATGAACGAGTGCTAAGCCAGTAGCAATTAATGTTGGAAAAGTAATAAACATGGAAAACAATTTCCTGTTATTCTGAAAAACTTTTGGAAAATATCTTCTTGGGAAGAACATACAGAGTCCTGCCATGTATACCCACAAAATAGCCAACTCGTCCAAAAGTTGTCCTGCAGCAAAAATGAGAATTATCTTTAATATAAAGAGGTATTTAATAGGTATAATTCATAAAACTTGAAATCCATATTGATTTTATTGATACCATGCTTTAATTGTTAAAAATCATATAATACTTTACCTATTAACGACAGAGTTGCATGAAAATAGGCACTACTTATCCCTACGATCATCAATAAGAACCAAATAACATGAATTCCAGGGTTGACAAATCTTCCATAATCTTTAAAAAGATGCATGAGAATTGGTGGAAGTAAGAGAAAGACGACATTGCTGAGCTGTATAATAAAGAAAAAAATGTTGTTGCGATTTATCTTTAAATTCTGTATGTCCATAAAAAAATAGGAAGGCCATGCGTACTCAAACGTTATTGATAACCGAATTTCTTATCCGATTTAAAATGGACTGATTAGATTGATAATACTTTAGTCAAGTGGAAGAGATCAGTGTAATACATTTATCAGTATTTTTAACCATCCACTGATTGTAAACAAATTTACATCATGATTAATCGAAATACTTAAAGCCATTTGAGAGAGTAAAAAATAATATAAATATAGATGAATAACGGTTTTCAAAGGAACGAAAACTTGTTCAGAAATTATACTCACTTTTATTCTTAAATTGTACATGAAATGTTGTGACTATATTTTACTTAAAAAATTTCTCTCAGTTTAATTCCATTTACCCAGTTTCTATAATTTAAAAGGAGTTTCTTAAATGATCTTCTCATCCTTTGTAGAGATAGGAAAAAATTTGTGACAACAAAGTATACATGAAAAAGAATTAAAAACAAGTAAATATGATGTCCCTCAAGATTAAACATTAAGTAACAAATTAAATAATTGTTTCCACAGAATGAGAAAACATTAGCATTTAAATCAGGGTTGATACATACAATCATTACGAAATACCAATGACTCTTCCGACCTCAATTCAAGTTATCTCCATGGTTTTTTCCAAACGATTGAGTAAATTATAGATTGTTGTAGCATTCTTATGATTCAGCCAAGGGCAAGAAGTTGAGATTACACAATTTTTACAAGAAGCTGGTAAGCCAAATGTTACAAAATCGGCAATGGAGAAACAATTTTAGTGCTTAGCACAAAGAATGTGCATAAAAAGACCAAGTTGAGCAATTTTCCATAATACAAAATTTACTCCATTAATAATAAATAAAACAAAGACTGCTCCAAAGGTCGTTGTTTTGGCAAAAACATTGCCTTATTTTTGGAGAATTATTCTTCCTTGCATATTCATGATCAGGTTATTTAAGTTGAGCACACTATTCCCTTTGTTCTCGAACCTTTTGTGCATGAGTCACATTCATTCCGGAAAAAAACTTTCCATTGATGACATAAACATACTAAAATGTCAAGAAAGAAAGAACCCCTGCCAAGTGATAGCTAATCGTACACACCGTGTTGGTAAATTCTGCAATGCTGGGAGAAATATTATAATTTCCTTCGCACCAATCGACTGGTGAACTTCCTGGTTCAAATGGTTTCCACATGTTCAAGCGTTCGTCCGTGATTTGGTTTGACGTCGGAGCGAAAAGAATTTCCACTTTCACTTTCTACATATTATACGCTATTACAATTGCAACAGCCAAGACGTGTGACAACGCACGCAATTCAGGGGCGAAGAGAGTAAAGGAATGCCAGTCCGTATTTACAGCCACTCGTAATCGAATCAGTCTTCCACACTTCACTGGAATTGAACCTTTGTTTTGATTCTAAGCATGACAGCTTGGAGCAGAGAGAAGATGAGAGTAGCCAGGCCCCCTACTTCATAACTATTGCGCAGTGCTGCCCTCGCGGTAGCTGAGGCAACGAAAGACGCGATATATCGGTAAACGTAGAGTCCAGTCTATAGTGGGATTCTGTATACATGGAAAGAGCAATGCTTGATTTTCGAAAATATTAAGGCGAACAGACCTTAGCCGGCAGTACCCGATAGGAATATCTAAGGGAGCCAAGACCTCGAAGTTTTGAGCCGAGATGTCAAATTCAGCTTTATGACTAATAATTTTTATATAAATATACTAGCTACATCTTCTACTTTCTGCGTAAGTAGCTTTTTCCGATATACTAGTTATTGTACGAACTTGATCTTATGTTCTACATTATCGAATATTATTAAAGAGTAATCTTTAAGCAGTTGTCACTTTGAGGTTAGGATAACAGTTCACAAAGATTTAATTTCTGCAATTATATTTTATTAAAATTGTGTTTCATTGAATAGAATGTATTCTGTTTTAAATCTGTTCTCTTGATTGTTATTTTTATAGGATGGTAGAGGACAAATTTAAGATTGGCAGTCGTGTGGAATGTGACGGTTATCGAGGGACATTAAAATATGTTGGACCGGTTGGTAATACAAAAGGCCAATGGTTTGGTATTGATTGGGATGATGTGACCCGTGGAAAACACAATGGTACATATGAAAATGTAGAATATTTTAAGGCAAGGTGAGTTTTCTTTGATCAGTTTTGTAGTTAGCTTCAAGTAACCTTGCGGTGTGTGAAAAGTTCATTCCTTTAAAGGCACCCTACATCAGGCTCCTTTGTAAGACCTGGTAAAGTGAGGTTTGGAGTAACGTGTCCTGAAGCAATTAAATTGCGATATGGCTTAATAGATGACGAACTTGTAGGCATCGATAAGGATAATTTAGACTGTTTACAAAAGGAGATTAATGCTCCTTTCTTAGAAATGGTCGGGTTTGCTAAAGTCAACAAGAAGCAAAGTAGATTCGACCAATTAAAGATAGTCTGGTTACGTGAACAAGCACTAAGTGATGCTGGAGAGCCAGGAGAATTACAGGAATTGTGTCCTAATATAGAAGAAATTGATCTGTCTAGAAATTTAATAAGTTCCTGGCAAGTTGTGGCTGACATATGTTGTCAACTTCACAGATTAACTCAACTAGATGTCAGGTAAACTAAAGTCGGCATGCTTTGTAATTACATTTAAATCTAATTTAATAGACTATTTTATATTAATTTTATCATTGATGCAGTGAAAATCAATTACCCATTGAAGAAAATATGGAAACATTAAAGGAGGCCTTCTCGAGAGTGAAAAGCTTAACTATGGCTAGAATGAATTATACTTGGTCTGACATACAGCATTGTATAGTCATGTTTCCTTGTATTAAACAACTCTCTGTATCATTCAACATTGTTCAGTATTTAGAGACACCAGAGGAACATTCTAATATGTCCACATTAGCCGAGCTCACGTTGGAAGGGAATCTTCTTTCTAATTGGGATGAGATTTTAAAATTAGGTCACCTTCCAAGGTAAATATCACGCATGAATGAAAATAAAGTCTGACATTTACATAGCATATAAATTTACAGCTTGGAATACCTGAACTTAAATTCAAACAAAATAAACAAGATCCATTTTCCGACTAATAATCCAACGGAAAAGACTAATCTATTTCCAGCATTAAAGCAACTTCATATATCGGGTAACAATATATCTGAGGTGATATATACGTTCCATTTTGTAGTTTTTAATACTGCGTAGCTTATAATATCTTACAGTGAGAATTCTTATTCACAGTGGCAATCAATTAGTGAGTTAGAAAAGTTGGTGAGTCTTAAAGACCTGAAATTTAGGGAAAATCCTATTTTAAAAAATGAAAGTATAGAAACAGGACGGCAAATAATAATAGCTAAAATATCAAATCTGAAATCACTCAATGGCACAGAAGTTAGTTGCGAAGAAAGGAGAGGTGCAGAATATGATTATTTAAAATTATTTGGTCCACAATGGATACAGTGTGAAAGTAATCCTGAAGCAAGACAAGAATTTATAAAAAATCATCCTCGATATCCAGCACTAGTCGAAAGTAGGTTCACATATTGACACTTAGAAGTTACATATGTACTACGTTTGTTCCTATATTTTCATGTCACAGAATACGGATCTCCTGATATCCCGGTAATTAAAACTAATTCAGGATTGGTGTCAAACGTAATATTTGTTGAGTTTGTATGCCCGGATGACCCAACGCAATCTAAGGGTATAAAAAGGAAACTCCTCAAAGATATGGAACTACAAAAAGTTTGTGGTCTTGTACAACGCCTTTTTAAAACAGGCGGTAAAATACCGATTTTAACTTTTGTGCAACGCAATGTAAGTGCAAACTCTGATTAGATAAATGAACAAACATTTTATCTTGTATCCTCATATAGCTACTTCAAAACATCGGTAATAACGTGAGGTTTATTTTCAGCTCTCACCGAGTGAAATACCTCTGGATAAGCCACTGCAAAAATTAAGTTATTACTCATTACAAGATGGTGACCAAATCATGGTGCGGTGGTGATAACTAAATATAATTTATAGAGATAAATGTATTTTCTACACTGTTGAAACTTCGTTCTCGTACTTTGTTATTAAACTTTTTTAATTGCACACTAGCTTTTTCTGAATTCTATTGCAGATAAACCAACTAATATATATGAGATAATAAAGTGGATTTGTGAGATGCAGATTCTTCAATGAATATCAGAACATTTACATAAAAAATTTATTAATATTAGTATACACTTTATGAAAATAGACACAGGTGTATATTTTGAGGCATATGGTTTCGCTAACTTTGATTTCATGCATCTTAGTTTTGTTGAGCATCTCGTTCTATTTTACCCGCTTCTTCTTTTTCCAGCTGTTCTCTCGTTAATAATGACAGTCCTAGTTGATTTTCACGCGTAAAAGGCTGTGCCATTTGACGTAACCATCTTTTACTTATCTGCAAGAATATTAAAAATCGTGTTAATGTATTTGTAGATTAACTGCTTTATTTTATTCAGATTCATTACCTGCACTGCTTCTTCGGTCGATAAATTGCATAAATTGTCAGACAAATGTTCTTGAATCCATTTTGGTAACTTACTTCGTTTGTCAGACCTTGAGAACCTCTGTAATAAAATATGAATTAAAATTAAAATTTTAGCATTTGACTGCTTTAACATTATGATAGAATTATAAGTAAAACTATATTAAATACTGTTTATACAATACCTTGTCCGCAAAAACCATGATACCGTAATCAGTTTTACCCCTGATAGCCCTACCTACACATTGTGCGGCATGTCTCATTGCATCAAATGTCAAAAAATCATTTTCTCTTATCTGTAAAAAGATATCGATATAAAAATATTTTATTTACAGAGCAATTTCCAAAGATCTACATAACCTTTTACGTACTTGAAATTGATCTCGCAAATATTCCAATCTTGCCTTTAAGATGCGAGACTGAGTGTATACGTAAGGTATTCCAAACATAAGAACTGCTCTTCCTAAATGATGATCGAAATCAACACCTTCGGAAACTTTTCCTCTTGCGACTGACAGGAGAACAGCGCCTCTTCCATTTTCACAAGCTTTGATATAATTGATTAATGCTAAACTGGTTTCTGCAGAATCTTGCGTTTCAATAAATAATAACTTATGTCTTTGCAGTTGATCGACCACTCCTTGATCATACCTGAAATTATTGAATAATTTGGATTTATACGATTACAAATTAAAACTTTGAATTGTAAATGACATCAATACATACCAAGCAGCAACAACGGATTCCATGTATAAATATGATGTAAAAAAGCAGACCATACCATCGGGTACAATGGCAGCGAATTCGACTAAAAGTTGACCGTAATTTCTAATGACAGCTACATCTTCTCTTGTTTCGTACTTTGATGAGATAGCCACCTGATCATTTCCTTTAGCAACAATCTATAAATTGGAATATTCATTACAAAAGCTTGTTAATAATAAAATATTTTTAAGTATATGACTAACCATTGGAAGTAGACAAGGCCTTGCTAATGTCATGGTGAAAGAGGACATAATAACTGGATGGAAATCTAATATTTTTGGATACATATCTAATGGTGACAGAGTTCCTGACGTTATGATCACCGATTGAAATCTGTCAAAAATGGGCTTCATAGCTATCGAGCAATCCAAACAACTAAAGTGTAACACAGGATTCAGAACAGTTGGCGTTTTATCGTCAAATGGCTCAACAATTATCGTAAATCCTTTGGTATAAGTGGAAACTAAGGTAGCAAGGTGAGTGATAAGTATTAAGGGAGAAAAATCTGTTAAGTCTGTAATTTCCATGGTACGTAAAAGCGATGCTAATCTTTCGGCACAGAAACGCAAAGGTTTCCGTTCAATACAAACTTTTGCTTGAACGTCACGCAAAAATGCTGCAGGAGACTCTTGTATGACATGTTGGACACGCAAACGCGTTTTCAAGTATTCTACAAATCGTTTCAAGAAACCGACAAAATGTTCTGCATTTCTAATATTTCCAGGAACTACCTCTGCAAAATAAGTATATTACCTTTTAATAATATGCATGCCATAACAGTAATAATGTATCGCCCTTACAAAATCTAATTACCCTCAAGAACTTCATCAGGTAATATAGGATTGGATAAAATCACATCCGTTTCTCTTGCAACTTGGGCATCTCTGAGTCCTTCGACTAATCTATTATATTCTTCTTTCAGTTTATTTACATCATCATCTCTCATTCTGCAAATATCATTTAATGCAAAACGAGTTGATTAATAATTAAGGTTAATTTTAGAATAAATCGCTTACTCTGCTACTGTCTTCTCAAGAAGCTGTATGTTTGCACAGCTCTTCTCCATAGTTCTCCTATTTATTTTTACACTCATTGAATCGATACAAACATTATCTGAAAAAAAAGTCTTTCATATAGTATGAAATGTATATTTTACAAATGCAAAACGGTATAAGTTGAAAATCAAAATGTATACCAATGTTATGGGCTTCGTCAAAAATAACAACTGAGCTTTTACTTAGTTCTTTTGACACGGTATCAGCAATTTTTGGATCGAGTAAATAGTGGTAACTGTAGACTACAATCTGTGCATGAAGAATCTGTAAAATCAAGCAATGACATTTGTAATCATATTAAAGCAAGTTTTTCGAATGAAGAGAAATTACTCACTGTAAACCTAGCTAAGAAGTATGGACACCAATTTCGGTCTTTTCCATATTCTTTTATGTCATCAATGGAGTATATCCCAGGGGGCATCATTTGCTCACGCCCTTCCATATCGAAGCCTTCGTAAAAATTACATATTGGTGTACTTTCATCATAATTATGTCTATCGCGAACGTAGGATGCTGTTAATGAATGGCAACGACCATCGACTATTTTGCCATCCCTTTCTCTGCTAACCTATAAATATTTTAAGTGTATAATATCTTAAATATTTTATTTACATGCTTCTCATTTGACCCGCATAGTGATATCTTACCTCTGGATGAATACACATATTTTTCCGAGAACTCAGTACTAATCCAACCATCTTCAATGGGCTTTCCGTTTCTTTTTCATAATAATCCATAAGTTTCTTTAACTCCTCGATAACCTTCTCGATTTCTGGCACCGTGCGTGAACAATAAATTAATTTAGTTATCTGCAATGGGTACTCCAACATATATGCAACGATTAACGATAACAGAGTAATCGTTTTTCCAGTACCCGATGGCATCTCCAAAAGACAATGGCCCTAAAAAATTCAAAATTTAACAAAGATGTAAACATTATTGCGATTGTACTAAAAAAAAAAAGAAAGAATACTTTTGCATCCAGGCCTCGCTTGAGCTCCAACATGTATGCATATTGTTCTGGATAAATGTAATCATACGGAAAATACACAATCAATCCTTCCACGCTAATCCTGAAAAGAAAACAATGCACTTTACAATAAATTCTGCATAACTAAACGAGTAAAGTACGATTCAATAGACGTAATATAATTAAATCTATAACTTATAATTTACTTCATTGCAATTACGCATCGTCCATCAGGACAACTATTATATTAATATTATTTTTCTACGTTTCCGACGTTCAAACAGAACCGGCAGGCATGAATTGTTTGACTATAAAGTCACGGACTGCTTGCCATCCATGTTTTACTTCGTAGAAATCACGACGCAGCACAAACACACTTTCCAGAAAGTGTATCCATCATGCATTGCAAGTCTCACTCAGTGCGTCAGTGTCACATAGAACGCGGTGCGTCAGTGTGTTAAAGATAATGAACTAATGAGATTTGTGGAAAAAATGACGCACTGGTAAACGCAATTCTGATTGGTTTACCATCCTTAACGTGTTTACGCGCCACGTTGTGTGACACCCTACATGTTCCGTCGGATCACAGTCTAAAGCCCAACTTTTTAGACCAAAATGGAGAAATATTCAATATAAATTAAACATTTTTAAGTCATTTGTAATAAACTTGCGGTATAATTATCTTTACCGATATGAAAAATTCTCCTTTAAAAATGTTACACCAACTTTCTGTCAGATGGCGCGCAGAACGCAGGCACGATCGTGATTGGAACCTTACAAATTGTCGTATCATTCGCGATTACGATATGAAACATCTTGCTAGTCATCTTTGCTCGTATGTATGGTTCAGTGTGGTTTATGAACATGTTCAGTTGAATTTGAAATGACTGGCTAAAGTTTATCCATTTTAGATAAGCTGGTGTCAAGAGTCAAGGAAAGCCGTAGAAGGTATATTAGTGGATACCCGGCGATCGACGAAATTAATTGCAGTTAAAATTTTTTCTTTAAACACCGTAAAATGGCATTCCAACAAGAGAGTCTTAATGTTTTCTACTTTTGGAGTGGTGTATTAGTTTTGAAATTGTTATCTATGACAGTACTGACTGCTCGACAGCGTTTTAGCAAAAAGGTAAGACATCCGATGCCTTGTTAATTAATTACAAGTTGTGTAAGATTTTAAAATTAACGAATGTTATCTTATATTTAAGTCATACTATTGTATATTTTATTTACCCTTTTTTTTAAATGTGTATTAAAATAATTATACTTTTAATTGAGGCTACTAGGAACTTATTAAATGATGAAAAGAAATCTTAAATATTACTAAAATAAGTTACTCCGTTTTTTTGTAACAATATGAATCTCTTAGTTTGGTTCTTCTTTTTTGTTATAAACCTGTGTGAATATTCTGAAAGGAAATTTTCATGTTTGTTGCAGACATTTGCAAATCCAGAAGACGCAGCGGGCTTACCAAATTCAAAAGTAGGATTCAATGATCCGGACATAGAACGCATCCGCAGAGCCCACTTGAATGACTTGGAGAATATCCTTCCTTGGTTCGCGATTACTTATATTTGGTTGGGGACAGGACCATCTCCTTGGCTAGCCAGAGTATTAATTAGAAGTTTCGCCGCATCTAGAATCATTCATACCATTGTGTATGCAATTATTCCGAAGCAGCCACACCGTGCGTTAGCCTTTTTCATTGGCTTTTTCATTACCGGTTATGAGGCAGTTTCCACGATGCTATACTATTATTAAGATTCAGAATAATTAATTTCAACGTGCAGTTAAAGAAGCGTAATAGCTTGTACACTTCCAACTTATCGAAATATGAATACTCGATGAAAATTTCATCATTCTGTTTAGTGCATTTTAATAAGATTATTTACTTCGATGCAATAGATATCTTTGCAATTTTTGTATTTCCCATTTTCCTATATGCACGGACCGCAGTCTTGTTAATATACAAGATCTAACCCAGCTGTACATACATACATATAACTTTTCGATCCTGTAAACATATGAGTACATTTAGTATACTCTGAAAAGATGTTACTGAAATTTTCCACAGTTTTTTAGGATGTACCCCTTGGGGTACAATATATTTTGTATATTTATACACACTTTTAAGTGAATAAGCAAAGTCTAATATGGCTTAATATTGAGAATTTGATGTTTTCAACTAATGACACGTCCTGAGGATCTGTATAGTTTTCAAGATGAAGTAAAAACTAATCTAAACGTACATTTAGATAATGATTTCGGTGACATTGTAAAAGAATGTTTAATGCCAAAGCAAATATCTGTACTCGATGTTCAATTAAACTTGCCTGTTCTTCCGAGAATTAGTTTGGTAAAGATATCAGCCTTCCACCTTCTTATCACTTGAACTTTCATCACCGCGAGTCCCTACGAACAATACTATCACCCATCCTTTCGTGCCAACGATTAATGCAAACATTCTGTTTATGGGTCAACTTCGATAGAGTGAGGGAATTTGATTAAGAAAAAAACGGTTTCCTGTCATAAATTTATTTATAGACTATATTTACATTTTTTCAAATATATACATATTAAAATTCCTTCTAAATATCCTAAGATCTTCACAGTGCATTGCTGAAACGCATTATGGAAACATGGAAAGGGATCGATTTTTTTTAATTTTATATCAGAACGTACCCTTAATCATAATTTATTTCTTTTTAACTTTAAGTCACAGACAGGTAAAGTAGTATGTTCGTTGTTAAAGTAGAGATTCCTTAAATTCAAAGTTCCCATATACATTCCCTAGCTCGGGGGACCCCGGGATGCGTCGCGACGGCGCATACACTGTTTTTCGCAGTTTCCACGACGACGTCGGACGCCGTCGGGCGCGGGAACGTCGACGTTTATGTCGGGCAAATGCCGTCAGTGTGACGAAGAGCTCCGGGGTGTCGGTCTCGTTAGTTTCGGGTGACCACCCCATGAGAACCGCGCGGGGACCTCGTGGTTGACGCGGTCATCGCGGCCCAAGGGAAATGTCAAAGCTCGACCATGACCTACCCCAACCATCGGTGGTAGCAAAGCCTATGCAAAGGCCTATCGATTCGCGGCACTTCTTTCCCCCGATTAGGTCAATTGCGATCGAATTGAACCGATAACGATAGCCAAGTATCGCGTTACAGGACGTGTCCGATTGAAATTCGAGACTCCCCATAAAATCGCGAACCCAGAAATGTGAAATACGCAATCATGAGAGACCTCTTTCCCCCCGATTAGATCAATTGCATGCTATCCCATCAAGCCGATGATAAAATGATAATTACGTGTAACGTTACGAGCAACGAGACGTTTCCAATTGAAATTTGAAAATGTGGAAAATAGAAATGTCGCGATAACTTGTTAAATAATGTGAACTCGTGGGAAGTGGGATTGGAGTCGTCGATAGTTTTTGAAAGGTCGAAGGGATCCTCGATCAAGGCAGGTCAGTTCCTATTCTTGATATGTTTGATAATGTTGTTGATGCATATATCCTGGTGATGCTCACGTGTAACGTGTTGTCGGTTGTAATGTTTATGGGAATTTCGAGTGGTTAGTTTACATTATCGGAGATTTTTTTTTTTAAATCATTCAATGAGCGCGCCCGGATGGGCCTCGTTTTTCTGTCTAATGGCGTTTACCTTTACGCTTCACTCGGGCCGGTCTTTACAGCTGTCTACAGCTGTTTGGTACCTTTGATCTTCTACTTTACTGAAACAGATCGAAGGAGGCACTTCCCGGAATGACTTTCATGTTCCATTACCTTCCGGCTTAAGTCGGCATAAATAAAAAGCCGAGGAGATCGCGCGGTTCTGATAACGGACGGTGAGCCTCTCGATAGGACTTTCTCACGCGCCTTGAACAATTGAACGATAACGTAATTGACTCAAGCTATTTCAATCTGGAGGGGTTGGGAATGGAATTTAACCCTGAGGTACAAAGACCAGGGTGAACCCGTGACGTTGCATCCCGCGGTTTACCTAATTACGATCGGTGCAGCGAATATCGGCCTTACGAGGGTACACGTATCGTGGCACCTGTCACAGGTAGGCTCGTCCTCGTCCTCGAACTCCATGCAAGCATGGCCCTCCCGTAATTATCGATAATCGTGTCAATTTTCCGCGTCACGAGCTTATCAGGACCAAATTACACTTGTCGACCTCTGACCTGTGAGATACATTCGGTCTCGTGGAGGCCCTAGGACGAGACTCCCCCAAATGATCCGGTGAAATCTGTTTAAATTGTCCCGAAGATCAAGGCTCTCTGAATCGATCTAGCAAAATCAATTAATTTGGCCTTAAAAATAAGGGCAAGCCTTTCCGAAATTATTTATCCAAGTCTGTTCAATAGTTCATAACATAATAACGACTAGACCGAAGTGATTTATTCAAATCTGTATAATCATATCAAATCGTAAGGAAATAGCGGAACGAAAATATTAGAAAAATCTGTCGTGTTTCTCGATACCAAATGAAGTGTCCGATAATAATCGTGAAGTAAAAAATGTATTTTTATCATATGTTCATAAATTAAAAAAATATAATTCCTATATATGTCTATAAATTATTGAAACTAAATATGTCATTGAGATTTTCAACAAATATTTCAGATATCTGCGAATGAAATCTACAAGACATCTTAAAGAAATCTGTCGCCTGCGATATTTAGTAAATATTATAAAGAGATATTTAGAAATTATTCTATGCTACTGGGGATATGATAAACGGCAACTGATATTTGGTAACGAGGGACAGTCGGTGATTTTGCACGATTTCCAGCTTATTTCGAGTATTAAAATCCATGATTTCCTGAGTTAATAACCCCTCGGAGCTACCAAACCCGTTGAATGAATTCGTCTTAAAAATAGGTCTACTTATATCCGTCTGGTTTTGTCGCGGAAGCGTTATCCGAACTTTCACTCGAAAGTCCTTTTAAATTACAGGTGTGCGTTTCGCCTTGCGCTGGTAATAGCGATAGCGTAATTTTTGAGTACACCCGAGAGGGATCGATTCCGCGCGTACTTAAGAGAGGCGAGAAAATTGTCCTTGCTCGGCAGTCCCTGTGAGCCGTATTTTAGTGTCACGGTCATATATGGCTGGTGTCCGCAGTCGCGAACGTCACGTGGCGATCGCGATGTGCGTCATACGTGAAATCTTGGGTGCGACACGAAGAACACCGAGACCGCCTTGTTAACGCGAAGACACGAATTATAAGTAACTCCGACACTCTCTTCCCTCTCGACTCTCGATTCGCGGCGGCGAACCGCACGAAACAGTCCGTGACATCATGGGCTGCAAATGCACTTGAAAACTTTCGACCTATGCGCTCGATGCACAAGCGACCAGCCATAAGCTGCACTTCCACCATCGCCTGCATCTTGCCTTTGTGCTCGTCTACGATACACTTGGAGTAATCCGTACCGACCGGCTCTCTAGAATGAAATTACACCCTCGGTGCGAAGAGGTTACTCACCGCCACGTGCAGCTCAGTTGCACTAAAATGCATCTCGCCGTGCAGCCCGGCTGGCGCCGAGATGACCAAATGTTAAAATTGACCATAAGTATTATAATCGCCGGGTGTGAAATTCATTTCGTTGCGCATTTCGGTTGATGCCGCAGTTTTTAAAGATCCATCGTTAACTATTTTTGGATAAATAAATTTCGAAGAGGTTACTCACCGCCACGTGCAGCACAAATGCACTAATATGCATCTTACTATGCGGCACGGCTGAGGACGCCGAGATGAATAAATATTTAACTCAATAATGAATATTACAATCGTCGGGGGTAAAACTCCCCTCGTAGATGGAGATTTTGGAGGAGAGTTTATTTTTAAGAACTGCATCGTTAACAATTTTTATATCAATTTCGAGTCCCAGGTGGCGGCTCGGTGCAGCAAGCCCCTTTCAGGTTTTTCTAGTAGCTTTCACAGCAAAGGTACATCTTGCATCTGGTAATCCGTAGTAACCGGCTCTCTCGAATGAAATTACACCCTCGGCCGCGAGGTTACTCACCGCTGCGAGTACGCGTACATAAACCGACGAGATATTCTAATAATATTGCGAGGAATTCTAATAATATTCCTCGTTCATCGTTCGTCTCACTTTTGTCTGCACGCCGGAGTTCGCGCGGAGTTATTCCCGGGGAAAAAAAAAAGGATTAAACGGCTAAGACCTAAGACGAATCCGGAGGTACGAGAACGCATTTGATTCTCGGAAAGGAGGGATATATAAAATCGTACCGAGAAAATCAAGAAACTAGGGTACTCAAGGTGTAACCACCGAGTCCGCGTGCTGATGCAGCAGCAGGATAAGTCCTGGCTTTCGCGGATTTCACTGCATCCCATTTTGCCCGCAGTACTCGAATCGAATCGAATTTAACCCGATTTCCCATATCAATCGTCGGAATGCTCCCCGTCACTTTCGATCTTTATTCAACAGGTGCAACATTCCAAAAGTCGGCGTACTCTCGTTCCAAGACTGCTGATTAAGGCATTGGTAGCTCCCTTGGAATTCGAGAGCGGTCCTTGCCGATCGAAAATAAGAGGGAATAAAAATGTCGACCGCCGTCCGAGGATCATTAGCGAGTAACGCAACGCGACTTTTGCGGAACGCATTGCGGCCTGGGAAATGGATTAGCTTATTCGATTTTCAGGAGGCCAAGAAATTGCTTAGGGACCTGGTGAGGGAAAATGGGCGCAGCGAGTGCTTTCTCGAGGTGATAAGGATATATATATTTCTGCTCTTGGATACAGCCCAGACATAATAGCAATAAATCATCCGGCGACCCTGCGATGACATCCTTGTCGGAGTCATTTCTTCTCTCTTCGTGGAACGGATCGTGGAAGCGCAGCGCCAATATTAATTAAACGTCATTTGGTTCGATTGGCGAAACTCGGGCACGTTAAGCGCTTATTGAAGTCGTAATGATCGGTCGCTTTGATGCGGCTCGAATCGGGCATGATCCCTCATTATAACGCCTACGTAACGAGCGCACAACGGCCCGGAATATATTATCGGTCTGGATGCAGGTGTAGGGCAGATATATGAATTTTCGTTCATGTCGACCACGAGGATGAGCAGTTACAATATCGCGCGCACGTACTTTCGGCTAACTCGCGTGATTAATTACACGGTATGCTTTGGCATACGAAAGTTTCATCTTCGCCGCCCAGCCTTCGTTTGCGTGTTGCAAGGCTCCGAGAACGCGCATCGATCGTGAAACTTTGCCCATCCGATTATTCCAGGCCCTAGACAAGAGTTACGAGAGTCTTGTAACGCTCCCTTTGGCTATCCTGAGGGCGGCTTACATCAGGGTCTGTCTAGATTAAATGGTCCGATCGGAAATGTTCGCTGTAGGAAAATTATGTACGTGGATTCTCTCCAAACCGTGGTCCAAGATCACCCTAAAAACGTGGAACATACGATTCATTGCTCACAATTAAACGTACCGATTATTACTGGTCTTCGATGTCAAGTGAATATTTTAATACCCTAAAGAGAACTTACAAGAGGGAGTAAGTGTATGAAAAATGATCCACGATGAAATGATTAAAAATGAAAACCCATCCAGGACTTCCAGGTCGTTCTAAAAACGTGGATCATTCGATTTAACCGTCGCAATCAAATAGACCAATTATTCCATGCCCTGGATGAGAGTACGAGAGTCTCGCCTACACCAGGGTCCAGATGAAATGGCTCAACCCTAGGAAGTCCACGTCAGACTTCCTCCAAGTCGTACCGTAAGATCGAAAACTCGAATCATTCAATTAATCTCCGACATCTAAGCTCACCTACAGGGAGTCCTCCCGATACTTGGACGTCCAATTTATCACTGGCGAATAAAGCGATTTAAATGGACCTCGTTCGGCCGCAATGAATCGCAACGCCGACCTCCATCGTCAGGATTGACGCTGCCGAGAGGTCTCGTTTTCCTCTCCCTCACCTTTTTCCTTTTTTATTTTTCATTTCGATTAGTTTTTAGCACGTCTATAATTGCTTTCTCCTGGCGCATCGACGTCCATCGACCAACCGATGTCGGTCATGTGAGCGAGCGCGACTCCACCTCGTTCTCTCTCATTCGGCCGAACGAGTGACGCGGCGTTTGCCGATCAGGTTCGCCCACGGATTTCGAGGGCTTCGCCAAATACGGAGCAAGAAGTCGATGCCGATCCCGAAGTCGCGGTTGCCGGTCTTACCTCGCCTACGCCATAATCGCCGTCACTCTTTAAGGTGCAACCGATCGCGCCGAGTGCGGCGATTCGGCTTCTTCCTATGGGACCGATTCCGCAGAATGCGTCATCTTTTCGATTCCCAGGAACCGCGATATCGTCCTTCGTGTGACGGATTAAAGCAAGGACACCAGGCCCCCGAATAATGCCGCGAACAAATCCTTCGAGTAACTGGGACGACTTAAAAGCCGGCCTCAAAAGGGATCGCATCGCTGCCCCGACCACGCATTCGATTGTTCCTTGGATTTCACTTTTACCCCTTTCTTTTTATTTTACACATTTGCAATTCCACGCTCGATTTAAGACGGCCTGTGCCACGCTTGAATTTCAGGCCACTCCGTACCTTGAGGTATAATAAGAACCGAAATCATGAAAAATTCCCAGATGTCATCTGGGAGTATTTCACGATTATGACGTTTATCACAATACCTGTAAATGGGTTAGCCGCTCACGCGGACTGGAAATCAGGTCGCATAAAACTGGCATGACAGGGCACGTGTTAACGTAACAAGGTGAATTTTTATGGGGAGGGCTTAATTTATTATCAATTTTGGAATTTAGGATGTGAAGATGGGCTGCTGTTGTAGGGGGGGAATTCATTCCTCGCAGCTGTTGGGGAAAAATGGTCTCATGTGAGATGTAACTCGTGAATTAACTGACATTTCCGGTACATACGTGGTACTCGATTCATCCTTACGCAGGACATGGGGAATATCCGGTCAAGCTCTTTCATGGAGGAGGAAGAAGAGGGTACCGGAAATGGCGCTTGAATTCCCGGCGGACGCCATTTTGGCCTGGAAGGTCGAACAGGGTTTCATTTAATCTGAAATTATCGTTGCATAAGGAGGCGCAGGGCACATAAAAATTATTTTACGGTCGACTCGGCGACTTTTCTTCCACCTCTTATTAATTTCTCGACGAGGTCGACGAGAAGATGCGAGAGTCGGTGCCATTGCGCGCGATTTCAGTGGCAGAAAAATGTCGGGGGTCTCGTATCGATACTCCTATTTATTTTTTTTTCGAGTCCACCTTCTCCGATTTCGCGAGGCAGCATTTCTTAGGATCGAATATCATTTCGCGCCGGTCGAATCGCGAAATGAAGGTGTGTCTAAGACATTTCCGAGGCCACCTTTGCTTTTTTTTTCGTACTCCGAAGAATGAAAATATACGGCGTGTTTAGGCATCGCTTACGCGTCGAGAGCTGACGTCGCGTTTACACGTCGGTTTTACGCCGACTGGTGTAAACGCGGATGCAGCCTGGCGGCTCCAAACAAAGACCTGGATACCGGAAGTTACGGAGTGTCACGCGTTGCGAGCAGACACCGTGACTGCTAAAACTGACCAATTAATGACCAAATGAATTTTCATGAAATCATAACGTCGCGTTAATCCCTATTAATAATCAACATCTAAATAGAAACAAAAGTAACGAAAGCCGTTTCACTTCCACCACGCGTGGCGGCGATTTTCCACGTGAAGAATATTACTCTATTTTGAAATTGAAAAATATAACACGTTAAAAAAAATATAATTGTTGAATTTCTAACGTGGATAGACCCTATTATGGAGTCTCTTGATCCCTAGTGAACTAATCCATCGATAAGAGTGGATTAGTAAAATATGGCAAAAGACTTGAAGGTGTAATTTAGGGTCCTTAAGGAATTTTTAATATTTCGCCGTGGATAAATTCCGTTGAGAGTACCTGTCCACCGGTAAAAGGGAATTTGTTGTCCTACGATAAATGAGTAAAAGACATAATTTAAGGTTGGCGAGAAATTCTTAATATTTTTTCACGGATAGATCCCGATGAGAGTACTTTAAATCCCTGTATCATGTCCATCAGTAGAGAGGATTTGTTGACCTATGACGACCCTAATCCGGGCGGCGCGAATTCCGCGGAAATCGGCGACGATTCGCGCTTTGGGGAGTAGTCGGCATAGCGTCACCCGGGTCTGGGACCACGTCATCGCCCAGTTTGCGACGACATCCACGCCGGCCACGGAGAACCTGTTTCTCCGAAGGCGGACGAGTGCGGCGTGTCTCCCGAGGCGGGCGCCATTTTGCGCGCGCGAACACGCGGCTCGGCGCGCGTGGAAACGTCCCACGCGAGCGCCGCCGGGAAGTAGGGAGATCGGTAGGAGCGTTCTCCGCCGAGACCGAGTCGAATATACTCGGTAAAGGAGAAGCTGGTCAGTAGGATTTGCCGAGCACCGGCGGTGGCACTGCGAGTCGCGATACCGGACCATCCACATCTCCCCCCGACCCGCGACCGACCGACGACTCGTATAAGAAAACGAGAAAAGAGATAATAAAACTGACCATGTGAATTAAATAGCTAAGAGCGAATTAAGAGCGAATTAAGAGCGAATTAAAAGTGAACTAAGAGCGATCTAAGAGCGAGTCGAATGGCCGGCATCTAAAAATAGTAGGTTTCCTGACTTAAAGTGAGATACCCAGAATTTATATAAGTAATATTTAATTCTAATTAATAATACGCCAAGAGAGATAGGAATATCGAGATAGGACCGCGAGGGCGAGGTGAAGTGACCCGATCGAGGCATAGGCGGTGTACGAAGGAGTACGTCGAGAGGTAATTAAGACTACCATGGCAAAAGGGAAAAGCAAAACGCCGCCCTCGAAGAGCGTGATGGCCACGACGAGTTCCACGGTGACGAGTACCCAGGAGTCGACGGAGACGGTGTCGAGTGTCGTGGCCGAGGCGAGGAGCGTGGAGAAAAGCGAGAGCAAGAGCAGCGTCGTCGAGGTGACGAGAGGCTCCCGGGAAGTGATCACGGACGCAAAAGGTAACGTCATCAGGGTGATCGAGCACGCCCCGAAGACGACGAAGCACGAGACGAAAAGTTCGAGGATGGGAAAGGCCTCGGAGGAGTTGATCGCCGCCGAGCAGTCGCAGACCCTGTGGCAAAGCGGGACCGGAAGTGGGAAGAAGGCCTCCAGAGCCATAGAGAATGGGAAGTCAACGGAGAGAAAAGAGACGCTGGAAGACGCCAAGTCGAGGGTTCCCAGCAAAGGGCGAGAAAATAAGAAAATCGCGACCCAGGAAGGCACCTCCAGCGAGACGTGGACGGAGAGCTTTTCCCACTCGGAGAGCGTCCTGGAAGAGAGCAGCTCCTCCACTATGGAGACGTCCAGCAACGTCGTCACCGGGAGTGGCCATTCCCAGGAACGGATCACAGGAAAATCCGTCCCAGACGTGCAGACGTCGTTCAAGTCGGTCGAGAACGTACACTCGAGTGTCGTCATGAGCGAGGGCGAGACCAAGGATGGCCAAACGGTGACCAGCACAACCAGGGTGGAGGAGTCCGGGCAGAAGCTGAACGACGACGGAAGGATTACGACCTCTCAGGGTCGCACGGTAGACGGAGAGATCACGGTCACGCCAAGTGATGGTCGGCATAAAATCAAGGGAGTCACAGGGAAGGAAGCGGCGAGCTCAGAGGATGATCGGTTGAGACACTCGAGGGTGAGTCAGGATGCCAAAAGTAAAACTTCCCTGGCGGAAGACTCGATGGAAAGCACCCTGAAGAGGTCTACGATGGAGAGCCTGGAGAAGAGCGATACGGAAAGGGCGAGAACCGACTCCACAAGGAACGTCAAACTGGGTCAGTCGACCTGGGACGGTAAGTTCGTTTTCGAGATGCCTTCTTCACCGGGAGATAAAAAATCCAATGAGGCCAAGGCGCACCCTCGACCTAGTGGAGATTCCTCACCGGAGGGACGTGGAGGCGTGATTAAAGATCGGCGCGATGAAGGGGCGACCTGGAGAACCGAACAGGAGAGGTCCAGCACCGACGAGCACAGATCGAGCACCTCGACGATGATTCAAGGCTCCACTCGAGAGACCAGATCCTCCACCGTGATTAGCCAAGAGGAGTCGAGTACGGAGGACATCCGCACGCGTATAGATCATGGCGAGAATGAAGGGAGAAAGGATCAAGAGGGATCGAAAACACGTCCTTCGAGGCCAGGGGATTCTACATGGGACGGAAGGTTCGTCGTAGAAAAGTCCACGGATCGGAAGAGGAACGTCTCCGACTCCGTCTTCCATCAGCCTGGGTACAAGGACGTCCTGGAGTCGACGCAGCGTGCGGATTTCAAGGAGAGAAGCAAGGATGGGTCCTATGAGAAGGAGTCCTCCAGCGTAACACGCACGGCCAAGGGAGCAACGGACTCCTCCTCGTTCATTGCCGAAGAGCGCCAGGAAGTCAACAGGGAGAGTTACGTGAAGAAGTCCGAGGAAGAACCTCGCACGGGCAGGACCTCCCCGGATAAAAAGGTGCATAGGCTAGGAGACTCTTCGTGGAATGGGCAGTTCGTTTCAGAGAAGCCTAGAGAGGGAGCGAGGAAGAGCAAGGGCGATGCAACGGTGGTCAGGACCAGTCAAAAGAGGCAGGATAGCGTCGAGGTCCAGGACATTACGGAGGACCAGCAGAACGTGTCCGAGTCCGTCACTTCGTCGTACATCGTGGAGTACTCTGGAAGTAGCGATAAGAGGAACGTCGAGAAAGTTAGCGCGGTGTCGGAGGCGATCCTGGAGGAAGATGGTGACAGGACGTCACCAGGACCTAGGAGTCCTGGGAGGTCCGTCAGGGACGAGGTCACCAGGATCAACAAGATGGGCGACTCGGCGTGGGATGGCAAATTCGTCTACGAGAAACCTCAAACGACGTCGACGAGCGACCGTCGACGAACGAACGACTCTGCGACCAGACGGAGGATCGACTTCGTGGACATCAAGGATGTCACGGAGGATAATTCGATAAACGAGGCCGATATCGTCACGACGTCGTACGTTGTCGAGCACTCTGCCAGCCAGCAGAGCATCGACGCGAAGGACCTCAGTATCACGTCGGTGACATCTGAGGTCATTTCTTATGGTGATAAGGACGGTGGTATCAGGCGACATGAAATTCCAGGGAACCAGTCTGATCGCCCAGGGCGAGGACCGGAAATTCCGGACAAGGTTCCAAAGGACAAAGACGTCAGGACCACCAAACCGGGATCGTCCACCTGGGATGGACGGTTCGTCACCGAGAAAACTCTGGATATTAAATTCCCCGACAAGGAAACTGGGAAATTTAGTGATACCGCGGCTCCAGGAAGGAGTCCCAGAAGGAACATCAGCGAGACCACGCTGGACCTGCGCGAATATGATGGAAACGTCTCCAAAGTTTCCGAGGTGACCACCGATTCCTTGATCGTGGAGCAGTCGGCTGCTGTGGAGAGTTACTCGGATTCGAGTAACGTTGACTTTTCCACAACGTCGGTGGAGACGGTTATCATCCGAGATGGGCAACCGAGCAGCACTGGAGGGACCAAGGTGGCAAAGGACCTGGATAGGTCTTCGAAACCCGAAGCCAGAAGTCCCCGGAAGGCAGAGGACGTTCGTCCTGCGAAACTCGGCGCGTCCACGTGGGATGGGTCTTTCATCGATAAGACGAAGGAGCTGGAGAAGGGACCATCGACGGATGACAAGAAACGTCCCGCGGACGGCAGGTCTCCCAGGGAGAAAAAACCTCAACCCGATGCAAAGCCTGATAAAATTGTCAGACACCCTGAAGACAAAAGTATATCCGATGTTCGCGACGCATCGTTCACCGAGGTCGTGGACCGGAACATCGTGGACACTTCCGAATTTTCGAACACTTTCGTCGTGGAGCAGTCGTCTTCCATGGTCAGTTCGAAGACCTTCGACTCGTCCAGTACCTCCAGCACAATCGTAGATCTCCCAGCAGCTGGGATGCCCAGTGAGAAATCGGCACCTCGTGGAAGGCCAAAACCTGAAGAGTCCCCACATGGTCGATCTCAGAGTCCAGATAAGTCATCGGCTGATAGATCGGTTCGCCCCACGAAACCCGGGTCCTCCACCTGGGATGGATCGTTCGTCTACGAGAAACAAAGTAAACCGAGGAAACCCGAAGACCAAGGGCAACCTAGAGATGGAAGGGACCATCCCGTGAACGGCGAACATCCAACCGTTAGGAAAGGTCAACCAGTCGGTACAAACAAGATTCCAACCGATGCCATTGATATCACTGACGTCAAGACCTCCAAAGTCATTGACATCTCCCAAAGCGCGACGGAGACGACCCAGGTGGAGAACAGCACCTACACCGTGGAGCAGTCTTCAACGACCGGTTCGAAGACGTTCGACTCGTCCAGTATTTCCAAAACGATCCTGCAAGAAGTTCCGGATTCCAGAAAGCCCACCGAAAAAGTCCCAAAGACGTATTCTGAGAAGACGTTACCAATTAGGGGGCCTCAAAGGACCGTCGACGCCGAGTCTCCTCGAGGTCCTTTGGGTCCTTCCTCAGGTCCTTCAGGTCCGGAAAAGTCACCGACAGACAGGTCGGCGCGACCCGACAAGCCTGGCTCGTCCACGTGGGACGGATCCTTCGTTTACGAGAAACCTCAAGGTACCCCGAAAAAACCCGAAGGACCCAGGAAGTCGTCGCCCGGAAGAGCACCCGTTAAGCAAGACAAACGACCCGACGTCACAGACCTGCGGACATCAACTCCAAAGAGACCCGGCCCTGGGGCTCCTTCGACAACCACGGTGGACGTCGTGGACATCCGTGACGTAACTGATGTCACCAACGTCACCAACGTCACCAACGTCGTCAACGTCACCGACGTCTCCCACACATCTGAGGTCGTGCAGTCTTCGTACGTGGTCGACCATTCAGCCAGTTTCACATCCGTCAAGGATGTCCACGACGTAGAGGAACGGTTCTACGACTACAAGGACACGCGACATGACTCGGTAAGTTGTCGTCGAGTACGAGTACGCGTGTTCACGGGCTTATGCGTATGTACGATGAGTTTGGAGTATTATTCAATGCCAAGAGTGGGATCGGCCCCGAGAAAGTCGGACAATGGCGGATCCCAACCTTAAGCGGAGCCTCTCGGGACTTTCACTACCAAAACCGCGTAAGGATTGCTCATACGACTCGGTCGTCCCCGACAGAAATAAATATGACCTAACTGCTTGTTCCGTCCGGCATACGGCAAGGTCGATTGTCTTGAAATTATGGTAATTTAATGCGCGACCGGTATTCCGCAGGAAAAGGCGCTCGCCGACGAGGCGCTCAAATTCCCTCCATGTATTTATCCGGAAAATTGTACGTCTCTCGCCCGGCCAAATACGGTAAATATCCGGTGTTTACAGAAGGTGTGAATTCGTCAATCCATCGTCGGCGGAATTTTCGAACGAGGCATTCTTAAGACATTCCAAGAAACTCGGCTTTCCGACGTCCCCTTGACGCGCAAAAAAGCGAAGAGATATTCGCGCGAGCTCGATACGTAAAATCGTAAATAATCTCCTGACGGTCGCAATAGTTTCAATTTTTTTTTCCCGGCTTAAGGTAGTTGCACAGGTAACGATAAATCGATGCGGATTGTGATCTCTGCAGTTAAATCGAGTTCTATGGGGCCCACTCTCTCTCCGTATAATGGGGGGGGATCACCTTCTGTAACTCCGTTCGGCCTTTCTATAATTAATAAAATAATTACCATTTATATCGTTACTTTCTCCTAGAATGTCAATTTTTATCGAATCCGTACATTTCGAATTAGGCGGAAAAGTTTCACATTTTTCGAGTAATCTTCGCTATCAGTCGATATATAACTAAACGCCGCTTTGGCCTCGCTGAAACACATGGTTGTACACGCGTATATAGACACACGTATACGACATATTTACTATTGTTACAAACGAGGCTTGTTCCGCTCTTTTCATAGACTCGGCAAGGCCACGCAAAGAGGCTGTATTCACACCGAAGACACGTTCTTCGCTCTTTCAAGGAACATTTATAAAGTCCACATTAGGCGCGGTGACATCACCGGTTCGAACGATTATTTAACTGCAGGACGAATTGATTGCAACGGCACTTGCGCCAATGTTACGTGCAACCTTGCTCGAATTAATGGGACAAGTAGTCCGGGACATAACGGGTGCTTCTCTGTAGGAGAAACTGAACAAGAAAGGTTATCACGGTAATTTCCTTGTTTCGTTACGTGGAGGCGTAATGGCCGCAGTAATAGTCACACGAACCGCCTGTACCCATAGAGTACATCATCGTCACGAGCCTTACTCTGGGAAAAGAGTTCACAGCGAATATCTGCAAAAATACATCCTTTAAGTCTGATATTTAAGAAGCGCGAGGAATCTTTATGTCATCGTTCCTTTTTAATGGCTCGTCGCGCGTTGATGAGTCGTCGGAAGCCGACGCGTAAGTGGAAACCACGTGGGCGGGGTGTAAGAATTCTCAGGACGGATGTTTTATTATTTTATAATTTTTTCAGGGCTTAATATTCACTCTTACGGGTTTAATTTCTTATTGTATTATCTGTACGTCAGGATTTGGAATGCGGATGAAATATCGGCTCGAATTTGGCGATATCGGTAATGGCCGATAGATCGACTCGGTCCGATGGAATAAGCTTTGTGATTGGCTGGTCGGTGAATAGCGATTACGCCAGCACGTGATGTATAATACATGACCGGCAAGTTCGCTTTCCGGCGATTCCAAGTGCGAGTGTAGCGGGGCACATTTCGCAATTAAAAGGCCGGAAAATGCGGCCCGCTCGTCGGCGTCCTTCTCTAATGAACTATTCAATGGGCTTTGACGTCGATGGAACAATTTCGAACTAGTCGGGCACTCATGTAACAAGGGCGATTGGATTATGCGCGGGCAATCGCGTGTATGCGCACCAAATGAGGGAAATTCGCCCCCCCGATGAAGGGTGCGCATTTCATCCCCCGAATGTAAACCTTCGCGGGGTAAAGCCGGATTAATCATTCAGATTGATAATCCTGATGACGTGTGCCGGAGCTTTATCCGAGTTGCGAGCAAAACTGCCGAGCGATCTTCTATTTCAGGATTTCGATATACGCGGAATATCCGTATAAAGGTTCGTTATCTGAGCAAGATCCGAAACGAGGGATTATTCACTCTTGAAATCATTTTAATTCTCGAAATCGCATGGAAATTAGCCGGAAATCGTTGGAAATCATCGAGAATCAGCGAAAATCACCATTGTCGCAATTTTAGACCGCCACTTATTACCGAATGACATTGTTGTTAATCGTATGAAATGAAAGGCAATCGTTTTCACCGATTTCCGAGTGGCCCTCGATATTACCATCATGCATCGCATATTTTCACGCAGAAATGCCTCACGCAATCCAATCCTCGCCTCTCATCAACGACCGATTTAAACACTTATATCCTTATACCGTAAACAAGCAGCTGATGAAGCTGCGTTTCATCTCGCGTCTCTGAAACGTGAGTCAGACTTAGGTCGACGCCAAAGATGGAGCGCGAAACCGGGACGCACTCATGTAAGAAATTATCGTTTAATTGCATTAAGTACAGGAGTTTAAACCAAATCAACGCCTTTAAACAGACTGTGTAAACATATTTATCGACATTAATTTAAGACGCTAGGGGAAATTATTTACCGTCGCAATTACTCTGGTCACGATTAGTGTCCCATAAGTCTTCATGTACTGGGCAAGCCGAGCTTCCTAGGCGCGTACTCGAAATTAAACTGTGTACCACGGTGCACGGGGTGAATTAAAAAAATACTTGCATGCATAACGGGCAGCTTTGAGAGCACTCGAAGAGGTCCCATGGGGCGCAATGGGTTTACCGTGTAACGACGAAAGTTTCTGCGAGGAAGCAAAGACCAGGACGCGGAGACATTTTCCAGGGTGGACGGCTTTAGCATCAGAGTATTTTAACGAAGCCGGTAATTAGCTGGAGTGCGCCGAACGTATGAGTACGAGAGAATCTCTTTGAGCCACGGGCAAAATGCTTTTACGAAGGGAAGAAGTTAATATCGGGGGTTGCACAATACTCTTCGGTAACGAGCTGAGCCCTTAAAAAAAGAACATCCAGGGGGGAAAATAGCCTAGGAAAATTACGTCGGTATAAAATGCGCCCGGCTTTTCTTTCTGTTTTTTTTTTTTTAATAAATTTCTTTATATATTTTCTGCCACGGATACTTTGATTTCACTTCCTCCGGTGTTATTGTCAAGCCCTGCAGTATCATCTTCGGTAATGAGCTCCCTCTCAATAACGACCCTTCGTGTAACGTAGAACCCCGTGGAAGTTCCTTTAATGACCCGCTCTGATCTCGAGCTTTGAAAAGCTCCGATTGCATCGGAGTTCGCGTAGAACACCGCTGTGTTGGGATGACAAAAAGATGAGATTCTTCGGGTACAGTTGCAGCGGACCTATTAAAATGGCACAAAGAAAATACGCCCCGAAGAGGAGGGTCTGTAGAGGGAAGTGGACGGTAGTTCGAGACGTACCTAATTTTCTTTCGATTTTATTTATTCGATATGCGGCGGGGTACATAAAAATTAATATACTATGCAGCTTCGATGACAACTCGATGTGTCTTTGTTGACTCGAGAAAGTCGTTCGCGCTCAGCTGCTCAATGATGATTAACGAAGTCTCTCGTAATTTGGTTCACAGAGAGATGTCAATGACTCGACGACGGAGTTCATCAACAGGGAACAGGTGACTAGTATGGTGGCACGGGATGTCGTCGACGACACCCGGTTCGAAAAGATCACCGTTGGCCCGGGGACACCTGATGACTTCCCGAAAAAGGTGTCCCCGGACAAGCCTGGATATCCGAAAGGAATCTCCGGCCTCAGAGAGGACGACAAACCGAGGCCTATCCCTGCTGCTGGGAAACCAAGTCGTCCTCCACAACGCGAGGACACCCAGCACCGTCCCGAAGACACCCAAGGACCTAGAAGGTTAGTCTTGGGAATGACCTTCCTCGTCACGGTCTCTTAAATATTAATCGACCTCCGTTCCAGATAGTGGGAACTTACTCTTCCATTAAAACCTCATGGAAGGTGCACTGTTAAAAATATACTCGACATATGGTACACACCTGGCCGAAGTTCTTTCAAACCACATTTCGTATGAAATCGTACTTGGGATTTCGGTACACGAGTATACGAATTTCAAATGGCAGGTGTACTCGATTTCGAAATCTAATGGATACCAAATTTCGTTCATATTTTTAGAGAATTCAGAGTTTGTTTACAGGACAATGCAGGGTTCAGAATTTTCCGTCAAGTCTTTGGAGAGGTAAAAAACCGGGAACATTTTTTTCCAGACCCTCCGATGGCAGACCAGGTTCTCCAGGAAAATCTCGCGACAACGTGTCACCTGCGAAGCCGGTGCTTGCCGCAGGGAAGCCTAGTCGACCCGAGGAAAGATTCACTCCTGGAAAACCGAGTCGACCGGAGGAACCTGCCGGGAAAACTGGTCGACCTATGGACAAACCAAAACGAGGTGACCAGTCTCCGGATTCGCTGGATGGCGAGGATATCCGCCCGAGAACCGTCATTCCTGATGACATCCTCTCAAAGATACCCCTGAAGGAGCAGTGCATCTGCGAGCTCTGCACCTGCGGGTAAGTCATTTTCACGTTGAACTTAAGAAAATTAAAAATTGATACTCCTATTTAACGATTCGTCAAATGCAAGGTCGGAAGTATAGGTCCAATACGGTCGATCTGCAGAAGATGGGCAAATTGAGATGATAATTTTCCGGGAAAATGTCGAGGGAAATTAACAAGAGCAACACTAAGCAAAACGTCTATCCTCGAGCACTGCTTCGTGTATTTCCCCTCCTCATTGATTTTAAAAAAATTGTTTAGTCTGCTCTGTGCTATTTGTTTCCCTTTTACTCTTTCCCCCCACGTTTGTATAGGTAGCATACCCCTGGCTCCGCTCCACGTGGGGCATTGCAAATTGGCAGGCGAAAAGGGGCTCACCGTTTCTTACAATGGAAGCATTATCTCGTAAATATTCCTAACAATAAGACCGAATGCGGAAATGTCGGGTCCTTTCTGTCCATTATCACTCCGCGAATTGCACGGCTCATCGATCATATCGGATCGCGTGTTTCGGCGATACGGCAATGTCTGTGAAGGCATTTTAATCACATCTCGCAGGAGTGTGAGTACCGGTGACAGGGTGGCACCTGCAGGGCCACTGCACCTACGTGCAGGTGCAATTGTGACATTCCCGCACGCAGGGCGCGTTATTACGATGTAACAAACTTTGGCCATCAGCCGCGTTCCCGGGACCAGTTTCGAAATTGTTGGAACGAGTTCGGAGTTGGGACTTTTTAATCATCGCTCCGCATCCGGTGCGTACCCCCGTCCAAGTGTTCTTCCCGGATAAACCACAAACCCGGTTTCCCCAAGTTTAATTGGAAGCGATTATCAAACTCTCTTATTACGTCGCCCGAAGTCGATCACCCATTAGCCGCATGTGCGGAATAATTGAAAGTCCGGATTATCCGGCAACGTTTGAATTTTGATAAATATCGAGGATTTTTGTAATTAGCACAGAAGTCGAGGGAATTTTCTTTCCCCCGGTTAAAATGTCCTCAGATGCGATAACGCCGTATCACGGCTTCCTTTTACACCTGTTTCGCAATTATCAAACTCTCTTATTACGTCGCCCGAAGTCAAATATCTATGAGCCGCATGTGCGGGATAATTGAAAGTCCACACATCCCGCAACCCCTCTTTCGGGTGGACTTTGATAAATATCGAATGTTTCTGTAATTACCACAGAAATTGAGGGTCGGACCTCAGAGGGAATTTTCTTTCTCCCGGTTAAAAGTCCCCCAGATGCGATAATGTCCTATCACGGCTTCCCTTTGCACCTGTCTCACTCGCCGCTCTCATAAAAAACCATGACCGCGTAAAACGCTCGTTTGACGGCGCTAATTAATCAGAAATTGCAATCTCCAAGCGTTCCCATAAATATTGAACGTTCCCTTCGCCGGGGAACCTGCGTGGGGGGAAGAACGCACGGTGGGAATCAGGTGCAGCGGCATCGTTACAGCTGCAAGTAATTGTTTGTACCGCAGTGCCTCGTGCTTTCGCCTCGCTATTATTTCACCGTTTCGTTGTTATTAAAGCCGAACTTGCATGACTAATCGGAAGATGCTCGTATGTAAACGAGGGAAGCGTTACACACGCATCTCGGTTGCGCTCCTCTCGCAAAAGATGATAAACAGACGATCCATATACGCGAAATGAAAAAAAAAAAAAAGAAAAGAAAAAAGAGTGTTACGCTGATGTTCAGTGAAAGTACAATTTCGCTGAGATACCCCTTTTACGCGGTTACTCTCGTCAAAGAGATATCCAGTAGACCGTGAGATAAACTATAATGAATGGACCCGTGTACGTTAAATAAAAAGAAAAATCATCCGCTGATATTTAGTCGAAGTATGTCTAATTTCACGGTGATACTCTTTTTGCGCCATTAACGACGTCATAGAAATATCGAAGAGACCGGCCGATGCCCTTACGATGCGTTCATTATACGCAAAGTAGTAGCGAGGTATGCGCATATTAAATGCACCGTACACAGTTATGTATCTCCTTCCCGTACTTACCTCCAGAGTAAACATAACATTATACGAGTGTGCCGGGAGTAGGTCTAAAATTAACTCCGTTCCGAATACCGCCGCATGCGCACTGGGAAAATGGCCGACGCGGGATTCGCGATGTGGAAAAAGTGCAGGAAATCGCGGGACCCGCCGTTCGGATAACCGTGGGTATCAATTATATTATGCCGTATTTGCGAGGGACGATGAGCTGAAACTCGGGAATCGAAACCTTCCCATCGGACACGGATTTCGCGATGTACCAGATATACCAGACATACCTTGCACATGTGCACACACACGGCATCGGATATCGCGTCTTCCAGTGGTAGCACATACTAGTTCAGTACTCTGTACGCAGTCCCCGGCTTCACCCGCAATGCAGTGCCACGAACCGAGGGTAAATTCAAGTAGTTCCTTCCGAAAGAGAAGTTCGATTGACGCATCACTCGAGTGATCGGCCTACCGAAGTGATAACGCGTTATAAAAAGATGTGACGAATTATTCACCGCCCATCGGTCCCTCGAGAACAGCTGATCGGTGGGACCACGTGGGGCGATCGCGCATTTTTTTTTGAAAATTTTTAAACTCAACGTCATTACGAATAGTCCCTCCAGAATCGAGTAGATCAATGAAGGGGGAAACGTGAGATCGATGTCGAGTCATTGATCGATTTCTGGGATTCCTGGAGTCCATCGACATAAGTGACTCCACGTTATAAAAGGAGGTGACTAATTATGGTCTATTATGCAGATCGGTTGGGCGACCACGTGGGAGGGCACGATTTGTATCAGGATTTCTTGATTTAAGGTGGTTTAGAGGAAATCATTCGGGATCGGGCAGATTAGTCATGGGGAAGGTGATCGATGTACCCTGTCGATCGATTTCTCGAGCGCTTTGGGATCGTTATGAAGGACTGAGTACCTTCGCCAGTTTTTTGCGATTTCGACGACGGGTTTGGAATTCCTTGGGAAGTTCACTTTCGCTCGTTCCTAGGATTAATCGATCCGATGAGCGAACAGGTGCGGTCGCTGCCTATCGCGGAAAAAAATAATTGAAATCGATCGCTCCAATAATTTATTCTCGGCTCGGCCCTGGAGCATCGGATTTTCGAGGATCGGTAGAAGGTCGCCTCGCGATCCTCGATTAAGTGGGACGCGAGACAGCACCTTTTATGGAAACCCGACTTCGGCCAATCGCACGACTCTTGACGCCGTTCCGACCTTATAAGAGATGCGTAACACGACCTACGCACTATGGAAGAAGGGGTTCTCGCCGCCACCTCGACACCTCTTGTCCATCTCGTAAGGACCCGGCTGCTTTCTAAGGTGATATGAAAGTGACATCCGAGGGGTCAATCGTTTACGACACTATTCTCTGAACTGCGTGTACCGAATCGTTTGAAATCGTATCACGTGAACATGCAAGACCCAAGGAAGGTCCCGACGCCCATGAATTTTTTATTAATCATAAAAGAATTTTAAATATTTATGAATTAGTTTAGAAAAAATAAAAGTTTATCAGTACCAGGACCTTCCTTTGGACCTCTACGTTCACGTGGTAAAATTAAAAACGACTCGTTGCACCTGCTTCAAGGAAAAATTTCATAGAAAAACTGACCCCTCCGACGCCTCTTTCGTACCACCTTAAGGGATGTAGCTATTCCACCTGCGAACCACTCGTGCAGAGGTTTGTGAGACCAACTCTCACTTCCGTAATTTTTGACCAATTTGCCGTTTTAATAGCTCATTAGAAAAGGGATAAAATGATCTAAGGGTCTGTCTGTTTTGAATTTTCGATTTCAATTTCGACTCGCTGTAATAGTTTCGCGAAAATATGCAATAACGAAATTTCGCAAACCTCTGTACGAGTGCTCTTCAAAGGCCCCGGTGTTCCTTCCGGCCGTCCATTCTTTTTTCCACGAGATTAATCGGGCCGGAAAATGTGGAATTAATTTGATCGCTCCCGCAAGTGGGATCGAGTTTGCTTTCACCGATTCACTTGTGAATAATTATGCGCGTAATTAAAGTAGACTTTAACCGTGCGTGTTCGACGAGAGTGCTCCCGCTCGAAGAGAGGCGAGGCCGCGTTAAGCCGATAAATGAATACACAAGTCGTATGCAGTGTCAGTAACACCGTTCCAATATTAGAACGCCGTTGTGAATGGGTTCTGAGCATGAAGAAGACTCGTCGTACGGTGGAAATCGATTAATTCAATATTCAAGTACACCGATTGCCCACGCCGCGTGCATCCTCGATCCGTAATACGAGGATCGAGTCGTGATTAACGATTCTTGGCCAGGATCGATCTCATTCCCCTTTAATGTCGATATCTCCTCAAATCGTTCTTGGTCGCAGGTAACACCTTACGAAAATTGATTGTTGAAAATTTGAAAATTCCCAAATGTCACCTGCGTGATTTTTGATCGATTTTCTATCACGCTATCCGGCAAGCATCGACTCCGAAGAGGACTCCGCGTGGATCGAGAATCTTGGTGGTATCTCCTGCCAGGAAGCATGGATAAATATGATTTGAGCTCAACTCAGTAGATTGAAACTCTTGACCTAGATGAAACTCTGGACCTAGTTCCTCAACCGATGGGAACCACGACCCGCCCTGTGCTTGACACGAGCACTTCGGCTGGTGAAATTTCGCGAACGCAAACTGAGCCCGCAATTATCGGCAATTGTCAATTTAATTATTTCACTGGGTCACTTATTTGTTTAATTTTATATTCTACTTTCGAAGGTCCGCCAGATAACTTAAGCTCGAGAGTTCAGAAAAAAAAGAAATGAAATTAAATACATCCCTAGTAGCACAAAATATTTATCATATATTATCTATGTATTTAGCGAATGTTTAAGCGGAGTTTCATCCGCTTGAATATTTTAAACACAGGCCGCAAACAATGTCAGAGAAATGGCACATCGATCCGCCGGTCTCGTGCAGAAAACGAGGGATCGATTGATTTTCGAAAGGGTTTTCCTTCTTCCTTTTTTTTTTCCTCTGTTTTTCAAGAATATCGAGGACAGCGCTTTCGATCGCGAGCTCCAGATAGGACCAAATTTGCCGATACGCGAAAGGCTTCGGGTTTCGATGTCGTAATCGGGGCTCATGCAAAAACATGCGACTCCCTCCGGGGTCGGCTACCTTTGAAGGAACGCGCCCCAAATAAGCCAGGGACTGATGCATTGGAAATCGACAGCCGATCAACTCCTTATGGCGACTGAAGACTCGCTCGAGAGCTTCGACATACATGCGATCGACTTGCGAGACCGCCGATCCTCTTGCGAAACCGTTTACGACTCGTGTCGCCTTATCTTCTCTTTTTATTTTCTACTTTTTCATTCCCCAGTTTCGTTCCTTCCTAAGTGTGATCCAACACTGCCGGAAAATCGGATTAACGTGGAGGAATTAAAAGCGAAAGGGGAAAAAAAAGAACAACATTAGCAGCGAAAAGAAATCAATCGGAAAATGTACACTGTTAAAAAAAAGGAAATATTGAAATTGTATAAAATCTTTGTTGGAAGTTTTATTCCAACTAATTTAATAACATTCCCAGACATTTATAACATATAAATTTGAGACATAAGTGTACTGATTTTTCTACCAAATTTCACAAACCTCCAATACCATGTTACAAGATTACAAATTGACCTTTAAGTTTATCGTAAATGTATATTCACTGTTGAGGTGTGAGATTTATAATTTTACCACAATCTTGTCTACCAAAAGTGTGCGAATTTTATGAATACTTTTAACAGGATAGACGTGACCGGTGGATCGGCGCTTATGCAATTCGAGCGACGATTTTGCAGCCACTTTGCTGCGAGGAAATAGGTGGAAATTAAATGTCCTCGGTTGTTATCCACCACGGCGCTTCTGGATGCCACTTGGGCAGTACTGTCACGATCGAATGGTTTAATACAATCGGTCACATTCTGCCTTTACATATGTAAATCTGTCCCGACTCACAAAGGATCGATCTATTCCAGTCAGGTTTACGAGCGCACGTGACATCGGCAGATTCAATTTCGCGTGTTGCCCGGGAGCGTGTCCCAACATTTGCCGAAGATAACCTGGATCAATTCTAAATCGGGGATTAAATCCTTCCCGGCGAGATTAGCTCGAATAATCGCCGGTTTATTAATTTCCGAGAATTAACCCGCCTTACGTCTAATTGATTTAACGCCCGTTAAAATCCCCTTAGCGAATCCACTTTCGCGTGTACCCAGTATCTATTATCCTTCCGTTCTGGGTAAACTCGACGAGCGATTTCACCCGAGCTTGCACGGCTCCCAATCGCTGACGTGCATCGCCTGGCTCGTTACAATTTGTATGAAACGACGCCTTCGTGTACCGCCATTGCTGGCCTACCTTGAACTAGTGAAGCACCGGCGCAATCGATTGCCGCACGTGAGAAAAATATTGAGTCGCACATGTCCTCAGGTTTATCGGACGAAATAACGTACACAGATCGGCGACTTCGCCCCAGATATTATTAATAATCACGGCGATTCATATCGGGCTGGACTCGACAATCTCGGACGTGCTTATCGGGTCTTCTTAGTCGTAAAATAATTTCCCCTCTGAGGAGTACTTCAGTGGGACGAGTGATTTTTTTTTCTCCTGCGAGAAGGGAAAGGAAATGACATTTTCCAGAGGGAACAACGGGGGTAATGCATTCAGTTATACATGAGTTATTGTAATACATGACACGGGGGAGATATACTGCAGAGTGCGTTCGGTAGGTCGTTCCGTCAAAAGTTCCATCCGGACTTGAGTCACTCGGATATTATGAAAACGTCGGCAAAGCGCGAATTGGATATTTTTCAATGTTGATGCGACATCGGCGTTACGACGTGTCAAAGTACGAGCCATAGTTGGAGATTACGAATCACCGAGTCCGAGTGCAGCCATGCTCATTTCTAAACTTACATTAGACTCAGGGGATTAGATCACCGAAATTGCGTCACTTTCGAGATATACTCTGGTAAAAGGGAAAAAAAAAAACATTCGTAATCGGAGATTCTGAAAAGACGGTAAGGTCTTCACATTCAGCGAAAACGTCTGTAAAGATGCGCGGAAAAATAAAGCCGTGTACGTTGTTATCAAAGGGCATCGGTGGTGATACTATTTTCCTCGCACGGCAGTAATTACACCGACATTGAAAATGTTTGCTGCTGCATCAAACGTAGATCCAATCACTTGAAAAATGAGCGAATAAATTTCAGGCAAGAGCCGAAAAATAATGTTGTCAATACACGATCTAACAAGCAATGTCCCAATTGTCGCTAATAAGTGATACCACGATTATAATTTCTGTTTAGCATATAATTTCAAATTTTCTTTTTTTCTGGGCCCATTCCCCAAGTTGGTGAAGAAAATAGCAAAATTATGACCGTAAATTATTTTTCTGCGTATAGGGGAATAAAATGTCTGCCATGTGTACGTATGCAACGTACTAAATGCAGGTGAATAAATTTCCAGGCGCCATCGATGCCCTCACAATTTCCCGGAGGAGCATTTGGAGATCCCCCACGAGCCTGTGCATGCGGTAACGTCTTACAGACAAGAGTATGACGAGAAACATGTCGATCGACAAGTCGCCTACCATCGGGAAGACCATTTGCATATGGAAGGTGAATTCACCGGGCAGCGTCGTACGGACTATGTGGCGACCCGAGGGGAGCGACTTCCGGTCAGGAAGCCGGAAGACAACCTCAAACCGGAAGGGGAGTTCGCCAAAAGGCCGAAGGAAGAGGCACCAAAGGGTGAGAGAGCACCAGTCAAAAGACCGCAGGATAACTTAAAACCTGAGGGAGACTTCATCGGGAGGCCGAAAGAAGAAGCGCCGACCAGAGGAGAACGTGCACCTGTGAAGAAGCCTCGGGACAATTTGAGACCGGAGGGAGATTTCGACAGTAAGTATGAACAATGAAATTGCGATTATAATTCATGTATCTCGAGGGGACTCGTATAATGAAGTCGTTTTTCTCTCTTCAAGGTGTGACCACGACGGAGCTGGTCTTCACCGGGGTTCCCGGAGAACGACCTAGTCCTGTACGTCGCAATACCTACACGAAGATCGAGGGTGAATTCATCGACGAGACCACCTCCAGGTCCGAATTTATAGATCATCGTAGCACGCAGAGAGCGGAGATCATCAGGAGAAGTGACAACCTCACCGTAGGAGAGGGCAAATTTACGGTAAGTATTATTTTTTGGGAATATCGATATTTAATTAATTATTTCTTTATTTGTTTGGGGTGATTTAAGGACGTTCTTACTTGTATGATAATGTTAATATCTATCCATTGTAGGGCACCTCCCATATCAAGGAGGACTTCCATAGTTATGATGTCGTTCCAAAGGAACATCCACGTCGACCCGTCACCACCACGAATGACGTTGATCGGTATTATGGCAGGACTGACGTTGTCGAAAACCTCACGACGAGCCATGAAGAGTACAAAAGCTTTGATCAGACTGATTATAGGAGCACGACGGTCATCAGGAAGGATGATAACCTGAGACCAGAGGGCATCTTCGAAGGGACTCCGAAGTCGAGGGAAGATTATGTGCCCATGATAACGGAGAGGCCAGAGGCCAAGAGACCGAAGGATAATCTCCGACCGGAAGGTCCATTCGAAGGGAGACCCAAGGACGATTTTATGCCGAAACTTGCGGAACGCCCTGAAGTCAGGAAACCGCAGGATAATCTGAGACCCGAAGGTCCTTTCGAAGGTAGACCCAAGGATGACTATACGCCGAAACGCTCTGAACGTCCTGAAATGAAGAGACCTCAGGACAATTTGAGGCCTGAAGGTCCTTTCGAAGGTAGACCTAAGGACGACTATAAACCTACTCGTGGGGATCGAGCGGATGTAAGGAAGCCGGAGGATAATTTAAGACCCGAAGGTCCTTTCGAAGGACGTCCTAAGGATGACTATACGCCGAAACGCGCTGAACGTCCTGAAATGAAGAGACCTCAGGACAATTTGAGGCCTGAAGGTCTTTTCGAAGGTAGACCTAAGGACGACTATAAACCTACTCGTGGGGATCGAGCGGATGTAAGGAAGCCGGAGGATAATTTAAGACCCGAAGGTCCTTAAGGATGACTATACGCCGAAACGCGCTGAACGTCCTGAGATGAAGAGACCTCAGGATAATTTGAGACCCGAAGGTCCTTTCGAAGGACGACCTCGAGATGAATACACTCCGGGAGAAAAGCGACAACCCATCAGACACAGTGATAACCTTTATCCCGAAGGAGAATTTGAGCGACCCGAGCAGATACCTTATGGTCCTGGCGACAGGGCACCCATCATCCGCCATCCTGATAACTTGTTTCCCGAAGGCGATTTTCCAGACAGGGAACGCCACCCCTTCCAACCTGCTGAAAGAAGGACACCTATTAAACCCGACGATAATCTACGTCCTGAAGGAGAAATCGACATGCGGCCTAAAAATGATTTCCTTCCGAAACGCGCTGACCGGCCAGACGTGAAACGACCAGAAGATAACCTGCGGCCAGAAGGTCCTTTCGAAGGAAGACCTAAGGACGACTTCAAGCCGACTCGCGGGGAACGAGCAGATATTCGAAGACCCGAAGACAACCTAAGACCAGAAGGTCCTTTCGAAGGCCGTCCCAAGGATGACTTCTCACCAAAACGAGCGGAACGTCCTCAGGTGAAAAAACCGCAGGACAACTTGAAGCCCGAAGGACCCTTCGAGGGCCGTCCTAAGGATGACTTCTCACCGAAACGCGGAGAACGTCCTGAGGCGAAGAAACCGCAGGATAATCTGAAGCCTGAAGGAGAGTTTGTAGATCGTCCGAAGGAACGATTCACTCCTGCGGAGCGGCGAACGCCCATCAAACATGCGGACAACCTTTATCCTGAAGGCGATTTTGACAGACCAACACCTGAATCCTATGGTCCTGGTGACAGGGCATCCATCGTGAGACATCCTGACAATCTGTTCCCCGAAGGAGAATTCGCGGACAGGGAGAGAACTCCTTATAAACCTGCGGAGCGAAGAACTCCGATAAAGCATGACGACAACCTGAGACCCGAAGGTGAATTCGAGAGACCCGAGAAGGCACCTGTTCGTCCTGCGGAAAAAAGGACTCCTATCAAGCACCCTGATAATTTGAAACCCGAAGGTGATTTCGTGGGAAAGCCTAAGGACGACTACAGACCAACTAAAGGAGAGCGTGCCGACGTGAAGAGACCCGAAGATAACCTGAAACCCGAAGGACCATTCGAGGGTCGTCCTAAGGACGATTACAAACCTGTGAGAGGGGATCGAGTTGATGTTATTAGACGCACGGATAATTTGAGAATGGAGGGCGACATCGAGACCTATCGATCTAGAGACGACTATACCGAGTTCTTGCACAGGGAACGAGTCGAGGTCACCAAGCAGCAGGACAACCTGAGGATGGAGGGTGAATTCATCGACATGAGGACTCGCGATGACTACCGTGTTGTAAAAGGAGATAGGGTGGAGGTTATCAAACATCCTGATAATCTGAGACCGGAAGGACCCTTCGAAGGGCGACCAAAGGATGACTACTCCCCGAAGAAGGCGGACAGACCTCAAATTAGGAAACCCGAGGACAACCTCAAGCCCGAAGGGGAGTTCGAGAGACCAGAGACGAAACCAGTTGGTCCAGCCGAGAGACGTACTCCGATTAAGCACGATGATAACCTGAAACCTGAAGGTGAATTTGCAAGAAGGCCGAAGGAGGAGGCGCCGAGAATGGGCGAAAGGGCAGACGTGAAGAAGCCAAAGGACAATTTAAGACCAGAAGGAGACTTCGAGAGGCCAGAGAAGAAACCTGTCGGTCCAGCGGAGAGAAGAACTCCGATTAAGCATGCCGATAACCTGAAACCTGAAGGGGAGTTCGAGAGGCCACACCATGAAGAATTCAGACCTGCTGAGAGGCCGAAGGTGACGAAACCGCAGGATAACTTGAAGCCTGAGGGAGAATTTGAAAGACCACACCATGAAGAGTTCAGACCTGCTGAGAGGCCGAAGGTGACAAAACCGCGGGACAACTTGAAGCCTGAGGGTGAATTTGAGAGGCCACACCATGAAGAGTTCAGACCTGCTGAGAGGCCGAAGGTGACAAAACCGCAGGATAACTTGAAGCCGGAGGGTGAATTTGAAAGGCCACACCATGAAGAGTTCAGACCTGCTGAGAGGCCGAAGGTGACAAAACCGCAGGATAATTTGAAGCCGGAGGGTGAATTTGAGAGGCCACACCATGAAGTGTTCAGACCTGCTGAGAGACCGAAGGCGACGAAACCGCGGGACAACTTGAAGCCTGAGGGAGAATTTACGGGTCGTCCAAAGGAAGAGGCGCCGAAGAGAGGAGAAAGAGCGGAGGTGAAGAAGCCGAGGGATAACCTGAAGCCGGAGGGAGACTTCGAGAGGCCTGAGAAGACGGTTGTAGGACCTGGAGAAAGAAGGACGCCGATCAAGCACGCCGACAATTTGAGGCCAGAAGGAGACTTCATCGGTCGCCCTAAAGAGGAGGCCCCGAAGAAGGGCGAGAGGGCGGACGTGAAGAGACCGCAGGATAACTTGAAACCCGAAGGGGACTTCGAGGTACCCCAGAAGAGCCCCGTGGGCCCGGCAGAAAAACGCACGCCCATAAAACATCCCGACAACCTGAAACCAGAGGGAGATTTTGAGCGTCCCAAACATGAGAAGTTCCGTCCTGCCGAACGTCCAGAGGTGAAGAGACCCACGGACAACCTGAAGCCAGAGGGCGAATTTGAACGTCCCAAACACGAAGAGTTCCGTCCTGCAGAACGTCCAGAGGTGAAGAGACCTACGGACAACCTGAAGCCAGAAGGCGAGTTCGAGAGGCCGCATCCGAAGAAGGTCGGACCTGCTGAAAGAAGAACGCCCATCAAGCATCCAGACAACCTGAAACCCGAAGGCGATTTCGTGGGAAAACCTAAGGACGACTTCAAGCCAACTAAAGGAGAGCGTGCTGATGTGAAGAGGCCTGAAGACAATCTTAAACCTGAAGGACCGTTCGAGGGTCGCCCTAAGGACGATTACAAACCTGTGAGAGGGGATAGGGTGGATGTAGTTAAACGCACGGATAATTTGAAAATGGAGGGCGACATCGAGACCTATCGATCCAGGGACGACTATACCGAGTTCTTGCACAGGGAACGAGTCGAGGTCACCAAGCATCAGGACAACCTGAGGATGGAGGGTGAATTCATCGACATGAGGACTCGCGATGACTACAGTGTTGTAAAAGGAGATAGGGTGGAGGTTATCAGACATCCTGATAATCTGAGACCGGAAGGACCCTTCGAAGGGCGACCAAAGGATGACTACTCCCCGAAGAGGGCGGACAGACCCCAGATCAGAAAACCCGAGGACAACCTCAAGCCCGAAGGGGAATTCGAGAGACCAGAGACGAAACCAGTTGGTCCAGCCGAGAGACGTACTCCGATTAAGCACGACGATAATCTGAAACCTGAAGGTGAATTTGCAAGAAGGCCGAAGGAGGAGACGCCGAGAAAGGGCGAAAGGGCAGACGTGAAGAAACCAAAGGACAATTTAAGACCAGAAGGAGACTTCGAGAGGCCAGAAAAGAAACCTGTCGGTCCAGCGGAGAGAAGAACCCCGATTAAGCATGCCGATAACCTGAAACCTGAAGGGGAGTTCGAGAGGCCACACCATGAAGAGTTCAGACCTGCCGAGAGGCCGAAGGTGACGAAACCGCAGGATAACTTGAAACCTGAAGGAGAATTCACGGGTCGTCCTAAGGAAGAGGCGCCGAAGAGAGGAGAAAGAGCGGAGGTGAAGAAGCCGAAAGATAATCTGAAGCCTGAAGGCGACTTTATAGGTCGTCCTAAGGAGCAAACCCCGAAGAAGGGGGAGAGGGCCGAGGTGAAGAGACCTACGGACAACCTGAAACCAGAAGGCGACTTTGAGAGGCCAGTGAAGTCTCCCGTAGGACCTGCGGAAAGAAGGAGCCCTATCAAGCACGCTGATAACCTCCACCCTGAAGGCGACTTCGTTGGTCGTCCCAAAGACGATTACTCGCCCAAGCGAGCCGATCGTCCTGTGCAGAAGAAACCGAAGGACAATTTAAAACCGGAAGGAGAGTTCACAGGGAAGCCGAAAGAGGACTACAGACCCACGAAGGCGGAGAGGACGGAGATCGTCGTCCACCGAGATAACCTAAAGATGGAGGGCGACTTCGAGGTCCACCGATCACGGGATGATTACACGTCCACCAAGGTGGAAAGAGTGGACGTCATAAGACGAGAGGATAATCTCAGGATCGAAGGCGAATTCCTGGATATCCGTCGTAGAGACGACTATAGTGTGACTCGTGGAGAGCGCACGAAGATTGTTCGCCATGAAGACAACCTTCGTCCAGAGGGCGACTTCGAGAGACCGGAGAAGGTTCCAGTGGGACCAGCTGAGAGGAGATCACCGATTAAGCATCCGGATAACTTGAAACCTGAAGGGGAATTTGCAAAACGTCCAAAGGATCAAACGCCTCTCAAAGGAGACCGCGCGAGTGTGAAGAAGCCAAGAGACAACCTGAAGCCGGAAGGTGATTTTGAGAGGCCGGAGAAGGCTCCTGTAGGTCCTGCCGAAAGACGCACGCCTATCAAACATCCTGATAATCTACACCCCGAAGGCGACTTCGCGGGCAGACCGAAGGAAGAGGCTCCAAGAAGAGGAGAAAGGGCGGACGTGAAGAAGCCGAAGGATAACCTGAAGCCCGAGGGTGACTTCGAGAGGCCTGAGAAGCATCCTTTGGGTCCTGTGGAGAGACGATCGCCTATAAAACATCCCGATAATCTTCATCCCGAAGGAGACTTCATGGGCAGGCCCAAGGAAGATGCTCCAAGGAGAGGAGAGAGGGCGGAGGTGAAGAAGCCGAAGGATAACTTGAAGCCAGAGGGCGACTTCGAGAGACCCTCTCCGACCAAGGTTGGTCCTGGCGAACGAAGGACTCCCATTCGCCATCCGGATAATCTGAAGGTCGAAGGTGAATTTGCCAAGCCCGAAAGAAAAGGATATAGTCCTGCCGAGCGGGTGACACCGAAGAGACCTCAGGACAACTTGAAGCCAGAAGGCGACTTCGAGAGGAGGAGTCCTACGAAGGTTGAGCCTGCCGAAAAACGCACGCCAATCCGACACGAGGACAACCTTCATCCAGAAGGCGACTTCTACGTGGTTCCAAAGGACGACTTCACACCTAAGAGGGGCGAAAGGGCGCCGATCAAGAAACCCCGAGACAACCTCAGACCAGAGGGCGAGATGGAGGTCAGTCCATCCTCGAAGGACGACTACCGACACGTGAACGGCGAACGCGTGGAAATTCGACGACGAGAGGATAACCTGAGGATGGAGGGCGAGATGGACGTCCACAGATCCCGGGACGACTACACGAGGATCTCGAAGATCGAACGAGTGGACGTCAAGAGGCGCGAGGATAACCTGAGGATTGAAGGTGAATATATCGACGTGAGGAGGAGGGACGACTACAACCACGTCACCGGGGAACGGGCGGTGGTGAAGAAGCATCAGGACAACCTCCGTCCAGAGGGAGACTTTGAGCGGCCCGAGAAGAGTCCCGCGGGTCCTGGAGAACGAAGATCTCCGATTAAGCATCCCGATAATCTGAGACCAGAGGGCGACTTCCAGGGAAGGACGCCGGAGAAGGTGGCGCCTGGAGAACGTCGTTCTCCGATTCGTCATCCCGATAACCTTAAACCGGAAGGGGAGTTCACGGGTCGTCCCAGGGACGATTTCACTCCCAAGAGGACGGACAGGACCGAGGTCGTTCGTAGGGAAGACAACCTGAAGATGACCGGCGACTTCCAGAGCACCACCTCCCAGAAGTCAACCTACACCGTCGTTCGTGGAGAACGCGCCGAGATCAAACGGCACGAGGACAATCTGAGGATCAGCTCCGAGGCAATGGAGTCGAAGACCACCTCGAAGGACTCCTTCACTCCCACTAAAAAGGAACCGTCTCCCGCGGACAAACCGGTGAATCGCAGACGACACATGGAGTCGTCCATCTCCCTGGGCAGCGACACCACCCAGATGACGACCACCAACCAGAGCAACTACAACACCTACACAAAGCGCACTGGGAAGGAAGTCGTGGCCAGGATCAACGACGTGCAATCGGACAGGAGCGTGGAATCGAAGGTGGTGGATGGTTCCCAGGTGACCACCACAAAGACCACCAAGGCTACCCATGCTGCCCAGCGATCCTCTCAGCAGCAATATTTCGCCCAACACGTGGCCACCGATCGACGTCCCATCGACGCTGGGGAACCAGCTCCTTCGGGACCTCTTCAGCAGCCTGATCTGCTGCGACAGGAGATCAGCTCCAGGAAGTCGACCACAATTCAGGAGAACCAGCGTCGAGAACAGCAGTACAGGACGCACAGCGAACATCTCAGGTCGCAGAGCAGCTCCCAGGTGCGACAAGTGAGCGACAGATCGATCGACGATCGTCGGGACTATCAGGACTCGAAAGACGTGCAGAAATACCAAGAAGGGACTAAAAGGGATTACGTGAACTCCCAGCACGTAGAGAGCAGGCAGAGCAAGCAGTCTTCCCAGCTCACCAGGCACACGATATCCAGCCAGGCGAGGTACAACAGCACCCAATCCAGCAGTGCGGAATTCCGACAAGCGATCAGTGGACAGTCTGCGGAGCAACGGGTCGAGGACTCGTCCCTGGGGAAGACCAGTCATCACAGGAAGAACGTCATATCCTCGTCCTCGGCGGACGTGAACAACTCCGTTCTCCACAGACGAGGAGTCACCACGTCCACGGAGGCGCTACACACGATCTCCTCGACGGCTGCCGATCAGAGGAAAAGCATCTCGAATCTCGCCGAATCCGGCCAGTTTATCAGCAACTCCAGTCAGAGCGTCGACAGACGCAGCTTGACTTCTTTGCACAGGAACAGCAAGGATGGGAATCCTTGGGCGTCCGCGACCTACGAGAGGCCACAGAGAGTCGTCAGACAAGACAACTTGACGGTCGGTGGGAAGTTTTATTCCCAGAGCGAGGCCAAGAATTATGGAAACTTCACGTCCCAGAGGGTCGAACGGGTTCATAGACAGGGGAATGTGTCGCATATTAATCTGGGGAACGAATCCGTTGTTGCGTCCAGCTCTTATAAGAAGGAGTTCGTTCCCAGGGCCAAGGGACCTTGCCCTGCGGCGCTGATAGAGACCAAGCAGGCTCCTTTCAAGCACACCAGGGATTCTACAAAACACAAGTTCTATATGCCGGTTGTCTCCAACTGAAGCTTCTAAATTGTCCTGGGGTGGAGGTGAACGCCTTCTCGGTACATAGAGACGACGCCATGTCTGCAGGAAAGTCGTTCACGTTCGCCAGGACGTACAATGGCGGACGAGAATGCCTCCTTGCTGATGGACCGCGAAAGGGACGGAAATAACGTTCACCTCCGTCATTTACGTCCAATTTCTGCACCAGAAATGACTGCAGGTGCAGAAATTGCTTGTCTTGACACAGACTTCACTTGTAACTACGACTGTGATATACACGATGTCGGTAGGTTTTCTTCGTGACTATCATGAACGTATGCACGGACTCGAACTCGTCAGCTTCTGACTTGAAGAGGTTCGAAACCAGATTTGTAATACTCCAGTTTTAATTTCTCCGTTTCTTTTTCTTTTTATACGTCTCGTGCATACCTTGGGAATTGTTTTCACGGGGTTATGTGAAAGATACGTTGATTTTTAGCACGAGGTCCATTGTTTGTAGGGTAGGGGTCGATCGTACTATCAGCGATAGGGATCGATGAATTTCAGTTAACTGCATTTTTATCGATGCATTTGTCCCGCGCTTTTATGATATCGACGTTGTACGTGGATGCTGAAATTAATTTAGAAAGCATTTAGGTATTCGATGGAATTCCAAGGTTGGACATTTTCGTACTTGCGACCTGGTGCAGATTTGCTGCTACGTAAACGCCGCGGTTGTCGGTAATGTTTATAGGTGTTTGAACTAATGGAGTTTCAGATGGAGTTATCGTTGTTTTACGTATTAGATCACGTGTATTACAAAGCAATAACTAGAGCTTAAATCCGTGATAAGGTCGAAACTGAGGCAAAGTGTCAGGTTTCGGCCCGAGTCCTAGCTTAAGAGAGACCTTGTAGCTTTCGATCAGGATCTTCGAGGACCATTATATCGTGCCACCCGCTATGCAATTATACATTTGCAATTATTATACATTTGCAGCATTGTACTCCGCTCTCGGTTCCACTCGTCGAACCAATTAACCATTACGTTACGAGTATTTACCTGCGATATTAATTTTGTTGTGGCTTACCTGTTTTTCCTTTTTTTTTACTTAGACTTTAGTTATTATATTTATTTTCACCCTTGCGGTGAATATTACGGTCGATTATTATCAATTCCGAGGTCGATTAACACGCTTTTGTTTATTTACCTGGTTTATGTTACTTACTCCTGAGAAATAAAAATGAAAAATTGCACAATGCGATTCCCGACGTTTTGTTATTTTTCTCGCATCACGCTTTGCCGAATCCTACCCATTATCCCTTATCAATGCACTTTGCATATCCGTAATTGTTGCACGAGTTCTCTAGCATTTTTTGTTCATATCTTCCTCGGTAATCTCATTTTTTCCTTCTTATGTTCGTTTTGATACTCTCGAGCAATGGGGTCGAAATTTATCGTACATTGTAGTGCGGTGTAAAATATGGAATTAAAAATCGATATCAGTTATGATTTTAAGTAGACAACGAGATAGACGTGTAGAAATGAATGTTCGAATGAGATCCATTTAGAGATAGTCTTCGGCACGATTAATTTACTATCCAGCAGATTTTCTCGACTCCTGTCATGTAACTATTATTTCTATGAATAATCTCTCGTTTAATACACAGGTCATGAGCTATTCATAATGATATGAATAATGACAGCATCATCGACCTTTGTCACCGAGCGTAAGGTAACAGGTTATGCATATCGGACACACCAAATGACCGAATGAAAACGTGTATATAATAAAACTCTTGTTATAAAAAAAATTCTGAAACATTAAATCGAATTATGTGAACGATTCTGCGGAGGATGTAAGAGCATCACTTCAGGGCGTATACCAAGTATACGTTGCTCTCACGAAGTGTGATTTGTCGGCGAGGATTCGCATTCCCATAAATAATACAAATGCAAGGGTAATTATTGCTTAATCGGTAGGTATGAGAATATTTATTTTTAATACGATTCCGCAATAATATGCATCAATTGTGTAGATAGAGGGAGGACGAATTACCTAAAGCAATCGTGTGAACTATTGTATATCTCAAACGAAGGACACTGTAAATATTGTTGAGACTAATAAATAAAACAATCCGGCCTGTGGGTGGCGTTTGAAATGACCTTAATTATTAAAATCTCTCCGACTTTCGTTATTATTAAAAAAAAAAAAATATATTCCGCTAGACTTCGCAATTGAAGAGAAGGGCGTATATCGATAAGGCGCCAACTTCAATCGACAGGTCCCTCGACGTTGCGTTGTTTTGTACTTCCTGATCCCAGGATCGCTAGGAAATATGAAAGTATTTTTATACGTTAATTTAACCTAGTAACCGCACTTCGGAGGTGATTGAACGCAGTGCGCAACACGGTGATGGAATCCTGGTGACATAATGAGAAGTCATTTTCAACTAGGCTACGTCTACTTCCTCTTTGTCCTGATGTTTTGTAGCCTCGACCTGTCAAGATGCAACGTGGAGAGCGCTGCCCACCTCAGGTAAATCCAATTAAATACTATTTCCAATTCATTCCGAAACTACGGCGGAATCTTGACGATTCCAGCAATCAAGGGACTTCCGAGAACGAACAAAATGCGGTTGTACAAGGCCATGGTTCTGCCGAAGTTCTAGACCCGAAAGAGGATTACAGTGTTCAGCGTCGTCAAGTTCCCGACAAGATGGATGGTGATCGATTGGTCCGAAGAAAGCGATTTCTCACCTCGAGCAAGATGATGGCCATTCCTATGAACCGGCGATTTAAAAGATTCGCAAAGACCGAGGACGCCGACTCCTCGGGTTCTCGGTCGACCTCGGATGAGAGAACGAACGCGCTGGATGATTCCAGGATGGCCGACAACGATTCTCAACAGAGCTCGAGGAGAAAACGAGAAGTCGGCAAGGATAGCGAGGTAGAAAAAATAAAAGCTGGATCTGATACAGAGGAGGGGCAGAAAAAACGATCCGTGGGAAAAAGGGAGACCCTGAAGAAAGACCTTGCCGAAAGTCCGGATCCAGCTGACGGGCAGAGAATCGCGGATTACGGCGAAGCCGATGATTTCGAGGACAGTCGCCGAGAGCAGAACGAAGAAGGTGCTCTCGTTGGAAATAACTTGGCTAAGGAAATCGCGGAGTACGATGAAGAAGCTGCCGAGGAGGCAAATAGAGAACAAGCGAATGCAGAGTATAAAAGGAGAGGCGGGGACGCGATGGCGGAGAAAGAGGTCGTAAAAAGAGAGGTCGAGAGGGAGGACGAGTACGACTATGGGGAGGAACAATTTGGCTTGAGTGCCGGGTTTCAGGAAAATTCAAATGGGGCGGAGAGAGCCGCTGAAATGGCCGTAGAAAGGAGGGAAAGGAATAATGGAGCAAGGAGAAAGCGAGGGGATTTGAATAAGGCGGACTCGGTGAGGTCGCTGGAACAGGGGGGCGAAAGTAAGGACCAGGTCGGCAGTGCGAAAGCGGAAATAAGCGAGCAGGATTTGAAAAACGAAGATGCCAAAGTTGTGAGAAAACGAGAGGCAGAAAATAGTGGCAAGAATCTTGGTTCGAGGTCGGACAAGCAGGAAGAACGAGGTGAGGTCGCGAAGAGAGGCGCAATGCCGAAGATTTCAGGAAAAAGAAACAGCCTGGTTGCATCGGAGCAAGAACGAAAACTGGCTGATTGGGTGGGAGAGAATTCGAGGTCGAGCTCAAATTTGAACTCCAGGTTACAGCAAGGGAGGTCGCTATCCTCGGAAGGCTCGAGGTCGAAAATCGAGGAGTCGAAATCGCAGCAGGCAGAGTTCGACCCCAGAAGCATCGAGTCCAAGGACGACCTACCGCAGGACATGGCAGACCTCGATATGGAGGTCAAGGAGAACGAGTCCGACGAGGACTACGAGAGGCGCGTGGAGCAGCAGATCCAGCGGAAAATAGACTCCATAAAGGAGGAGATCAAGCGCGAGGTCGAAAAAAAACAGAAAATCCGCGTGATCGAGGAAAACAACGCAAAGTACGACGAAATGCGGAGCCAGGAGGACGAGGACGAGGACAGCCAGAGTCTGGACGCGCCGAACGAACGCCAAGCCGTGTCGAAGAGATCGGTTCGACCAGGAGCATCCAAGAGGGCGACTTCGAGGAGGTCGAAGAGACGCGCCGCCCTTACCGGTGGAGACCTCGATGCCGACCTCCTGCAAGAAAACGAGGCCGATAAGGCGCCGGAACTAGGTTCCGGGTCGTCCAACTCGAAGCCGGAAAATATCCACAAGAGGTCTGCACCCTTATACTCGGAGTCTCGTGATGAGACCTCCATTAAGGTCCCTGCGAAGAAGCGCAGCGTCGTCAGGAAGGTCACTTTAGTGGAGGCTCCTTCAGGGAGGGAATTAAGGAAACGTCACGTCGCAGGAGGAATCCTGATTCCGGAGCAGGCCCATGCAAAGATCGAGGACGAGCTCCCACGTGACCTGACCTTAGATCCGAAACTACGCCTGGATCTGCCAATGGAACAAAAACCTGTAAGACGTCGCAGGAGCGTTCAAAGGTTCGGACGAAGACGAAGAATGGACGCCTCGACCCTCGAAGAACCGGGGTCTTCGATATCAGGCTACAGACCTCAGGACGACGAGGACGAGAACGACGACGGGAACGAATTCGACGACGACGGATTCGAGGACCGCACCTCGAACCTACGAGGTGGAAATCAGAGACGGATGGTGCACCCGCGGACGCCAGAGGTCGATCATCAAAATTTTCTCTTCCCCGTTGAGGGAGGTTCCCAGGGGCTGCGACACAAGAGGGAGGAAATGTCCAGGGTCGGTCGTCGAGGTGGGACCAGAGGAACCAACGAAGGTGGTCTCAGACCTTGAAGAACGGGTCTCCTTTCCTCTGAATTTTCCTTGCCTCCTTCTGGCCACTCCAAGGCCATCCTCGACCTGAATTCCCCCTCTTCATATCTCTATCACGATTCCTGTGACCCTTGGAATCCACCCTGGACTTCAAGGCTGTCCTCGACCTGACCTCTCCTCCGTCTTCTCGCTATGGCTCTGTGAACCTCCCTGGGACCCTGGGCTCTGATAAAAATTATAATTTGGATAATTCAAGGAATTTACCTAGAAGTCCTTTCCCATGTAAACACTGTCTACCCTGTCCAGGAATCAGGGGACTCCAGGGGCAAAAGGCAAGTCGCTGATTCCTTGGAGGCGGCCAAATCTTTGGAGCCCGTGGCTTCGCTCATAGGCAGCTCGGTAGAACTGAGTCCTCGATTGGCGACTGAGTACAAGGAGGCCTTCGGAGGTCTTCAGGGTGATCCTGGAGGAGCCCTGGTTAGGTATAAAAGGATCAAGCGAGTCGCGCCCGTCTCCTAGTTCCAGGGACCAGCTGATCGCCTGCGCGAAGACGGGCACCACCTTCAAAGTGGTACCAGCTCGTGGTACTTTTCAAGGTGGTACCTTCCGAGGTCGGTGCTTAGTCATCTGGACTCGTTCCAGCTGCCCTATTCCTGAAAGCCGGGTCCACTATCAGTGACATCTTCGATTCAAAGACTCAGGAATGGTAAGGAATCCCTAGGACTCGCTGTAGACCTCTTCCTGACCCTCTTCAAGAACAATCCAACCCGGTACGGTCAATGACAGAGTCAGGTGTCTGTTTGGAAACGGGGCTCTCGACAGAGACACGACGCCTTGAGATTGAACGTTATTTAATGCAGCCTATTTCTTTTATAAATTTTCACAAAAAATTGTCAATATCTAAATTCCTATTCGCTAAGTCGAGCTAGAACTTTACATCCGCTGTACCGTCGAAGGATATAAAACGTGTCTCTCTCTAATTAGTTTGGTACGTCGTGCGCAAAGGACGCGAGCATGCGCAGGACTTGCAGGACACGTGGCCGCCCGAACGCGCGTCCTCTTATCGTTTCTCTTTTGCGTTATCACGGCAAATCGCAACATCATTTGCATCCCTGGCACAGGATACGAGTCGTTCTTGGAAGGATGTAACACTTATCCATTATTTCTTCACCTTTTACAGCGAAAACGAGGGGCGCGCGTTCGGTGTCGGCGCGTGCGTCGCGAGTTACATTTAATTAATTACACTAAATCGGTCTTCGTGGTCAAAGCGTAAGTAACGGTGCTCCTTTACAAACATTATCTCACAAATATGTTTTTTTTTCTTTTTTTAATTACAGCGGCGCCTCTAAGAGGTGAGGTGTAATCCCGCGCGCGATCGTCACGATCCTTGAAATGCAACCGTCACCCAGAAAACTCGAGGAATGGCGAACGAGTCAATGAAAACACAATTGAATCGACATTTAAAAATCTTTACACGCGTACGCGTGAGTGGACTCTCGTCCCTTATCACATAAACGCTAAAATTGACAAAAGCTCCAGAAACGGCGAAAGAGAATGAGTACCGACATCAAACGTCTCGAGTTATAAATTAATAACGAGAAGTCAATACGGACGAACTCAGAATTCTGACAAGGGGACGCTTAAAAATTGACAATAGAACGCTCGTGGCCGATTTATAAAGTATTTACGGTGAAATGAATTTCAGATACGGTTTTCTGGGTGGCGCCACGATTTAGGCGATACAGACAGATTTTCTCGGTGACGCTGAAGAGCTTTAATCGAAGGTACGACGAAACACGAAGAAGACACATAAATTGTTGATCTTGTGCGTTTACATTATCGGAAGGTACTCCATCCTCGCTCCTGTATCCTATTTTACACGTACACTTAGTATGAGACAAGTATGTACATCGACATCGGGTGATAAGAAACAACGGTGTCGCGGACTGGACGCTAACGTGTCTTCGAGTACAGAGAAAAAACGCGAAGCGAGAGTGAAAGAGATCGACAGAGAGACAGAGATGGAACTCGTGGACACGTGGGTGGCATACAGAGAGTCGGGGAATTCGTTTATCGACGGATACGCTCTAAGAGCCGTCGCAAAAGGCGAAAATCCGCACGCTAGAACCTCGCGGAACCGTCGAGACCTCGAGAGACCATAATAAGGGAACGAAAAATCGGGGAATTCGTTGCCGACGAGACAAGAGTTAGCTCGGTGCCCTCGACGGTCTCGAGAATTCCGCATTTCGTTGGCCGCGACGCTGAAGAAATGTCCCTTTCGAGGGCAAGTCAACGAAAAGCGCCGTCGAGTCTCGATTTGTACTTCGACGTTCAGGCAGCGGCTGATTCAATGTCACTTATTCTCCTCTCAAAGACAAGAAAAAGAAAAAAAAAAAAGAAACTCGCCATCGAGGGAAACAAGCCTCGGAACTCCGGAGCGTTGCACGGGGGAATTAGATCGGAGATAATTTATCCGGATGGAAAAAAAAAAATATATATATATATATATAACAATCCTAGCCTTGAATTTTTTTCAAGCTCGCCCGAGGAACGCTCGGAACTCCTGGCACAATCAAGAGCCAGATAAATCAGCGGTTAGGAGAGAAAAGAGAGTTCGATAAAACGGAGAAATGCATCCGGGAGTGGCGTTGCAACGAATGCGCGAAGCGCCCTTTAAAGCCGTTTCCAGATCGCTCCTGTACAATGGATTCGAGTCAGCCTACAATAGTCTATATCGATAGAGATCCTCTCTCCTTTCCTCTTTTATTGAAAAAATCGATGTCTGAGAAATGGTGAGAAATGTTCACAATAATATGGTACAACAACGTAACGCATACAGTGTGTTCTTTCTGTGTGTGTGTGTGTACTCGCGTATGTGTGTCGTTAATTATTTATAATAGTTATTTATATACCACAAATAACATTGGCTATATACAAATATTACAACTCCCTCGTAGACCCCCTATCGATCGGGGGTATCGATAAAGGGCTCTTCGTTCACTCGTTATAAAGGGTACGACGAGGCGCGACGATTCGCCGGGCTGCGAGACCTTTTTCTTCTTTTTCGTTTTCTCCGATTTTTTTCCTCCAAAATGTCGCGGCGCGCTCGTGACGAGCCGACACACCGAGATAAACTTTATCAAAGAGAGTAAAAAATCCGACAACTACCGACGACGACCACGATAATGTATTAATATATATATGTTTTTTTATTTATATATATATTAGCGTCTAATTCGCGACCAAGTGCCGACCTGGCCAGCCCTTTGTTTCGGTTGGACTGCGAATCGCAAACGAGTCAAAGATGGGATATGCCGTGCTTAATTAGCACGACTTGAACACACTATCGAAGCTACTACTCGCGAACAGAGATGGGAGCGTCAATTACTTCGACAATGTTTCGTTTAAATCGTACCAAGAACCCGTGACTTCGGAATTGTATGAACAGGGCCTGTTTAATGTCGCCGCATTGTCGCTCAGATTAAATACACGCGGTTCTAATTAATATCTTCGTGAAGAATTTGTTGGACGCAACGACTGCTTGTATGTGAAAAATGCAAGTACACGGACAGTTCGGTAGACACTGAATAATATTAATTACGGAGAAATTAATTATTTGACGTAAAATCGCTGGGCACTTAAATTTTACAAACGATCCGACGTAATGGACGCGTTGCTTTCGCAATTGCAAATGATTTTCGAGTATGTACGGAAAGGAGGAATAATTGATTAGTACTTTTAAGTACCGTGTAACCCATCTCTGCTCTGGAATCTCGATTCAACGCGAACGTCAGTCGATCCCGTTTAAGCGGTGCCACAAGAAAATCAATTATATACGTTAACGGCTATTATCGGCAAACGGGAATCAAACGCGAAAAATTAGGGCGAATAAAAGTGTAATGTTCGCTCAATGGTGAAAACGTCTCGCGGAGAGAAATTTTTAGGAATCCTCTACAGAGCGAGTTTGAAAAATCATCGCATGCCCTTAACGCGAATTTACGTCGACTACGTTAATTCGATACGATGTATCGCATTAAACTCTAATTAAAATCGAGATAACGATAATTTAAGGGTATCGATGCGCTACGAAGCTGGACATGTAGACTGGAAACGTCCTGAATATTTCTCTCCGTGATGGGTGAGTTCGACTTTAGATTATTTCCCGTAGCAAGGCAAGAACGAAGAAAGAACGTCCCAAAGTCCTAGCAGCGACAGGAATCGCGTCCTTTGATTTGATCTTCTCCTCGTTTAATTCGAGGACGCGTCTTAGTGCGCTTCTTCGAGATATAATTCGGCCGAGGGCCGACGGTAAAATGGTTCCCTCGCGATAGGAAATAAAAAAAAAAGAAAAATAGATTTCAGGGCAAGGACGCAATCGCGACGCACAATCCTCGCGACGTCCTCGACGCTCGTGCCGATCGCGATTGGTCGTCTCATCGCCGAGACCGTACCGCCTAAGATTTAAGTACTACAGTTAGTAAAAATTCCATTCGCTTTACATCAATTGTCTTTTATAGAATCCTAATAAAACGTCTCTCCTTCCCCGCGTCCCGCATTCCTTTATTTATTTCCATTATTTTGTAATAACTCCCCGTTAAATAATTACGTGGGCACTGCGACTCAGTCAGTTAGAGCAGCAAATTGACATCCCGTCCCGAATTCCGATCAGACTCATCGACTCCGATTGAGTTACGGCTTACGGACAGGCAGAAGCGGATTTGGCACCTTTTGTTATTTATTGATTACCTCATGAACGAGAGAAGCGACGACGTAACCCTAAGAGAAATGAAAACCGATGGGAAGAGGTCTGGTCTACTCTCGAGTGACTCGCCCGTGTTCGTCCTCTCCATTTCCGAATTTTATTCCCTCCCTCCGAGCAGTCGCACCCCTCGGGCTCCGAAATTCCCTCGCGACCTTCTCGCATATAACTAGAGATAAACTTCAACAACGAGACAACTAACCACCGTTTAACCACCCTTAATTATAGGAAACATCGGCAGGTCGCGGAGAGAGTTTCGGAGGTCGCGAGTCAATCAAAGGTTGAGTAGTTCTTTCCGAGCGAGACAACAATGCCGGCCGCGACGCCGTGATATAGAAATTGATATTTAAAAACGCCGTCCGAAACGGCACGACAAATCCTCCCTCTAGTTCGACATAACGCGAGGCTGATGATGCAAGCAAAATCAATCGATCAGGGCCGGTGAGCCTCTTTCTGCCCCGAGAAAAATGATTCATTGAACCAATGAAATGTTTCTTCGAACAGAGTCAAAGAAATATTTTTTGATAATTCAAAGAATAATTATCTGACTCAAATAAATCGTCATAATTCCGTATAAAGGTTGCATTCGATATATTGGAGCTTATTCCAGTCAAATAATTATTCTTTGAATTAACTAAGTATTTTGTACCGTTCAAAAACATATTTCTTTCGCCCAATGAAACTTTTTTTCTCGGCGCAATGACTCGGATAAAATGATTCGCTCCTCGCGAGAACTCGCCCTCAGGCACGAAGTTAGCCCTCGACTCGTCCAAAACTGGGTCTCGGATTTTCTTTTCGTCCCCTTTCCACGCAACTTCACCTTGGGGTCTCTTTCAAGCCCGCGACCAAAGGTGTCATCCTGCCTACTTTCCTCCTTATGATTAGTAAACCTTAACGATAGATCATAGACGTGGACGCGGCGCAACGATCGCACGCCGCGACCTTTTCCTCCTCCTTAGCCTTACGTACACTCTACCGATTTACCTTAATTCCGCGCTCGGTTACTTACTCGAATGTTTATACAAAGTACTGCGTATTACTTTCAAAAAACAATTGACAACCGCAGAGGGTAACGCGCGCGTGTCTGTATGTGGTTGGGTGTGTACAGAGTGTATGGCTTATTTTTTAACCCCTCGCCTTGGGTCGAGCCGCACTTGCGTGGTGGTAAAACGTGCGATTTTCTTGGCAAATCGCGTGCCGGGATCCGATAATTTGGCGAGGGGTTAATTTGTACATGCGAGTCCGCTTCCTCCCTTTGTTGCGCCGATGCGACCGACTCGTTCCCGGCATCCCGGGAGACGAAGAACCCGAGTTCTCTTTGGATCGATGGGGACTGACAAGTGTCGTATGATTAATCGCTGGAGAACGAGGAATTGCCTTGGCTATTGCTAAGAAATACGACGAGCGAGAAGAGTCTAGGAAGTACGGGGTTCGATTCGAGTACACGATGGTCCACGACACGTCGCACCGAGAGGCAAAGATTCCACCTTTCGCGTCGCCAAGTATTCAAATTGCATTCCTGAGATGAAAAACTAAGTCCTTCTAACTAGAACAAACTGTACAAATGACGCATAAAGTAACCCTGCACTTTGGATCCCAGTTGTCGAAGAGGGGGAAAAAAAAAAAAAAGAAGATAAATCAGACATCACGTTTCCGAGATGCGATCCATCCTCTCAGTGTTGCCCGCGTCATCCCGCGACAAAATTGTTCCCGATCGGGGAGCGAAATAGAGAGAGAAAGATATATATATATATATGTAGATATATATAAAGAGAGAAATGGGGAAAGCACGACCGACCCACGTCTATAAGATTAATTCATCGATCTAACCGGTATGTTAAGTTACTAGAATCCGCGTACGATAAAGCATGTATAAATCAGTAGACGTTTTGTTTTGTGCTTCTTAGAGATCATACATGATACAATATACAAAGTAGTATAAAATAAAAAAAGGGTTAATCAAGATTCGTGTTAATCTTCAATTAACGTTTTATCACGAACGGGCCTCCCGGGTCGAGGAGGCATTTCCAACGAGTCCCCATCGGCGAGGTCGACGCGACCTCGACGGATCGCAGGGCTCGAGAGGAAAGCGCGATCGCCGCTTATCCTGGACCTCGGTCCTCCTTCCGCCGTCGACTCCCCGTTATCCGAGTCTCGGAGAAGCCTCGGCGAGTCCGACGTGACGATCGCGGTACCCAAGTGTTGACTTCCCAACGTGCGACTAGAGCGATCGTGGCCTCACCGACTAGATCGACCGAGCGCTTCCCAAGGATCCTCCAGCTCCGAAGAGGCGCCACTTCGACGGAGGATTGAGCGAGTTGCCGGCGACCGGGTCCCCGACGACCCAGGGTCATCCGGGGACCGCTTGCGACCCGAAGTACTAACCAGAGTGGCGGGACAGATGGTCCAGAAGATGGTCATCATCTTTCCCGATCCGGACGATCGGAAGCGAGCGGGTCCTCTCGGCGCCACCTGGACGTTGGAAACGCGTCGACGTCCAAGGAGTTGTCCTCGCGGGTCGAGGTGTCTCAGGGGTGACCGCGACACCAGGACAAGGATTGGATTACCCTACAGTCGGCGCAGGAGCGTCTAGGTGGACCCCTCGGCGCCTTAGAGTCGGTCTAACCTAAAGTGGGCCTCGGCGGTGGGGTCCGATATGACCATGTCGGGGTCGGTGAGTATTTGCAGTCCATCGAAGTCGATGGGGTCCAGACCCTGCCTCAGGGCGTCGTCGGAGGTGAAAAGGTCCGTGTCGAAGACGCCCGTCATCGCCGAGCTGAGGTCCTTCCCAAACTCCGGATTCGTCAGGTCGTCCGTGCCCGAAGAGAAATCTGCCGAAAAATTCTCACTCAACCCATCTATCATACGACATCTTATCTACTCAGCGTATCCAAACGTACCGGTCAGCACGATGGTAGGCGTGTTTGGTGTCTGAGGAGTTAATTGTTGGGTGGTCGTAGGTGTCGTCGGTTGCGGGTACGCCAACTGCGGGCTCGTGCTGAAGTAACCGGCATCGCCGCCTCCCATTTCGCCGCCCACGTTTATCATGTCGCTCTGTAAATAGAAAACGATGTTAATCCTGGACACTTTGTAGAGATATTTTGTAGGGAAATGGACTAGGAGACGACGTACTTGCGTGTAATTGGAAGTGTGATTCGGAGAGCCGATGTAGGTGCCGATCGTGGTGGGCGCCACTGGCGAGTCCATCTAGAGCAAAAGAGAGTCGGGATTAAGCTCGAGTGGAGCGAGTCGATCGGGGCACGGTGTATATAACGTGCATCTGCAAAAACGTGAGAGCAAATTAGATAGGTCGGTCGCCACCGAAACGGGGTCTCAAGGATCGGTCTCATCCTCCGCGACTTCCTGCCCTGTGCGAGTGGGCACGTAGACGCGATGCGGCCTTGGCATCAACGTCGTCAAGGGAAATCCACCGAGTATCGACGACGGACCCGCCGCCGAGACGCAGAGTGCACGTCGGATGAGATCAGGGGAGAATCGCATGCCGAACGGATGAAATCTTACCAAAGGAACGAACGAAAGTGTACGCGGAATAAAAGTAAGCTCCTATAGAAAGAAAATCTCTGGCCCTGCCTGGCGATCGAGTGGCGAGATACCGGTCGACTACGGTCGGCAAACTTCGACGCAAATTTAACGTCTAAGGTTCTTCAATGACTCTATCTTTCTTTTCGTCGCTTCGTCACCGCTCGATCTCGTCGCTCGACGAAAGAAGGGCTTTCGACAAGGCGTATCTCGCAACCGGCAAGGAAGCCGTCGAAGCCTGAGGAAGTAAGGTGTATCTTTTACGGGGTAGGGTCTCATCACCTCTAGCTGCGTGGTCCAGGTGCAACCAGAGTCCACGAACTGCTGTACCATTTGCGCCCACTCCTAACGAAGGCAGGCAACAAATAAACAGTAAGACCTTTAATTTCCTGTAATTTCGTGCTCGAGGATAAGCGCTGCTCTTCTTGATCGCCCGAACGATCCGCGGGAACGATCGCAAAAATGGCCGCGACGCTAATCCGATTCGCATTGGAAACGAGCCGAGTGAATTATTAATCATTTTCTTTTTTCTTATCGCCGCCTCTCCATTGACTGCTTCTTTTTGCGCTCCCGGCTTTCCCTCGATATACCAGGGTCACCGGGAGTGAGTACCAACTCGTCCGATAATCAACAAATTGTCGAACTCGGGCCCCCCGATAAAGATTTCACAGGATGTCGAAACGCAAATGATTTCTTAACAGGGTCATGCAAATCGAGCCTTAGGTTAAATTCCCTGGAATCTTCCGCAAGTCATTTTCCTACTCGCTACCCGAGCTCGATCGCTATCGCGATTGTTAACATGTCGAGTGAGCGGCGCACTTAACGCGTGCGTTTAACTGCATTAATTGTTTTTTTTACGCGCGGCTCTCGTTAACGCCGCGACGCAAGCCGGCCTTCTTCGACGCCGGCAGAAGGGGAGCCATTGACATTGGCCTCGCGCTTACATTAATATCCATTCGCGCTGATTTCACGGTTTAAACGGCGACAATAGCTCCTACCGCATTACGTGGAAACGCTCCGGATTAAATAAGGGTCCTATGAAATCGATCGATCGCTAACAAATCCCGTATTGGGGTCTTTTCAAAGGTGTCCGAGAATAGGACCCTACGCAATACGAGCGGTTATCAAGAAAGGCGTACTCACCAGTCCCTGGATATGCATGAACGTAAAATTGAACACGCGATTAAAGTCGGTCTCTCTCGCTTGACTTATTGCTAGGAAGGATGAATGAAAAGAGTGAGATCACTGACTCTACGCCCCCGCCCCGACGCGGCACCCGTGCTCGATTTATTTAATGCAAACCAACGCGCGGTTAGGCTCCTCGCAGGGATTGCCAAATCGACATATTCAACGCCCATCGATCGTGCCTCATTCCCCGGTAATCTCCGACTTTTCGATAAATCCACCGTGCGGCACGGCGCCTGCACGTTAACGGACGCCACGACGTCGAGTATCGACATGCCGCCTGTAAAACCTTTTACACCTCCTATTCTTTTTCTTTTCTTTTTTTCTTTTTTTTATCGGCGACCCACTATCAACTAACCATGTTGAACTGCTCGAAGTGTTGCTGGAGAGCGGCGGCTTGGGCCTGGGTGATGAAATAATTATTTTGATCCACGTTGTCCGTCGTGAAATTCGGCGGTCCCGGGTGTCCCGTGGGACTCGGAGGCGCCGACGGATTATTGCTGTAGCTCAGAGGGCTCCCCTGGAAACAACGAAAAAATTGCCAATTAATCATTAATAGCAAACGACGACCAACTGAAACAAGACAAACCGGCTTCTAGCAAAATGACTCCAGGAACCAGTCCAGCCTACCGTCGTTAAAACACAGAGAACCATCGCATCGAGTCTATAAAATGTCCATCAATTCCGCGGTACTTTGTTACTTAATTTATATATTAAAAAAGCTACTAATATTTATATAATTTTATTAATACCTGAACCGTGAGACTCGGCGACGACAAAGGCGAAGGCCTGTTCACCGGCTGGGTAGATCTGTACGACGCCAAAGAGTTGAGCTGCTGTTGTTGCTGTTGTTGCTGCTGCTGCTGCTGCTGTTGCTGCTGCTGCTGTTGCTGCTGCTGCTGTTGTTGTTGTTGAGGTTGTGTCGTTTTCTGGGAGTCGAAGGGAATGTAAAAATTTAAATAGTTATAGAGGTAAGGAAGCAGATCAATTTTTTTTTTTAATTTAATCTGATCGAATGAAAAATCATTTCTTAGGCTTAGGTAATCCTGGACTCACTGGACTTTGTGGCGGTACAGGACTGTGCGGCTGGGGATACATGAAATGCCGAGGACTGTGAGATTGCTGAGGCGGTGGTGGCGGTGGAGGTTGTCGATAAGACTGAAGATCCTGTTGCGAAGTGCTTGTGCTGTTTTCCAAGGCCACACCCTGCTTCATGGATATCATCGTTAGAGATCGCAAGTGCGCGTATGACGGTCTGCTATGGTACGGCTATGAGTACCGACTAATCCCTAAATTCTGCCGACTCGAGTGCACCTCTACTTGAACTACTCATGGTGTTACGAAAAATGATATCACAAGGCTAGATAACAAATTCTACGTATGTACTTGTTACTCTAAATTGCGAATCGAGGTGACCAGACGTGTAGCACTAAATCGTAGCGATAGATCCGTGCGAACCGATCTGTACGGATTAAGCCGACGTCCTATCGTCTAACATGGTTAAAACAAAAAAAAAAAAAAACCTTATAATTTTACAACATTTTATCTCCCTACTCCACGAACCTATGTTATGAATATAGTACGTGTGCGTTAATTTTCAAAATATCAGGAAGCTGTAGCACGATGTTACAAGATAAATTTATATCAATGTGTTATAGCTTTGGGGAACCGAATATATTCACTTATTCTTAATAGATTTTAACAGCGTAGAACTCGATTTAGTCGTACAGACCGGAAAACACCGTGACTTATCTCGGGTAATCACCGTTTGGTCATAGTGACGGGAAAGTGGTTCGAGTCGGCAAGCCAGAGACCCCAGTTATCGACGGATTTGGACATCTCCGAGAGTATCGAAAGTCCGACAAGAACGCGACGATTAAAATCGGAGCATCGTCGATGACCGTGGATCTCGGGGGGGCAGACGATGCAAGCGAAACGACGAGGTCAAGCCAGGGTATACGTACGTTCCTACGCGGCGTGGAAAGCAAAATCGCACGTCTGCGCACTATTAATAGTACTACGCGTGCAGTACTCGATACCGCAGCGGGATCGCACTCGTCGCAATCTCCCATTCTCACAACGACAGGCCCACGGCTAACGAACGGGGTCGCAAAAGTCGAGCCGAAACAAACAAGAGAAGTGGCTACTAACCTTACACGTGTGAAGCAACCTAGAGTTAACAGGCACTGATAAATGGTTCTGCAAAATAACAAAAAACAAGGAACCACTACAACAAAGGCGAAAATAAAAGAGAAAGGGTGAAGTCGAGACCGTTAGCCAAGCGGGACGCGAGGGAGGGATGCGGTTTAGTATCGCAGGCAAAACTTGCGAAAGCTCGCGAACTCCTCGTATACGGGTTTCTTCAAACCTGGGGTCCTCGGCACCCCAGGATGGACCATGAGACGAAGAGCCAGCGACGCCACCCTCTTCGTTCGCCCGCTCGAGTCTTCGCAAAGACCTCGATTTTTTAAGGCGGCATGAAAGTCGCCTCCGAGGGATCGCTCGGTAATGACACTTTTCACCGAATTGGGTGCACCGAGTCGTTTAAAGATTTAACATGTGAATATGACGGCTATCAGGAAGGTCCTGACACCTGTGACATTTAATTTCTAATTGGAAATACTTTAAATGTATAGAAATAAATTTATTGAAAATATAAAATTTCATGGATGTCAGGACCTTTTTTGTAGTCTTCATATTTATAGTTTGAAGCTGGAAATGCTTCGGTACAGGCGGTTTGGGGAAGTTTCATAAACGCGACCTCTTTGACGCCACTTTCGCGTCACCTTAAGCGGGTGAAGAAGAGATCGGCTTGCAAAGCACATATAAAAGCGCAAGTCTTCCGGCACATGCACTAGAGGTGGCGCTACCTTGCTCGCACAGGACCTAGGCTCTACCTTGAAGAACTATCGGAGCAAGAGTGCTCCCCGAGAGCGAGGCACGGCGAAGAGGGGAAAAGGAAAGTTCCGCGGCATACGTCCCTCGTATCGACGTTTGTCGGTACCTAGCGATACGTATCGGTACATATCGGCGTGCAGCCTCCCGACGTCTCGGCGGATTCATCTCGCACCATACTTCAAACACGGGAAGTGGATTCCTCCCTTTCCCCGAAAATCGCCGGTTCACCTCACTTCCGGAAACGGCGAGCCCGAACGAGGTCGATTTAATCGTAAGAATTTTGTATTAAATATTATTTAAATATTTCTCCGACCCAAGAATGTCGCTACAAGGCTTCTCCGCCAGTACCACCGATACTTGTCATCTTTCGACTACATTTGTTTAAAAATAAACTTACGTAAACGATCATAAACTTAAAAACTCACGAAAAAAAAATGTCCAAACAGTGCGTGCTAAATGACTTCCGAATATCAAATTTATTATTTTACTGCAACCACATATACTAAAAGTGTATGAATTTTATGAATTTTTTTTAACAGTGTATCCATTCAAAAAGCAAGATCCAATATTAACCCGATGTAAAATCCGAACAGAAATCATAATCGCCGGAAACTTTCCTGGGAAATCGCGACCTTCTTCGGACACTTCCGAAGTCAATTTCGAAGGGAAGGAGCCCTCGTTCGAGGATCGCCATTTTTCTAAGAGATCTCTACCGTGAGCTTCGTGATACCCGGTCCCGGCACAGAAAAGTGGTCTAAATCCGTCACCCTGTCGAAGTTACTTTCACGGCATGAACTTGTGTAGACGTCGAGTGAGCATTCAATGAACATATCACCGATACGTTCCACGTCTACGTAAACTGGCTAACTTGGCACTAAAACGTCTTACGGCACACGGTGGGTTTGCTACTTCTCGAGCCAGCGATCCTGCATTGACGATCGCCGATTAAGCATCGAAACGCGAGTACATATTCAACGATGCAATTATGCCGACAGTCATTACGGAGAAAAAGGAAAAAAAAAAAGATCGATGGAAAATCTCAGGAAACGAGTAATTTAAAGCCGCGAGCAATCGTTGGGCAACGCAGGATCCCCGGTGCTTTGGTACATATCCGATGCTTCATACATGTACGTATATTAAGAGGATCGCAAGGGCATTTACTTGGACGCTTGGCGGGCTGTGATCCTGCGAAAAGGATAGCCTACCAGCTTGCGGTAAGCTGGTCGGCGACAAGTTTGTAGGACTGCTCGTTTGAGGGCTCTGTAATACACCCGCGCAATCGCATCAGAACATCCCTTTCGATGATTCGACGAATGTGTGAGGGGAAGCGCAAAATCGGGCTCTTCGTGTCCCGTGGCCCCCGGGTTTGCGGTTTATTACCGGAGTCCTTTACAGAGCCGTAGTATCAACCCGCGAATTTACGTACGCCGAAATTTTAACTTCGGGATTTCGAGCAAACACGACCTCAGGATTCCGCGTTTCGGTTAGACAAATACGAGGTTCAACATCGCGGGGTACGTTTGTCCTCTCCAACCGTTTCGCCGATTATTACTTTACTCCTGTACAGCGGAGTGCAGCGATGCGTTTTCCAATTATATAGATCATTTTTAATTCTAGCTATACGCCTCATCCGGTAACTCCGCACCTGTTAGTGCTCGATGAAATTGACATTCGTTGTCTAAGTGGCGTTTTTGAAGACAAACTTCACATTGATAACGTAAGTTCGCACGTTGCGAGTGCATCGAGCAAGGAGACATTGTTTTTTTTTTCCCACGGTTAATCACACACGAGTAACGTCATATTTTCTCCGGGTAGCAATCATACCCTGTACCAGTTGCGATTACAACCGGCACTCGACCAAAAAATAAACATCACCGAGTTTTCACGTACTTCTAAAGAATTAACGCGTAATCGTTAGGAGAAAGGTTCGGGGGAGAATAATTCAGGATAGTTGAAAAATAATTAAGAGTAATTACGAACGATTCGCGATAATTCCGTTTAACGGAGAAATTCCACTTTCGACGTTACGCGGGCAGGTGCCGAATTGTTTATTTTCTAATTATTGAATACATTCATGAGAGAACCATCAATTCGGACAGCTGGAGAACACAAGCCGAGGATGCCGAGTCGTCGCCGGGGATGGCGATTAAATCCGAGGCCCGAACCGAAAAGAAGTGACCGAAAGGCGTAGCAGCCCCGAGAAAAGGGGCGAGTGTAACAAACGAGACGGTTAAAGAGAAAAAGCAGCCGTTCAGAGACGTGCCGGGGTTTGGGGGTGTGGAGAGGTCGACAGGGCCAAGTGTTAATTGCAGGACTTACGTTGCTGTGCTGCGTGCTGCTCGAATGCTCCTCTTGGTCCAGAGGGGTGAGCAGGGGCGAGGAAAAGTTGTTCAGATCGGGCAACGACCCGGTGTTGTTGCCTATGGGGATCTGTTGCCCCGGCGGTTGCGAACTCGAGTATATGCTGGAAGGAAAACCATGCGTTAACTTTCCTGACGTCACAATTCGAAGGATAAATTGTCGCACTCGAGCAGGGAATTTCGCTGGACAAAATGTATGTACTCGCCCCTTGAGGGCAGAAATTCCCGGCACATGGTTCTATACGCCTTACCCACAAAGTCGCAGCGCGATAATCGTGGGGCATAAATGCAATACGAGGCAGGCGACACGAGGAATGCAATATGCTCGCATACAATGCAGCCAATGCATTATACATACACTGTTAAAATAATTCATAAAATTCATACACTTTTAGTACGTAAGGTTGCGGTAAAATTATAATTTTGATGTCTCAATAGCGAATCAGTATACATTTATTATAAAATTCTAAGTTAATTTAGAATTTTATAACACCGTGTCGTAAGTTTGTGAAATTGCCGAGAAAAATTATAAATCTAATATTCGAAAGTCATTTAGTACACACTGTTTGCTAATTTCTTAGATGAGTTTCTAATTTTATGATCGTTTACGTTTAAGTTTATTTTTAAACAAATTTAATCGAACGATGACAAGTACCGGTGGTACTGGCGGATAAGCATTGTAGCGACATTCTTGAGTCCGAGAAATATTTAAATAATATTAAAAAAAAATTCTTACAATCAATTCGAAACGTATCTGGGGAAAAAAAATGTACCTACATGTAGAGTATATTTTATGGAGATATTTGTAGTATTATATTACAATGTAGGCGCACTTACTTGATCCCTGGCACTCTCGGCATCTCGCAGGAAGATCTCGGTCGTTCGATGAAACCATGATGGGATTCTCGATTCTCGCTCGCGTTGCCGCTCATCGCGTGTTGGTCTGAAACAAGGACGGAACGCGCGTTGTTCACAAGCAGATTACAAGAACCTGGGAACGATGACTTCGAGATCTACCGATTCTACGCGGTTCTGCAATCACCGATCCAGAATTACCACCACGACAAGGGGCGGCATTATTAACACAGCCATGGAAAGATACGATATTAAAAGAGAATCCCTCGAAATCCAGGCATTGAAATCACCCGCTGTTCATTTGCATTTCCGTGTGCCCAAAGTCTGGGGATGAAAATCAGGGTCCGGGCTGGCAAGAAACTGGATTAGCTGGTTGCCTCCCATCTTTTTTCCCTGTTTTATCGTCGAGTTCCGGAAAAAGGAGGCCGTAGGAAATAAAGGGAAAAATCCATTCCACTCTTGGCGCGAACTTGACGGCCGACGGGATCCCCTCGGCGCGACTTCGCGAATGCATATTCATTAGGTGGAAAAGTAAATTTGCCGGCCGCGATGGAGTATCGTAACGACAATGCAAACTGACCATTCGCGCTAACGAAGTGTACGCTCCTGTAAAACCTGAATAATCGGCCCCGGGCCCCGCCTCAAGTGCGAACTTTGGAGGTACGCCGGGAGTTGTCGGATGCCTGCGACTTTAGAGATGCGCTCTTTCGAGGGAAATGTTCATTCGAGGACCCGTGAAATTATGACGTCTTTAACGGTGAAATAGGCTAAAGTAGGGGATATCGTACCGTCGGTCAAACTGTACCACTACGATATTAATGAACATACCCTAAGAAATGGCGATATAACTGAAAAATTATGGCATTTTTTACTTTACCCTAAGAGTCGCCGTCACGAAATCGGCCCATTAATAAAGGTTACAAGTAATCACGACGCAAAACCCGAAGAAAGAATCACGTCCGGGGGATGTTGAAATATTCTTTCCCAGGAAGCGTCACCCTTTCAACGAGCTGTCTCCTCGCAGAAGTGGGCATCAATCATTCACAGAGTTTTCAAAATTTCACCAGGGCACTCTGTTAATAATAAACTTTGCCTACTACCTGGCATTGTGTCGCGGTAATATCCGCCCCTCGAGAGTCAGGCTCGCAAAGTCCCGGCACAACTTCTCCAGAAACGAGTGAATCCGAGCTCGACAATAATTACCGTAATTATAAGCGAGGGTCGCTGACGGAATAATTCATTTTTAAAGAAAACCAAGGGAAACAGCTCCGCCACCCTATCCGGGCTTTCGGTTGCGAAAGCTCCGGCTCCGGGAAAATTGACGCGCGGTTCCGTTTTCATCCCTTGGTGCAATTGATAAAGGCAATAAATCGCCGCAATTACTCGGCCATTACTCTCCGCCCTTCGCCTCTTGCGGGGAATTGGTATTCCTTCCGGGTTTTGCGGCGATTTTTAAGAGGTCGTCTAGGAAGCAATTTTCGATAAATTAAATGTCAAAGGTACCCCCTTTAAGTCGTAAGAAAAATCCATTAGATATTAATTCCTGGTAGTTTCGGTGCAATGATGGTTTCGTAGTAGCCTGGCTGGTGAGATAGAGAGAAAAAAAAAGAGATTCGCACCGCTACCTCTACGATAAGGCATGGCCGATGCCGACTGACAAGCCTCGTTGGCACTCTGATGCAGGGCAGAGTCGGAATTCGTTCTTCTCCACGTGTCCGAAGGGGGTGGCGACAAGTAAGGGACGCCACTGTAGGGCGAGGTGTCGTGTCTTTTTTCCATGGGCCGAGATCGCATGGGACCCACCCCCATGTTGCGACTCCTTTCGGGTCCTCGGTACACGATCGAGTTGTGCTGCATCTCCTCGAGATTGCTCAGAGCGGTCTGAAAAGAGACAGAAGCCAGTCAGACACGAAAAGAGAATACGGCAAGCCTATACATCGAACATCCAGCTAGTCTTCGAGGGGATGCGCAAGGAAACCACCCCCACAAACCTTGAAAGGGCTCCCAGAAATTGCGACGCAGTTTATTCCCGACCTCGAGATCAAAAAGACGCCATCGATACGTTTTTCAAGCAAATCGACATGGCGCTCGACATTTTAATATGGAAGCTTCAATAATCAATAAAATTAATTTTTCTCTCATCGAAACCCAAATTTCCTCATTTGCTTCCGTTTATTTTCCAGCACAATTTCGGAGTTTTGGAGATCGAGAAATTCAATATTAGTATTACCTTCGCTGCTCTATTCAATTTTGCAATAATAATGAAAAGGAACAAAATGAATGCATACTTTGGGTCCCACAACAGAAATGGACCAATTATTCTTCTCTTTAACGGGGCGGCTACGCTGCGCATCGCTCCTCCTCTCTACTCGGTTGTTCCGCAACGAATGGGGTTGCATAACAAACGACGTCGTAACGAAAGTACCATGCACGTAGGAAACACTATTAGCAAGGGAAACACCATGCGGCACGTCTATGGGCAGGCGGTGGAGTGCACCTAGACCGATCTACAAATTCGAGCAGTCTTATGAGATACCTCACATGGCGGATCGCAGTCGGCGATACCTCCTCCTCGATGAAACTCAACGAATAAGATTTTTCTCCGCATATTGACGGAATATGCGACGAAATATTCCCCTTTCTCAGAGCGCTGTTTACAGAGCACGAAGCGGAGTCGGGTTGGAATACAAATGAAGAGCCGACCCCATGGGCCCCTCGAACTGATTACGGCCATGATAACGAGGTTTCTCTGTAGCATATTTGGGGGATACTGATAGTAATCCCCGAAACCCCCGGTGGAAGTTGACGAAGTTTGGAGTAGAAACTTCCTTTACCACTTTTCCCTCGAGTAATTATTTACCGAGATATTAACTGATAAAGTTGACCTTCGATTCACGGCGCTGGTTTTTATTTAACTTAATTTTTCCATTGTCATTCGACAATGAAATTATTTCGAAATACGTATAATTGAAACAATAAATCGTGAATAATTAAAAATTGTCAGTTGTAGCCAATTAATGAACCGTATATTAAATCAACGAGTCCATTAGATTTTATGTACTTTTAATACATTCCAGCACGAGTTAACTCGTGACCGGTCAACAATTTGTTAATGAAAGATAATTTTCACTTGAAAATGAAAAAATTAAGTTAAATAAGAATAAAGGTCAAAAACCGAGTACCGCATCTTGAATGGGTCGACAAAAATTATTAACTCGGTAAATAATCACCTTTGGAAAAAAATGGTAGAGGAAATTTCTACTTCGAGCTTCACCAACGTCCGCCAGTTTTAGGGATCACCTCGAGTTCCGGAACACCCTGTACAGGAGAAGCTCGTAACTCTTCGCGGTTTAAGTCGCGCTTATTGACCCTAAATCCCCGTTGGGGTAGTAAAGAGAGTGGGCTCCGTGAATGGAACTGGTACCTACTCCCGGTGATCTAAGGCGACGTAAAGTAATCATTTGTCGCAGATCCCATTGGGACGGTAATTTGCGGATCGGCCGCTTCCAATATCGGAGCCGGCGCACCTTAAGGCCGGGTAAGGTCGTGAAAACGATATCTCCTCTCTTCCGGCGCTCCAGGAGAGTAATGGCCGACTCGCTCGTGGATGGCACGCGAAATTATCGGGATGCCTTCCTAACGGGCGTCTCATCGAGGCGCTCCTAGCTCCGGGATCATGCGTGGATTTATGTGCACGACCAGAGGGTCTCGCAGGATTCTTTTTTCTTTTTTTTACCCGGCTATATATCCCGAGGACTCGTGGCTTTATAGCGAAACCTATCCGCCAAACCCTGTGACTCTTCCTTTTTTTTCCTCGGGACCGCGCGGAGGAGATTCCGGGTTTTATGAATCGCAATTCATAAAACGTCTCATCTGCTTTGTGAGCGTCTCTCGTTGGCCGATTACGCCCGATGTCGTATACCACGACTGGCATAAAAGAATTTAATGCAGGCGTTCGATCGATCCCCGTGTCAAGATACAAGGATTAGTCTGATCCACCAGGAAATGGTAAGTCATCGAAGCTGACATCTCATTATGGACTACGGTTCCATATTTTAAAAAATGTTGGGCATGTGTTCCTCGAGGGAAAATTAATTTTTTTTTGTTTTAACTGGGCGTCATTGAGGTCAGCTCAATTTTTTTGTTCCATTTGATAGGCTGTGGTTATAGAAGATAATATGTACCGGAAATGTACGATAAAATCGGCCGACTGCGCACTCTCCTAGGAACCTTTGGCGAGTATTAATTATTGGGAGAGCCAATTTCTGGGAGAGCGAAAATGTTGTTTCGCCCGAATTACCTGTTTACTCGTTGCGTGAAAAATGCGCTCCACACGCCGGACTGAATTTTCACGCGCCTCGCCCACCCTCGACTCGGTCATGTATTAACTTCGTCCGAGCGATGAGATTTTCAAATTCGTTCCTGCACGCGGTAATTGATTTCCCGGGAATACATCGTAGCCGGCAATTGAAAGCGCCCAGTAACGAAGTTGCTTTCCCTGACACTGACATTCCATGAAATACCCCGAAATAGGAAAAGTTCCTTCCGTCGTACCTCTAAATAAAATCCCCTTGTTTCCCCTTAAACCCAAGAAGCCGTTGAAAATGAACGCGATGTTTCCCTTCAATCCCGAGTCACCGCTCGATACAATTTTTCGCTATTTCCCTGAACGCCGCATACTAGGAAAATCGTCTGCAAGACGAGAGCGACCTTAAGGCGGACTTCGAATCAACAAATCGCCAGGCGTCTTTTTTACGATTTAAACAAATTAATCCGTAACTCCGACTCTTCGAGGAACTCGATCTCGAGCTAAGCTTTCATCTCGCGTCCCACGGTGCTCTATTGTGACTCATCTCTCCAAGATCAAGGTTCCCGAGGTACTCCGGGAAAACTGGCCCCCCGGCCCATCGCGCATGAAAAATGAGTCGACTCGACGCCCGACAAAAATGGCGGATTCGAAGAGCCTCGGAAGCCCCGCGACACTTCCAGGCGGAATCTTAATTACGGTAAATTTGCATTTCCTTTGACGCCTCGCTTTTTTCCGTGTCGCGCCGTATAAACATTTTCCATTCCATGTTCCCAGGTTTGGGCGGCCGAGGCGGAAATCGTGGAAAGCAAGATGGCGGCCAGCGCTCTCCGACCGCGGTGTTTAATGGCGGCGAATTATTAATTATAATACGCTCTCGTGGCGCGCGCCATGGCGCAAGGTTCAAGGAAAACCTGATTCGCTACGCAGTCGTGTTTATAAATGCTAGTACGGCCATGTTTAACGTCGCACACTCGGCTCGTCTTTCCGCGCGCGTTTCGACGTTCCATGACGGAGCCGTAAACAGCGGAGCGCCCTCGTGGTTGCGGACGCGGACGCCATTTCGCAAGTTTTACGCGGCCACACTTCGTACCGAGCTTACGCACTTGTGCACATGCGGCACCGTGTCCACACGGTGGTCACAAAACGTGCATCCAGGGTACTCTAGAGCTCGCGTGCCTCCCACGAACACATATTCGAGCACGAAGTGGTCGCGCGTCGCGCCGCCATCTTGGATCGCGTCGGAAGCCTCCGACCGCGCATCGACATCTTTTCCACCGCAGATCCACCGGTGCACGTCGCCGAATTAGGATGGTTAATAAAAGTGAATCGGATAAATCCAGTCAACGGGAATTTTCATCGGCGCAATCGAAGGTGTAATCGAGCAGATTCTATCGAAGCGATCGGTCGAGAGCGTCGATGCACATGGAGGATTTAATTACAACGCATAACTCGACCGACTCCGACACGCATATTCGACGATACCAAATACGCTTAGCCGGCCTAATGACGTTTAACATGAATTAGTCGACTTAACCCACACGGTTTAACCGAATGATTTAATCACCGAACCGTGGGTCACGCAACTCGACGCGAAACCGAGCCGCGATCCAATTGGATCAAATTTTTTGTCAACGTTTGCATCATAAGGAAGTATGAAAAAGAGGGTCCTTATCACCAAATTTCAGGGTGAATGATAGTGGCCAGTAAAATTGAGGGTACATATACGCTAATGATGCATGGATTAATTACACCGGTCATCTTCCGAGTTTCCATTTCCCTTGAAAACGGTCCCTGAAAGGGCGCTTGCAGATTTTTCAAACGTTCGTCCGAAATCCCAGTTTCCAGGTGCCTCGTTAGATTCAATGCGTGACCGAGGGCCGTTTAATTGCCGGATTGCGCCGCAAACACGAGGCGCTTCTAAGCCGTAATCGGGGGTGGACTCCGAGGGCTCGTGTTTTAGAGTTTTTGGTAACCTCTCAAAAGGTCCCGGTAGGCTTCGGGAGGTTGCACGGTATCAGGGGAAGCAGCCTCTTGGACGATCCTGCTTGAAGCGACCGGGCGAAGGTGATGCGCGCAAGAGGCCGAGGTGCAGCGGACCTCGGCAGGGGTAGATAGACCCGTGTGTAATTGCCACGTCACACCGCATATTTTCGTTATTAAAAATCTTCCATGACTTCGGAAAGATTGAGAAGCATTCACCCAGAATACGCGCTGTAATGACTCGAATGCGAATCGATAAGCTGTAATGTTTTATATCAGCTTAATTTGGAAAAGAAAAAGGAACGGAACGATTTCCTCGGCGCACACGAATCCAATTTTTACAGGCAGTCGTTTAAAATTCGGAAAAATTCACGTCTTGTGTATCCAGATCACTCGCATTTACACGACACTCCGTTTACCCGTGTTTATGCTCGCCGCGGTGCCGTGCAAAACTCGTGAAATCTATTTTTCGGCGCATGTGTCTGCAATGTATTCTCGGAGCCGAAGCGGTCGCCGCGTAACATTGTTTTCCCCGTAGTTTTAATATTTCCTTGGGGTGGCTCGACACCCGAGAAACACTCGCATAATTAAA